GTCAGGACCAGTGCAACCATGCGACCAGGGTATTTATGCCGATTATGCTTTATGCTCAGACCTGGGTATTTATGGCGATTATACCCAGAAGTAAAATGCTAGTAGTGACCATATGAAATTTTGTTTAACACATTTTATCATCATTTTACCATCCTTACAGGGTAATAATTGCAAAAAAACATCTCAATCTTATCTAACTTTAACCCTCCGAGTGTCCATAGTTTAGGCCTTAATGTCCACCTATTTTTGGCCCCTTTGCAAGGTTTTATTAAAACGGATCTGAGAAGCTTAAAACAATGTCAATTCTAATGTTCTATATACCATTTTGTTTGGAAAATCATGGGCTTCAATATTATATATAAAACATAAGGAACATTTTTTCAAAAAAAAATTTTTAGGTAAAAAAAAAATATAATTTCGAAAATTTTCAAAAAAAAAAATAAGTTCGCGCTCAATGAAATTGTATAAATTATAGGCCTATAAATATTTGAAAATAGCCACTTTGTTCTAAATTTAATGAGGATTACAAATATATAATCATATAGCGAGGTAAGTTATCAAATAAATAAGTTATGAGCGAAAAACGGATTTCAGTACATAGCGTTTAGCTAAGAATGCATAGCCTAACCATAGCTAGGAATCTGGCTGATAATTTACATCAATATCACTACCTACTTCTTCAGGATCATCAACCAGCACTTCAAAACCACTTAAATCTTCTTATAATGCACCACGTATATCACTACTTTTGATTTTTAACACTAAAACAATGATAAACGTAATAAAACACATCAGTCATCGGTCCGGGGGAACCTAGCTGTTTACAAATACACGCACGTCAGCTGTCTGCTACAATATTTTCGGAACTAAAATGAATAGCGCTTAGAGACAGACCTCTGGAGAAAGCTTAGAATATTACGGAAAGAACGATACCTAACTCGATCCAGTTCAATCCGATTCAGTCAGTCATAGAGCCTTCGCCGTAAACGATGTTTGTGCGTCATAAAAGTGACGCGTGACCCTACACAAAGTGTGTTGTGCGTCATTTTTATGACGCGTGACACTCGGAGGGTTAATAAAAATTATAAATACCCAGTTTATGGGTATTTACCCGGGCCTGGGGTAAATACCCGGGTAAAAACCCAATTTATATTTACCTACCCACTGGGTATTTACCCGGCCCACATCACTAACGGTAATATATGTCAAGGTGCACATCATTTTATAGAATTCCTAACAACTTTGTAATTTACACTTACTTCGTATCTCTTTTAGTTTTTGCGTAAATAACAAAAAACCTAATTTTCCTATATCAAATGCATGTTATTTGGGTTTGACGTGGTTTAACACTTAATGAAATGGGGCCTTTAGTGTTAAACCCAAATAACATGCATTTGATATAGGAAAATTAGGTTTTTTGTTAATTATGCAAAAACTAAAAGAGATACGAAGTAAGTGTAAATTCAAAGTTGAAGGAATTAAAAAACCTATAAAATGATGTGCCACTTGACAAATGTTGCTATTTGAAAATTTTAAACAATGAGCATTTGCAGATTTTCAAAAATAATTTTATTTTTTATTTTTTTCATTTTGAAACGGAAAAAGATAATTAAGTTAACTTCTGTTTTTGCCAAAATGTTTGTCTATTAAATACCTTTAAAATGATGATAACATGACATTACATTTGAAAGTTCCGAGATTTCATCCTTGTACGTTAAGCCGTTTTTCCGTAATCAATTTGAGACACCTCTCGTGGGACACCCTGTACACTCATTTTACAAGAGAGATGTAAAAAACTCATCATTTTTGTTAACAAGTTACTAACAGTGATATTTCCAACAATATTAACAATAAATGTTTTTGACACAAGTCAAAACATTTTTTCAAGACATTTATCTTTAAAAATAAATACCCCCGCCGCAGCAAACCTGCCGACTAAGCGAATTTCCATTTGTCTGAATTGATTTTCAGTTAAATATATTTTAACTAGCAGAGTACCCGTCCTTCGTACGGGGTTGGAATATAAGTATAAAATGCTTATTGCAGTTATACTCAAGCTTTGCGTTTGCAATAAGGGAGGACACAGTTTGATAAAATTTGCTTTTTTAAATTTACAGTATTCTATAGTATTACACATCTACCATAGCCATAATGTTCTACCACTTCACCAAAACAATAGAGAAAAATAAATTATCAACAATTCGCAAAATATCACAAATTATTCATGAAATGAAAAACATAAACATAACTGTAAACAATCCTACTTTGACAGTTCTCATTGCGAATCACAGTTTTTTGTTGCTACTTAGTTCAAATTAGCTGTTTTCATAAATGCAAAAAAATATAGTGCTGCACCCTGTTGGTAAATCTTATAACTTTTTAATGCTTTTCCATATCATAGAACCAAATTTTTTGGTATTTACTCAGGGGAGGTACGGAAGAGGCTACGATGACAGCTGTGGGCTTCTTATTAGCTGAGGGAACGCTATTACCGTAACAATACGGTTTGTGGACAACGGCTTCGGTGGTCTAGTGGTTAGCGTGCCGGGCTGGCGTACAAAAGGTCCTGGGTTCGAATCTCGCTGGTTGCATTAACTTTTTGTCTCAGATTTTTTCATTATCAGCAAGTTTGGTTGGTTTGGTTCGGTTATGACAGTTTAATTTTATTATTAAGTCATTATAAAATTTTAATTTAGCAATTTCTAGTTTTATTTAATAAACATAATTATTTTTTCTATTACTCATCTTTTTTATATTATTTAATTATCAGCAAGTTTGGTTAGGTTATGATAGTTTAATTTTATAATTAAAAAATTATAAAATTGAATTTGAGGCATTTATAATTTTATTTTATGAACAGAACTATTTTTGCGAATAGTAAACCTTCATTGACAAAGTGCTCTCTACTACAGCGCTGTTCGCGGAGGAATTTTGAACTAAATGCCTCATTCGTACCTCCCCTAAGTCAGACCCAAATTTTTTTAGTTGAAACAGCTGACTAAATTCTTTAATTCCCTTTAAATATGAATACTCATAAGGTTAACATGGGGAATTACAGATCCACTGGGGCGGAGCCCGAAAGGATTTTTGAGATAAGAATATGCCTATATGTTAATCGGGAATGTAAGCTATCATCATGCCAATTTTCAGCCCAATCCGTCCAGTGGTTTATGCGTGATTGAACTTCAAACAAACAAACAAACAAACACACAAACTTTCACATTTATAATATTAGTAAGATAACATTAGGTTTAACGAGTACCTCGGTTTGCTGCTACAAGGAAACTAATAAAGTGTGTTTTTGAGTAAAATATTGATAGCTAGTACAAAATAAATAAATTTGCCAAGTTTGATCAAAATATATTCATAAACAAGCAAACTACAACATTTGACAATATTCTCCATAAGAATAACATGGGAATTTTAAATTTACAATTTTTTTAATTTTCTCCGTTACTAATAATCAAACAAAAATACTTTTATATACTAAATTATTTGTTTTTTTAAGCTCTTTAAAAAGGTTTAAAGAGAAATTGGGAAATTTTGTGTTTTGAGGGTCAAAAGTGAGAAAAACAAATTTTTACCCCATAAAACCCCCCGTAAAGCCCCGTTCCCATGGTCCGATCGTGCTGGTTCGCGAACTCATTCAAGTTTATCCCGCTTTACACCTTTAAACCAAATTTCATCAAAATCGGACAAAAATTACTCAAGTTATCGCGTTCACGGACGTATATATATATAAGTCTATATATATATATATATATATACATATATAAAAATTTGAACGAATAGTGTTTTTGGCCTCTGGGGACATCAAAATGAAAAAGTAAATCGGTCCCGGGTCTAGGTCTTACCGTGCCACCTACGGTAATAGCTACTTCCCTATAGGGAAATTCGCTAAAATAAATTGATCACTGTATTCCGTATTGATAAATATTTCAAAGGTACTAAATAATCTATATAATTAATACGCTACATGAAACTTTGTCGGTTGAACTCCTCCGCCATTTCTTAACCGATTTTATCCATTGACGTCTCATTGGAAAGAGCGTGTCGCGTAGATTTGCAAACTGACCTTACATTTTTGAAAAAAGTCCCTTGGGCTCTGCCCCAGTGGCTGTTAAAGTTCCCATGTTATCCTTATGAAGAACATGATTGTTTACATTTTGATCAGCTGTATATTTTAATTGCTGTTATTTTTCATTTCAAAGTCTTTTAAAACTCATCGGAAATTATGATGACTTTTATTTGTTTTTAAATAACTACTTTACTTTTTTGCAATTGCTCGATTTCGAGCAACATATTTACTAGTATTGATCAATTAGATTGTTGGTCTAAAAATATTTTAACTATGTAGGCTTGCTAGCCTATATACCAATTTATGTATTTTGATTTTTGTTTCTTTAGTATTCATAGCCATTATTTGGTATTACTAAAAGAAAAAAAAAACAATCTTTCATTAATGAAATCTTTAAATTTACAAAACCTATTAAAAAACCTCTATTAGCTACCACGCGGGTACTTAATTAGAAGTTAACTACAACAAATTTAAAAATAAACCCAAATAACGGATTAAGTACATAAAAGGTTTATACATGTCCAAATTATATACTGGCCTACCCTGTAAGGAATGCTACTTTCTTTTATAAAAAATTGTGGAAACCAGTTCTGTTTTGCCATTATTGTAAATACTGTTGTGATTCTCATCCAGGCCAAAACATAGCTTGCACTTCTGGAAATCACTAGACTATGAACACTTTAATTTTACAATTTTATAACATAGGTAATCCCTATGTAAGTAGCAGGTTAAAAGTTGTGATGAGGAATATAAATTTATACTTAAAAATTAGTTAAATAAATCGTGTATGACATTTGGCTTATTAATAACAGTCTTATTTTCAACAAATTACAACATTAACATAAATCCCAAGTAATAACATTTAACTACCGGTAGTTCTTAATTCATATAAGATTAAATAACAACAATGGAACTACTCTAATTCCTACCAAATGTCAATTGCAATAATGTGTAGCTTATCTTATTTCCATTGAATTTATATTAAACTACTTGAACTAAGGCTGAATGTACTGTAAACCAATTGTATGACCAATTTAACATATTAGGTAAAATTCTAGAGATGTTGTAAGTAATGAAGCGTTTTTATATTACAATTGTTTACATGTAATAAAATGCATTTAAGACGGTGTAAAATCAAAGGTCAGAGATGACTTAAAATAAGCAGGATTTCATAGGAATTGCCCCAAATAGTATAAAATTATTTTTGTAAAAATGTATTTATAATAGGTACTGTAAATGAATATTAGATTATTTTAAACAGCAACAACCGCTTCATACTTTTCAACAAACGTTACATTCACTATGTTTTCGCTGCCTTCCCTAACATTCTTTTCCTCCACTCTTCAAAGCTTTCTTTGGGCTCATTGTCATGAGCTTCCTGTTTGTCTTCTTCATCCAAAGATGTTTTCTGTGAGTCTGGAAAAATTTACATTTATTAGTAATATACTAGTGTACATGTTGCTCGAATTCGAGCAATTGCGAAGCATTACAGGTGTTATTTTAAAACGAACAACAGTCATAATTTCTGATGACTTTAAAAGAGTCAACACAAAGATTATGGAAATACTCACGATGTACATAACAGTTTGATATGATCAACATTTCTTGTAATATATTACTTATCATTTTTCAAAAGCTGATCTTGTTTCTTTGTGTTTTCTACAAATGTTTCCCAACATACATAGCCGCATTTGGTTGTCCATAATAGCGATTATAAATTGAAAAAACATTATTTCTATTTCTTCTACTATGACTTTCCTATGTTTCCCCAGTTTGCAAATCGGCTCTTTCAATGATTGCTCAAGAAATGCAGCACAGCGTTAATTCAGTTTTCTTTTTAGTAGCCTATATCAAATTGTCCAGGCTTACTAGCTTTTTTCTATTGTCATATTTACGCCAACCCAAATTCAAAAAGTAAATATTTCATTTCAATGTTTATAGCACACGTTTTCTTAAATTAAATAACTTCTTGATCAGGGTTGTACGTGTTATTAAATTTACTGAAAGTAAATAAAAGAAACGTCTTATAACACTTAAAACATATATTTACACTTATAATTTTACTTACAATAGGCCTACGGTAAATATACAAAAAAGATGGTAGGCTAAGTGGTGATCGATTTCGATTGGACACTCCAATCATCATCAGACCCAATAGGCGAATGTGAAATCGACCACCACTTACCATCTTTTTTGTATATTTACCGTCTTGTAACAGTATAGCGTAAATATATGTTTTAAGTGTTATAAGAGGTTTCTTTTATTTACTTTCCGTTCCTTAAATTGCAACCAATATATTGAGAGCAATTACATTATCCAGCTAATCATAATGTAAACAATAAGTTCTTTATAAGGTTAACATGGGAGCTTTAAAAACCACTGGGGCAGAGCCAAGGGACTTTTTCAAAAATGTAAGGTCAGTTTGCAAATATACACACCTAGACGATCATTTAGCAATTTTATATGTGGTGTTAAATCTTAAAACAAAAAAAACCTTAACTTGTTGTTTACAAAGTTTCATGTAGCGTATTAATGATAAAGATTTTCAAATCACAGCTACACTTATGCTGTTTGTCTGAAATCGACAGAACAAATTGGTGTTTCTGACTCCTGCCACTAAAGCATGTAAATTTAATATTTTATCAAAACATTCGTAAGTTCGAATAGAATGACGCATAGTAAAAGTGGACGGGGTAACTGCTGAATATAATGCTCGCCTTGTAATCAGATGGTAGTCATTAGTGTTGTACTATCCAAGAAACAAAAATAATTATCAAGTTCTGATTAAAATTTTTATAATTTTACCAATAGAACTATTCTCTAAATTTTGGTGTGTTCTGTTAGATTTGATTTGTAGAAAACTGAGAACTGACTAATTAATTGTGTTGAGGATTTTATATAGTACTGCTTTGCTTAGTGCTATACAGTATAATCAAATATCTTTTTAATGTGTCTTTTAATATCAGCTGCTTGATTAATAGACAATAGACAATAGACAAATAATCTTTATTTACACATTCATTAAGAATAGTAGTAGCGTCAATTTACAATTTTTTCTAAATGTTTGGTTGAGGTGTTGTTTAGTCAAAGACCTGTTGACGGTATTCTTCTAAGGAATAGAAAGGTCGATTAATGAGCCATTGATGCAAAGCTGGTTTGAGGTCATCTTCTGACTTGCTTCTTAGATCTGGAGGTAGCCTGTTGTAGATTTTCATTCCTGCGTATGAAGGTTTCTTTTCAAACTGTGTCGTGCGATGTTGTGGAAGGTTGTACTGCATGGTGTTTCTCAGGTTGTGTTGGTGCATTTCGCCACGCCTTGTAGGGTTATTTCTTACTGCAAATAACACAACTTCCTGGATGTAGAGTGCTACAAGGGTAAGTACTTTGAGTGACCTGAATGCTTCCCTGCAGCTGTCGAGTCTGTGGAGTCCTGCAGTTATTCTGACTGCCTTTTTTTGTTTTCTGAGAACTCTTTGCATGTTAGTGGCAGAGGTTCCACCCCATGCTACAAGTCCATATCTCATATGCGACTCGAAAAGTGCAAAGTATGCTACTTTTGTTGTCATGTCATCTGTTGCATTTTTTATATGTTTAAGAGCATAGATGGTTGAACTTAATTTTTTACATATATTGTCCACATGAGGGGTCCAGGTTAAATTCTTGTCGAGTGTGATGCCCAAAAACTTAGCTTCATCTTCCACTTCTACATCTGGGAGTCGTGGCACTTCTTGAGATTTACGGCCAAAAGCTATTTGAGTTGTTTTAGACGTGTTTACTGCGAGATCATTGTTATAGCAGTATTGGTAGGCCATACTGAGTGACACATAGGATTTTACTTCTAGATTTTCAGCTAGTGGTTCATTAAACACTAAGGTTGTGTCATCAGCATACATAAGAGTAAGGCAGGCGTCTCCTATTTGTTGCGGCAAATCGTTGGTAAAAAGAATAAACAGTACCGGACCCATAACTGAACCTTGGGGAACTCCTCGATTTATTGGTTGAAAATTTGATCTTGTTTTTCTTATTAGGCTGTTATCTCTGTGCCTTAGTTCTACAAACTGACTCCTGTCTGTAAGGTAGCTTTGAAACCATTCTCTTACTATCCCTGATACCCCCAGGGAATCCAGCTTTTTAATGATTAGCTGGTGGTCAAGGCAGTCAAATGCCTTACTGAAATCAAGAAAGATTCCTGTTGTTAGATTTCCTTCATCTAGGCTGTCAATCAGGGACTCAACCATCTGAATTATTGCTGTTGTTGTGGATTTCCCTTTTGTAAATCCATGTTGAAGGTTGTTTAGTAGGTTGTGATTTGTGCAGTGGTCTAAAAGTCTTTTTAAAACAACTTTTTCGTATATTTTGGAGAAGGTGGAAACGAGGGAAATTGGTCTGTAGTTGCTTGCTTCTAATGTGCTACCTTTTTTAAATTTCGGGTATACTTTAGTTATTTTAAGTAGTGAAGGAAAGATGCCTTGTTTTAGGGACTTATTTATCAAATCAGCCAATGGTAGTGCTAGTTCATTGCAGCAATGCTTAAGTATTTTTGATTAGATTATTATGTTGTTCTAATATGTTCACAGTTTGAAGTGTTAATGTTTTAATATCTTTCCTTTTTACATCAATTATTAATAAAGTATTTTATGTATTTTATTCCCTCATTTCATCAGGTTATGGGCCCAGAAGACGTTTTTGATATAATTCATTTTGAATATGTATAAAACTACATTAAAATGAAGAATTCAGGGCTGATTGTGTTTGGTAAGATTTCTAGGCTTATGAACAATATTTTGTTACCTAATTTCTTGAACTGAATTTTTATGTTGTTTGACCTAAAATGGAAACTACACAAGAAAACACTAATACAACTCATACTATTACACCTACCTCAAGTAATACAGAATTGTCTAGTATGACAAATATTATAATGGGAGGAAATAGTAATGTTGAACGTCTAGAGGGTGTTTCAAATTATAACAATTGGAAGTTTTCTATGAAAATGGCATTAATAATTGATGGACTTTGGGATTGTGTATCTGTTGATACTGAAATCAAAGATAAAAACAGGGATCAAAAGGCTCTTGCAAAAATTTGTTTAAATGTTTTGCCTACTTGTTATCCTTATGTTAGGAATGCTAACACTGCTAAAGAAGCTTGGGATAATCTCCAGAATGCTTTTGAAAACAAAAGTTTGGTTAGAAGACTTAGTCTTTTAAGACGTTTACTTAGAACTAAATTGGAAGATTTTAGCACAATGGCAGACTATGTAAATGGAACTTTGTCCTTAGTTCAACAGTTAGCTGACATAAATCACATTGTTGGTGATGAAGAAGTTGCAATGCTACTTCTGGGTGGTTTACCTTCAGAATATGAACCGCTTATTATGGGTATTGAAGTAACTCAAACAACTGTCTCAAGTGAGTTTGTTAAAACTCGTCTCTTACAAGAAGATTTTAGGAGGTCTGAAAATACTTCAACTGGAAGTGAATCAGCTTTGGTAACTAAACATTCTTATGCCAAGAAAATTGAGAAGTTGAAAGATTCAAAAGATAAGTTTAGACCACAGAAGAAAATTATTTGTCATCTTTGTAACCAACCTGGTCATATTAAGCATAACTGTCCTAATCTAGGCAATAATTCTCAGCACAGATCTAAGGCAAATTATGTTGGGAAACACAAAGAAAATGACAATCTGTTGCTTACGACTGTTTTCCATACTGAAAATATAAAATCTTATGCATCCAAAGTTGATCATAATGATTGGGTAATTGATTCAGGTTGTACAACTCATATGAGTAATCAAATGGGGAAAAATGGTAAGTTTGAAAAGAAGGAAGTTTTGGTGGCCAATAATGCAAAACTTACAAGTAAATGTGTTGGTGATATTGAACTTTATATAGAAAATTCTAATAAAGTTACTGTTAAGGATGTTTTATACATACCAGAACTTGCTACTAATTTGTTGTCTGTAAATAAAATTACAGAAAAAGGTAAAATAGTAGTTTTTGACAAAGATTCGTGCAGAATTTATTCAGAAAATGACTGTCGAATAGAGGGAAATAGTGACATTTCTGCTGTGAATGACGGTGGTGTATATAAACTAAACTTAATTGAGCCAACAGAGTTGAATGGTCACTATGAATTCAAAGAAGATAATTCATCAGCTGCTCTTACAGTTGCTACCAAAGGTACGTGGCACCGTAGATTAGGTCATCTAAGTCATAAAGGAATGGATTTACTAAGAAATGGTTTAGTTAATGGAGTAAATTATTCAAAATCAGAAAAGGAGAATACTTGTACCGCATGTATTGAAGGTAAGATAACAAGAAAATCTTTTCCAAAAGGTCAAAGTATCAGAGCTACTTCATTACTTGAGCTAATTCATTCAGACTTATGTGGACCTATGTCAGTTAAAAGTTGGGGTGGATCTCTTTATCTTTTAACATTCACCGATGATCTCTCGAGAAAAACTTTTGGCTATTTACTTAAACACAAAAATGAAGTTTTAAGTAAGTTCAAAGACTTCAAAATGGAAGTTGAAAATCAAACTGGCTTTAAAATTAAGCGCTTGAGAACTGATAATGGCAAGGGTGAGTATGTTAACAAACAATTTGCAGATTTTCTACGTTTAAATGGCATTATTCATGAGACCACTATACCCCACACTCCAGAGCAAAATGGTGTAAGTGAACGTGTTAACCGAACACTAGTTGAAAAGACAAGATGTTTACTTCAAGATTCAGGTTTAGGAAAACGATATTGGGGAGAAGCTATAAACACAGCTATCTATTTGAAGAATCGTAGTCCTACAGCAGCTTTAAAGAATGCAACACCAGAGGAAGTTTGGACTGGTTCAAAGGTTGATCTAAGTCACTTACGGGTTTTTGGCTGTAAAGCTTATGTTCATATTCCCAAATGTTACGGAAAGAAACTTGACACAAAAGCAAAGCCTTGTATTATGGTTGGGTATTGTGAACATTCCAAAGGCTACAGACTAATTGATCCTAAGAAACCTTATTCTATTATAAAAGCATGTGATGTACTTTTTGTAGAAGACCAATGTCATTCCTCTGATGTGAAAGATGACCTGAAAAATGAAAGTCAACAAGTTGAATACACTGTTATAAACAGTAGCACAACTGAACTTGTGGAAGAACCAAACAATGATATAACATGTGTTGACAACGAAGAAAATCTTGTTCATTCTAACAGTGAAAGTGAACAGGGAGTTTCAGTAAATGAAAATACTTATCTAGAACAGCAAGTTTTGGAAGAAGGAAATTCTTTGATTGGAGATAAAAGACCTGAACGTGATCGCAGAAAACCATTATGGATGAACGACTTTGTTTCATATCAAGCTGTTGATGTTTTCGCAGAACCACAAACTTTCAATAAGGCAATTGAAAACAATTTCAAAGAAGAATGGATGAATAACATGGACAAAGAGTATAATTCTCTAATTAAGAACAATGTTTGGGAGTTAGTTGATCGTCCGAAGAATGAAAATGTGGTTAAACGCAAGTGGGTTTATAAAACTAATAAAAATGTAGATGGTGATCGTGAGAAGTTCAAAGCACGTCTTGTTGCTAAAGGTCAAGAATATGGTTAAGAAGTGAATTTAAATTAAGTATTTGCCAACTGAAAATATGACGGCTGATATTTTAACCAAATCATTGTCACGTGAAAAATTTAATAACTTTGTGACAGACTTGGGACTTAAAGACTCAGATTAAATAAAAAAAAGATGTTTGATTAAGGGGGAATGTTGAGGATTTTATATAGTACTGCTTTGCTTAGTGCTATACAGTATAATCAAATATCTTTTTAATGTGTCTTTTAATATCAGCTGCTTGATTAGATTATTATGTTGTTCTAATATGTTCACAGTTTTAAGTGTTAATGTTTTAATATCTTTCCTTTTTACATCAATTATTAATAAAGTATTTTATGTATTTTATTCCCTCATTTCATCAAATTGCTCAACCTAACATTGTCCAAGTCCAGTGAGGTTGCACCGGTCACATATGCATCCATTGTTGCAATGTCCTTGAGATCAGCTAACAGCAAACAGGAAACTTAGGCAAAATAAAGGGAGGGGAAAAATCCTAGACTTAGGTGAAGGGGTTATAAAATATTATAATTCTTTTGAAATTAGACAAGTACATTTTTGAATAGGTGAAACCTCTTATTGAAAAATACAAAGATATGTTGTCGTGGGGATACCAGCTTAATTGGCCCAAACTACGTTGAGGTCGCAAAAGTCAAATATTACTTTTCCACAAAAACATAAACAAAAATGTAAGATTAACCCTTAGAGTGCCAGGCGAGAAATAAAAGTAACGCTCAAAAAATGCCGATGATTTTTCCCGAAGGTCGCGCTAAAAATGCCGAGCGCGATCTGGCGATTTTTAGGTTAAAATTTCGTAAAAATCGAATTTTCGATATTTCGACCAACAAAAATCGATGTATCGCATCTAGTAACTTTCGACTAAATGTTAATATATGGGTTAAAAGAATCCGAGTATCCATTCGGTTGTTATGACAACTGTCCGATCATTACGAAACGTCCGGCTCGTTCTAAAAACGTCCGGTCGGCCGGACGTCAGCACTTTTGGCTCGTTTTAAAAACGTCCGGTTCCCCGGACGTTGGCACTCAAAGGGTTAATCATCAGAATACCTTTGACCATTTCTTCCACCATGTCTATCAGCGTGTGACCTCTTTTGCGAGGTGTTGCTCGATCCGTCTGTTCTGTTAGTGTACCCAACTCTCCAGCTAGCTTGTCAAAATCTTTAACTTTAATACGACACAAATCCACCAGAATTTCTCGTTTTGCTCTAGCTTTCTTGTGTCTAAAACAGTTAAAAATTACCTGGATTATATTTCTAAAGGAGTCAACTTTTATACTAACTTAGAAAAGCATGAAATAAAATATATAATCCTTTCAGTACCACTAGAGACTAGATTAAATCCTCTCCTACACCCACAATTATTGTTATAAATTTAACATGAGGATGGAATGTATAGTTTTATTAATATTATATACAAAAAAAAAAGGGAAAAGTACTCATTGAAGTTATTTCAAGTATTATAAGATTGAAATTTCTCAAGTTAAACATAAATTACAGTACCTGCAGGCTGCTAAGACAGCTGCACAAGGGTACATTGGGTGACTCAGGTCGATGGGAGGAAGTCTGACAGCTGCGTCTTCTTTACTGCGGACATATCTGGAACCAAACTGCTAACTGTAGAGCTGCGAATACCAAACTGTTTACAAACAAGGCTACTTAGATGGCATGGTTGACTACTTGATGTATTGACATTTCATTACTATAATACAGCTGTTGGGAGTTTTAGAATATAAATGAACTTAGACTAGATAAATTGAGCAACTGAAAAGAAGGCCCTGACATACAATACTTATTACTTTTGGAAACACCAACTTTTAAAACAAGCCTAACAGAAATAAATCAATTTTGGTCACATCAACTATCTTAGTACAATTTATCAAAATTGGGGATAAAAGATAATTTTGAGAGTAGTAGGTGGCTCATTTAAATGTTCTATCATCCTACAGTCCAACCTCAGTATAACGAATCTGAAGGGACCGAACTGAATATTCGTTATATCAAGGATTTTGTTAAAACGAGGTTCGTTATATAGAGGTTAGGTTTGCAGGAATTTCGCTAAGTCGAGGTTCAGAACCAAATATAGGTCGGGATTTGACCTCATTAAAATACAATTAAAGTAGCATAGGCTACGCTACAATACTTTACAGTACAGTGTTTACATTGTACAGTAGAACCTAAATTATCCGGCAAAATAAAGGGGAGGGATCTTGAATATTGCGCAATCATGACAATGGCATGGACCTTGGTACAGGTTAAAAACTGTATGTTTAAAATCACAGCTTGTTCTAACCCTCCTAAAACCTAGCCAAACACTGTATTGCGTAGTCATAAACCATGTAAAGAACAAAACAAAACAGTAGAAAGTTTTGTAAGCTACTGACTGCTCCGTGATAGGCCGGTAGGCTACTTACAGTACAGTACTGATTTATCACATCAGAGGAATGTCAATAATAATCATTAACATATAGCATTGGTGTTGCTTGTTGAAACAAATCGTATTGAAAACAATAAATTATTAGATAAGTCATTATAAAAGTGTATAATCATAGCCAACTTAAGGATAATAAAAACACTCGTAAAAGGGATGTTAAGATAACGATGTTGCTATTCTTTCTCTTTGGTTTTGTTTTTATATTCTTTCTTAGTTTTCTCTTTATTCAAAAATTGTACAATTCACCATAATTATCCCATATCGCCCAATCACAGCTTACTAAACATTACGTCGTCATCAGTCCTCAGTGAATGAAATCAGTTTAGTTCTCAGTTGCAACATAGCGCGCGCAGCGACAGCAGACAAAGATGTAAAACGGAGCAGACGAATGTTAGCGCAAGCGATGATGTGACCTTTCCATTTCATTTGATAAAGAAACAGATTTTTCCAAAACAATAATTGGGTGGGGGCGGGGGATTTGTTATATCGAGGGAAAGACGTAGACAATTCGTTATACAGAGGTTAAATTCGCAATGTAGAGGTTCTGACAATGATAAATTCGTTATATTGAGGTGTCTTATTTTAGCCGACATCACGAAAAATTTGTTAAATCAAGGTCGTTGTTATGGTTTGTTCGTTATGTAGAGGTAAAATATACATTGTGTCTTATGGAGAGTTCTAGGGGATTAAAAAAAATTTGTTATATCAAGGAATTCGTTATATCGAGGTTCGTTATATCAAGGTTAGACTGTATTTGAATACAACAATTGGGTGTAGTCCATACATGCTGGTCCATACATTTGGGATATCCACTTCTGTAGCCCCCCAAAATGACAAGATCCAAAACTCAATTATGGCATTTAAAGGAGTACATATTGCCATTGGTCAAAGAGATGGAAAATGAAATCATTTACTGGGGGGAAGAGGGTTGTTGGTTCAGTAGTTAAATAATCCTATAACTATGGGGCGTACAGGACATGGAGCACAAAACCCATTAAACTTGTCTTGCTCATTTTTATTTTAAACAAAGTGTTTAACTTGTTAAAACCTTTTTAATGGATTTCAATATATATTTAAGTTTAAAGAAATTACGAATTACATCATAAAACTGTATTACGTACTAATTATTCATTAGGATGAAGAGCTTAGGGTTTATTCTGAATTGATTAGGACTGGACCATTTCGGATTACCAAATTATTCAAATCAGCCTAAGAATGCTGTAAAATTACATACAAAGATAAAGCAATGTATTTTTATCACAGTTATTAGTCATATTGCTTCTTGATCAAAACGTGATCGTCTCCCGCAGTTGCGGCAACACCCGTGATAATCTCTCAAGATCATAGACAATAACCCTAACGAATGAAATGTCATTGATGAATGGACCATTGGTTATGGGTGATATTCTAAATTTCCCAATTCCATACCAAATTAACAGACTTTTTTCTGGCCAACAACATTTAAGTTTTTTTGCAGTTTCCCGGTTGACTTGATTGTATTTCAGAATACATCGCTGTTTTAGCGAATTTCCCCTAAAGGGAATAAGCTATTACCGTAGTACTCATGGTAAGACCTGGACCCGGGACCGATTTACTTTTTCGTTTTGAGGTCCCTAGAGACCAAAAACACCATCCGTTCAAATTCATATGTATATATATATATATATATATATATACATTTATATATGTGTCTGTTAGCGTGATAACTCGAGCAAAAATCATCCGATTTTGATGAAATTTGGCACAAACGTGTAAACCTACGTTTATTCGAACGAGTTCGCGAACCAGCATGATCGGACTATGGGAACAGGGGTTTAATGATATGTACTGTTTACTAAATTCTGCTCTAGAATTTAAATATATATAAAAATTGGGTTTTCCCATTTTTGACCATACAAACTTAAAATTTAGCATTTTCTTTCTAAACCATTTTGTAGGGCTTAAAAAAACAAATAATTTAGTATATTGAAGCGTTATTATACGCCTAATGGTTACAGAGAAAATTCCAAAAAACTGTAAATTTAAAATTCCCATGTTATTCTTATGGAGAATAAGTAAAATGTTGTAGTTTGCTTGTTTATGATCATATTTTGATCAAATTTGGGAAATGCATTCATTTCATACTAAACTATTAACATTTCACAACAACAAAAAAACACCTTTTTACCCTCCCTGTTGCAGCAAACCTATGTACTCGTTAAACTAATGTTATTTAAATAGGGAATAAATGTGATATTTTTGAGGAGACATTTTAGTGTAAATCCAATCAGGCAACAAATGGAAATTTGCTTAGTCTGCAGGTTTGCTGCGGCGAGGGTATTTAGTACTGAAAACTTTTCACTCCCTCTTTAAAAACAAATTCAACATCATATCTAGAAACAGTAGTCCCGTATAATTGAACACTCCAGACAACACAACACAATAGACTGGCAGCCAATACCAAGTAGTGCAAGTGTGTAGTGCTTCATAACTATGTATACTAATTGATAACTGACGACGTGGCCTACAATCAGGAGCTCTCTCCACCACATTTCTGGCGACACTACCAAGGTCGCTGAGTGTTCTGTAGTCAATATGATGCACGGTCCGTTGTGGTGGAGCGGCCATGGCGGCACTGGAATGGAGGCTAAGTGGGCAGTCCCCACTAAATAATAACTTTAACTTTCTTTCCACATTATCTAGATCCACAATTCCGATATGTTTAGTTGGCTAGTCTTTGCTCACCTATCAATTAGTGTCCGAGCAAGGTCAGCCACGTCAGAGCCTACTGCCACTTTGACGCAGAGCTCGGCTACAGTGAGTGGTTTGTCCAGCTGAAGAACCTTCTCTACTGTGTAGTAAAGACTTGCGTAGTTCTTCTTTGTCACCCCAGCTACTTTGATGGCTAATGCCTATTTTCATTACAGAAAATAGTTTGAATCAATTAAATGCAATTGCTCATCATTTCATCAAAAAAGTAGCTTGTAGTTTGAACTATTTTCGGACTCAAAACAACTCCTTCGTTACCAACATCTAATTTCTTTAAGCGAACTTCCCTATAGGAAAGTAGCTATTACCGTAGGTGGCACGATAAGACCAGGGACTGTTTTCCTTTTTCGTGTGCCCAAAGGCCAAAAACACTATTCGTCCAAATTTTGATATATGTGTCTGTGAATGTGATAACTCGAGTAGGCCTGCTTCATTTTTGGAATAAGATTTCAAGATCTTTATTTGTCAATAAGTGATACTGTACAAGTATTACAATAGACATCGTCAAAGTTTTTTTTAAATATTACATACAGTTAATTTCCTGTTAGAGTAGGCCTAACAGTAAGAATGCACCAAGTGAGTAGCAATCACTCTTTAAAATATAACTGTTAACATTTAACTAACTCTAAAATAAATAAATAAACAATTTACATGTCAATGATCATAAATAAAATCTGTAAATATAATAACGATAAAATCTTTAAATATAATAACAATTAAATATTTAAATATATTAATATTAACATTGATGTTCTAAAAACATAGGGTACTAATATCACAGGCCAGATAATCGTCTATAGAAATGAAATGAAAAAAAAAACTAATAATAATAAAAATAAAAAAATTAAAATAAAAAAATAAAAATAAAATTAATAATATAATAAAATAAATATAATAAAAATAAAATTTTTTAAAAAAATAAATAAATGGAATAAAAAACATTTTTCTTAAGCCATTGTTTTATAATAAAAACAAATTGTTTAAAGGGTACAATCCATGCCTTTTTGGGCAATTTATTGAATAGTTGTATCTTCATACATATGTGGCTGCTCTTTGTTTTTTCCAATCTTACACAAGCTAAATCTAATTGATAGTTATTCCTAGTACAGTACTGATGAGTTTCGTTTCTAGTTGTAAAATTTTTCAAATACTCCTTAACATCTATTAGAAACAGTAAATATATAGATTAGGCAAAGTCATTATTTGTAATTCTTTGAATATTGGTTTACAAGACTGTCTTTGTGGTATATTCTTGATTGCTCTCAGTGCCTTTTTTTTTTGCCATCCAAGAGCAGTCTGCGCACTGCAAGAGTTGCCCCATAAGGTTATACCATATTGTAGATGGGAATGAAAAAAAGCATAGTATGCAGTAATCAGCATATCTGCAGTAACACAGTGTCTTAGTTTTCTGAGAAGACAAACCACTCTGGCCAGTTTCTTACACAATTGCTCTAAGTGACTATCCCAACTTAGCCTGCTGTCTAAATATATACCTAGCAATTTCACAGATTTAATATCCTTATAAATAGAGTAGTTAAGAGTAAAAATGATATTTTCAGTTTTCTGGTTATTTACAATTAAATGATTGGATTGGAACCATTCTTGTGCAACTTGTAAAGCCTGACTCTAAAGTTTTTAAGGTTCCTTTAAATCTTTATGGCTGTTTAGAAGTGATGTATCATCTGCATAAAGAACAGAGGTACAAGGAATATTGAATGAGAAATCATTAACTGCAATGATAAATAGTAGTGGCCCAAGCACTGATCCCTGGGGTACACCATTTTCAATTTTCTTAAAGCTAGATTTGTCTTTGCCCTGGATTACCATTTGCTCTCTGTCACTTAAATAAGAAGCTAACAACTTCAACTCTTGGCCCCTTATACCATAGCTGTACAGTTTCTTAATAAAAAGCTCATGTTGCATTCAGTCAAAAGCTTTTGTTAAATCAATTAGTAATGCGGACGAAAGAAGTTTATTGACAATAGGCTACTTTCTACTGCTTTGCAACTTCCCTCGCTTACCAACAAAAACTGTTTGTATGCCAACTATAAATCTTTGGATTCAGGTCATTATTTTATGGATTTAAAAAAAGATATGGTTTGGAACTTCCCTATAGGAAAGTAGCTATTACCGTAGGTGGCACGATAAGACCAGGGACTGTTTTCCTTTTTCGTGTGCCCAAAGGCCAAAAACACTATTCGTCCAAATTTTGATATATGTGTCTGTGAATGTGATAACTCGAGTACTTCATTTTTGGAATAAGATTTCCCTCGCTTACCAACAAAAAGTGTTTGTATGCCAAATATAAATCTTTGGATTCAGGTCATTATGTTATGGATTTAAAAAAAGATATGGTTTGGAATTTTTGGTTGGTCTAATGCTTGTTAGATGATAGATTAAGGGTAATACATTAAAAAACCCTCATAATAAACTGACCTTGTCAAATGAACAACCAAGTTTATCAGCTGCTAGATTTAAGCAAATTACGACAGCACATGTCTCACTCAAGTTAGGAAGTCCAGCACCTCGCTTGATTCGAAAAAGACGTAAATATTCATATCCTTTCCTGAAATAAAAACAAAATACCTGTATTACACAAAGCTTCAATTGATATACCAACTAGCAGAGTACCCATCCTTCATACGGGGTTGGCGTATAAATATAAAATGCGTATTGCAGTTATACTCGTGCTTTGCATTTGTAATGGGAGAGGACAGGGTTTAAGGAAACTTTGTTATGTCATAAATGCAAAAATAATTAATAGTGCTGCACACTGAGGGTAAAGCCCCCCATACACGGGCGAGCATGTCCGTGAGCCTGTTGGCGGACACGCTCGCGAACATGCTCGGCGTCTCCAACAGATGACCGAGCATGCTCGCGAGTTTGCTTGCCGCCACCGCACTTCCAACATGCTTGCCGGTACGAAAATTTTTCTATAGGCCTAATGTCTCAATATGATAATTTGCATGAAATACTTAAGCAGATAATAATGTTTGGGCTAGTAAAGTTAACTTTTCTTTAATCTTAGGTGACAAATATGAAAAAAGGATCAATAATAATGTTGAACATGATCAAAATAGCATGCATTCTCTTTGAGACATTCCCACAGACTTCCGACATTCTATCTGAGAAATGTCATCCATCCCCCAAAAATAGATGAAAATGTTCTTAAAATATTACCACTTTTGGTAAGCTAATGCAACATAACTTTACAATTCAAGTATTAACTTATAGGGTGAAAAATTACCAAACAAACTTAATGTGTAAAAACCACTTGCTTTATACAGAAGAACCTCGTTAATTCAAATTTCAGAGGAAAGACAATATATTTTGAATATGGGAAGTTTGAAATATAGAGAGTTTGATTTATAGAGGTAAGATAAATACAATAATTTGAATTATGAAGGTCCCAGTTTGAATTGTAGAGAGTTTGAGAGAACGGAGACTAATTAACACATCGCGGGAACATCAATAAGAGTGTCAGTTCATGTTTCAACAGGCATACCTTTTGTCCTGAATTTGAATTACAGAGGCTTACGGTAACGCAGTTCGAATTGTAGGGGTTGACATCGAATTTTGGAAGTAACAGTTCGAATTACGGCAACAAAATTCAAATTGTAGAAGCTCGAGTATCTGCAAATTCAAATTGTAGAGGCTGCATAAGCGTAAAAATCACTTTGAATATCGGTATGTTATTTTTTTAATTTTGGAGGTTTTCTGAGAGGAACAGACAAACATTTCTAATAATGGTTTTCGAATTATCGAGACTGTAAGTGGTTTTGAGAAAATAGTCCAAGCAAACTAAGAAAACTGACACAGGGATCATTAAAAAAATTGCAAGAAAACGTTTTATGGTTTTACTTTGTAGTGTTGGGTTTGCAGAATGACATACTAAAAGTTGCCAAAAATCGGTGCACGAGAAAACTACTAAAATCACAATTTAAAATGGCGGCTTTTCCCAACATTGGAAAATTTTTAAAAAAGACACCACATGCATTTTGTATGAACATTTTTTGAGAAACTGACCTGGGACCACCGCCGATATTTATTGGGTTGTTAGTACTTCATTTTGATAGGGAACGCGTTTTTGGCCGCCATCTTGAATCCGCCATATTGGACATAGATATATTTTTTTAAACGTAATGATAGTGTTGTGACACATCATTTCAAACTACATTTTTACACTGATTTCAATGCCAAAATCCGTTTTTTAATGAATAAGAAAAATAATTTTTAAAAAATTATCAAACTACGAAACGTCCATAAGAAATGTATGGAGGAGAGTTTTCGTTTCAACATATCTTCTAAACGAAAAAAGATATTTAAAAAACGGATTTTGGCATTGAAAACAGTGTAAAAATGTTGTTTGAAATTATGTGTGACAACACTATCATTACGTTTAAAAAAATATATCCATGTCCAATATGGCGGCCAAAAACGCGTTCCCTATCAAATTAAGTACTAACGACCCAATAAATAACGGTGGTGGTCCCAAGTCAGTTTCTCAAATAATGGTCATACAAAATGCATGTGTTATCTTTTTTTTAAATTTTTCCAATGTTGGGAAAAGCCTCCATTTTAAATTGTGATTTTAGTGGTTTTCTCGTGCACCGATTTTTGGCAACTTTTAGAATGTCATTCTACAAACCTAAAACTACAAAAGAAAACCATAAAATGTTTTCTTGCAATTTTTTTAGGTCATATCCTATATTTCTCTGACTAAAAGGAAATCTAAAAATTTCTGCATGAAAGACAATGATACAAGGCTTCGTCAATGCTCAAGTTAACTTAGTGATATAACTGAAATGAAATATCATTTATTTACACAAGCAAAGTTAGAGCCACATGGCCCTTTTTACACTTAACCTGTAAACTTATATCTTTTGTAAAAATAACTTATATTTTGATCATTTGTAATGGGTGACAAAACTGTTATTACTCGTATGTACAGTTCTGCAGAGAACCTAAAATAATAAATAATTGGATGAAATTTTAGGCCTAGTAAATTTTGTAAATGGTATAGGCTTAGGCCTACTGTATTGTACGTCAAATTAACTTAAAGCAAAAAAAACTAGGTAGCCTTACCAAGCACAAACGCTGAAGCGTGTAAATCTCCCTTAATTTAAATTGGTAGTAAACCATAGTAGGCCTATAGCTCTATTATTAGTGCCACAATGTCAGGGTAAAAAAATAATGTAGGCCCATTAGCCTAACTCATAGTCTGAGTATTGTCACTTCAGCTTCATATATTATAATTGTTTTGTTATACTTCAATTAGGTTATACCCTATTAATTGTTGTATTTTTCTTTTTTCTCTTAAATATTTTTTGTAACGCAGAGATACGCATCCAGTATGTTAATCGGGCGTAGATTGGGCATACGGCAGTGACGTCACCGGGTAGTGGGGGCCCGGAATACCATAACCGCAACGATACGAAGAGCAGTCGATTGGTGTTCGTGGAGTAGTGGATAGTGTACCCAGCTCATATCCAAGAGGTATCCAGATCGAATGCCCTTGGTGACACTAACTTTTTGTTAAAGATTCTGCTTAGAATGCAATTTCTTCTTAACTGTACATCATTTGTTAGAATTTGAGGCATTAATAATTTCATTTTATGAACAGAATATAACCTTCATTCAATTTGAAATTATAAATGAAAAAAAAATTAAATAAAAAATCATTTATTTACACAGGCAAAGTTAGGGTCACATGGCCCTTTCTTACACTTAACCTGCACTTTAAAATATAATATAAATATTTTAGGCTAACAGAATCAGCTTAAACTTATACAATAAAGCAAAACCGAAATCATAGATACAGAAACTTTTATCAAAAATCAGTAAATTTTAAAAATACTTACACACACACACTCACACATACATACATCCAAGTCAGTGACCGCCATGCGCACAAGCCCCTACGACAAACCTACCATGGTCATACGTTCAAAATAGAGATTTTTTAGTGCTGCCACAAACCGGGAACGACTATCGAGGGATTTAATAGCTAAAGGGAGATCGTTCCAATGACGGCAAGCAGCTACAACAAACGCTCTGTCGTAAACCGCGGTCCTATGGTGAGGCATACGCAAAGTTAATGATGCATGGTGTGAGTATTTAACACTTTCTTCAGCTACAAATCTAAAATCATCTACAAAATATTTTGGAAAATTGTTTTTTAATATTGAATAGGTTAGCGAAAGAATTTTGATTGATCTCAGGTCACATAGCTAACTTAGAATGAATGCATAGAAAGGGGTGATGCGCTCACTGCGTCTTAGATCATAAATGAACCTTAGGCAGTAGTTCTGAGCGCATTGGAGAGCATCAGCGAGGATTTGTTTCATTATCAGCAAGTTTGGTTAAGTTATTTAAGTTAGTTTATGACAGTAAATGCCAGACGCCGGACGCGTAGGCCTACTGGTATCCTCTGCCTTTTTGTAAACTGGCATGTACCGTTGGAAGTATAAATAAATAAACTGATTGAACCAAATCACACCAATAGGCTATAGGCTACTGTACTATAGGGTCGATACTTACTTAGATAATTTATCTGAAGAATCTAACATGAGTTTTTCCGTGATTTTGTTTAAAAGTTTTGTATCATTTTCAAAAGAAAATGAAGTCATGACTTCAAGCTAAACGTTAACAATTAGAAAATGTTCTACAGAGAGGAACTAATAAATTTTAAAGTTGAACTAGGCTTTAGGCTGAAAATCTCCTGTAAAACACTGGTCACTGGTGAGTGCTCTCGTCTAGCTCTTATTGATAGAGATAGATGACTGGACTGACAAAAAATGACAATGACAGTGACAGAGGACACGATACACATACACACAAACGCAATCGGTACAAAACAAACAAAAAGGCGGGAAAATGGGAAGATCAAGATAGACGCGCTTTGCGCTTACGATTAAGCCAGTCAAGGGATTCAGTCAAAACGAAATCAACTGGACTTAAGAGGGTTCCCTACCCCCGCCGAAAAACGTCAGAAAACCGCTTCGCGCGGTATCATATAGCGATTCTAGTTTTAACATTTAAATTGTGAACCAAACACCATTTTGTACATAAAGAGTGGTTCTACTAAGTTTGCTTTTTAAAAAATGTCTATGCTTACGCAATCAAGGGCAACGACTTGTCAAAGTTAGTGAACTTTACAGTTAAATAATAATATCTTTTTATGAAATTATCGATTTTTTATAAAGCAATATTAGTGCGAAATTTAACTAAAAATATCAAGTCACTTTTAGTTTCAAGAAAAGATTATTTTTTGTAAGTGCAAAATGAAACCGCGTAAAACCTTGCACGGCGAAAAGTGCTATGATTCTGACGGACTCTATCGGCCTTTATCGAAACTACTGTCTCGCGGAGGGACCACAATAATGTTAAATGGACCAGCAGACAGCAATCCTAAGGAATATTTTGTCGTCTTGTAGTTCCAACTAAACTCACCAGGGTCGCAGAAAATTGAAAACAGTTCGAGGTAGGGAACCCCCTTAAGTTGGTATCAGACTCAGGGAGAGGTAAACTTAGCCTATTGCAATTTTTTTTAATAAAGTTTTTTTACAATCTGTTTTATCTATGGTTTTACATTAAACAATAAGTAAATATGATGGCATTTATATAAATAAAATAAAAATTGGAAAACATGAGAAACAGCTTTAGCACTAACAAAAAAAAGCAAAGAAAATAAATTTCAGAGCTGCTGTACAAATCGAGTCGGAAGGTCTAAAACATTTCTCTCTTTTTAGTCTGTAGACATGTTGACTGTTGTCATGTTGTCTATAGTCCTCGCCACCCTAAGTCGAGGCAGCCAAAGGCCGCACTAGACTAGATATACGCCGTGCGGCCTTGGGCTGCCTCAACTTAGGGTGGCGAGGACTATAGGAGGTTGAGGGCCAAATGGTTCGGATGATACTCAAGCTTGGAGATGTACTTTTTACTGCAGCTCGTAACTTCTTCAGTTAATGCTATTCTGCAGGTACGAATTCTACGTAATTGCTATTCATTTATGTTAACGATTACACTTATTGCATTGAAGCACAGACTTTATGTTAGCTTATACCATGTTACATTCAAAAGCATAAAACCATAGGGGGGCCCAACATAGGTAGAGTTCCCGCAAGGCTCGCGGTACGCTCCGTGACGTAGGCCACGGTCACCTTTAACTCCTTTTGCAGTTAGAGGTGGCCGTGCGTAGGCTCGACGTCATGATTTCATGACGTTCACACTTTCCAGTTCCATTCCTTGTCCATTTTAGTGGTTGGTGCGAACACACAGATGCACAGATTAACAGAAACGCAGACAAGCGGACGGATAAATAAAATGCTAATCTCCGACTCCGACTGGGAGAGCGAGCTGGCGTAGTGGTTAGAGCGTGGGACTCGAATCCCTGAGGTCCCGGGTTCGATCCCCCCCAAGTCACCAATGGATTTGATCTAAGTGATAATGCCGCGACCCCTAGGTCTAGCCTGAAGTAATGTGAAAAACAATCCCAGGCTCCTGCCTAGCGTCCAAGAACAGTAAAAAATCTCCGACTCCGCTATAACACGGCCACCTTTAACTACAGGCCGTGGCCTGGTAGAGTTGGCAACGTCGCAAGTGGTGTTGTTTAGTGACAGACGTCCCATAAGATAACATGACAGACAGGCGACATCAGCTTATTAAATTTATGAAAATATTGAAAATAAAACATACAGAATTGAAAACCGAAACAATATGAATGAAAAATCTGTACATAATAAGCGGGGTCAATATTGTCATAGTCCAGTAACAAAACTTTTGTAAATACACAAATACCATTAGCTGCTTCCTAACAAAACAGCTGTTACAACACCACTTGCGACGTTGCCACTTCGAAGGCCGCGGCCTGGAGTTAAAAGCGGCCGTGCCCACTACCGTGTCATTGGCCGATCTTTTGGGATGTCGATAAACTGGGACCCCACGGTAATCGTGTTCCCTTAAGAGAAGAGATCTACAGCTGCTGACGTCATCGAAGGCTCTTCTATACCTCCATTGAGTATAAACATAACTATGTTTATACTCAATGATACCTCTCTTGAGTAAATACCTTTTTTTCTTCAGGCATTTCTGTTTTTTCATCTCATCTATCTAATGCTGTACGTCATCGTCATCTGTTAGTACATCTATCTATTATTATTTACTACTACTAGTGCGGAAATGTTTGAGATAGTAATCTTACTGCTTTATTTTGCATGCTAAATTGCTTAATGCTGAACTGAAAAGATCATTTTCTTAATCCTGTTGCAGTGGGTAAGGGGTCTTAAAATGAATTTAGGCTCTTCAAACCCATATTCCAATGGATTATTATATGCAGGATTCAATCAAGATCAAGGTATAGTGGTTTAGCCTACATTGTTCTAGAGCATGTGTGAGTTAAGTTTATAGTAAATTGTATCTTTTAAAATGAATACCTCTAATTAATGTTTGGCCATCGATCCTTGATATCGATACCCCCATTGACATTATTGGTCTCTAAACATTGATAGGCCTACCAACAAAATATCCTTGGAGAACTAGGTACCTACTGATATTTCCATAGCATGTAAACATTTGGATAGGCCTACTGATATTTACCTATACTTTCTGTAACAGTGTAACCGTCATATTTTGTAATTAGAAACTCCCCTTGCAAGTAGAAAGGGGGGGGGGGCATAGGGGGTCGGCGATGGTTCCATTGGATTCCTCACCCCAAAACCTTACCTCCTAACCTAAGCTCCTAGGTTAACCTTACCTAGGGTAACCAACCAAACAATATATCGATCGATATTTTCATTCGGTTGTTTGTGCCAACAGATATGGAGGGTACAGTTAACTCCTTGGGCTATGCTAATATCGATTGAAACTATCGAATTGAAAATATTGATTAATAATCAATATTTTTAATTATAGGCGCAATGCACGTGTACCTAGTGTGTGGGCCGATGCCTATCTATTATAAAATGAACACAGAGGATACGCGTCGGTAACCAGACGTGGATTAGGCGTCCGGTAGTGACGTCACCAGGTTGTGGGGTCCCGGAACGCCATTACCACAACGATACGATGTTCGGCCAGCGTTGTTCGTGGTGTAGTGGATAGAGTGCTCGGCTGATATCCAAGAGGTCACTGGTTCGAAACCCATCATCGGTTTCTTTAACTTTTTGTCACAGATTTTGCTTTGAATGTAATTTCTTCTTAACTGTACATCTTTTGTTAGAATTGTTGGCATTTATAATTTTATGTTATGAAGAGAATTGAACCCTCATTTGATTTTTTTTCATTATCAGCAAGTTTGGTTGGTTAGGTTAGGTTATGACAGTAACTGCCACGCCTAATCCACGTCCTGTTACTGGACGCGTATCCTCTGCGTAAAATGAAACTATCATAACCTAACCTAGCCAACCAAACTTGCTGATGGTGGAAAAATCGCATGAAGGTTTACTAATCGAATCGATAGTTTCAATCGATATTAGCATAGCCCAGTTAAGAAACTGTACCCTTGAAAAATCATAAAAACTGCAAAGTGCCGAAAATGCCCGGTCCACTCCTCCACCAAACTAAGATACATAAATAGGCTAACCTAAACTAACCTAACTGGACCTAACCCATGTTTAGGTTAGCAATATGCCGGAAATGACAGATTTTTTTGTTAAACCAAGGTTAGGCTAGGTTAGATTACTCGGTAAAGAAGTTGGCCGGGCATTTTTGACACTTTGCAATTTTTTATGATTTTCAAACTTAATTTTCTGGGTAAAAACGGCATTTACTGAAAAAGAGTTTAAAATCTCATAAATAATAGTAAAATCACATAAAAAGTATAATAAAAATAAGTTAAACGTTGATTTTTAGCATTTTTTGCGATTTTCAAACATGATTTTCAGGGTGAAATAGGAGCTTGCCCCAAAAGTGCTAAATATAAAAAGATTTCATAACTTAATAGGGCAAATTATGAGAAAAAAAAACATTTTTTTCATAGATCGTTAGAAGCCCTAAAGTAAACAAATAGGTACCGGTATGGTCCTAATTTATCTTGTTCACTTTGTATGATCCTGAGGTCTCGGATCGTAGGTTACCTAGCCTGTAGTGCGGAACCCATAACTTAGTTTGACTTTTACCTTTAAGTTGGAACATCAATATTTTGGCATTACCAAGTCAAACTGATGGAATGACTTGCTGTGAACTAAGTTATAGCAACTGTTATGACCCATAAACTAACTTAAATGTAAGCAACAAAAAATAAGGTAGGCCTAATAAAATCAATTGAGTTTTTATTACCTACTAAATAGCGCATTCTGAGTCTGGCTCGCTCGACTATGTTCTTTTTCAATAAAAACTAGGGAACAGCTAGTCCACTATGGGATGTCTATTCCAGTTTCCTACAGTCAATGATATCCTTATTATTCTAAATGGAAAGTTTGTTCCCAATATGGCATTTAGTTTTAACAATTACCCCTACATACCTATATACCATACCCATCAAAACACGTACGTCTGGGTGTGCAAATTTGCAAACTGGCTTTAGTGTTTTTATTCAAGCCATAAAACTTGAAAATGTTGGTTTCATTTGCATTTCTACTAAAATAAAATCTAGCTGTTTACCGTGTAAAAGAGTCTTCTTATAAAGATTATAGGGCTGAAACATTCATATTCAATACCTGGTACAGGTAAAATTGCTTATATCCTATGAAAATATCATAGAATAATATATAAAACTGTTCTCTGTGCAACTATATCCTAAGAGCATTATAATACACTATGATATTGATATATTATGAGTCAATATCATATATCATATAGATAATAGTCTTTTATCTGATGGACATTTCCCAGAACAATTAAAACTATCCCGCATCTGTCCTATTTTCAAGAAAGGAGATAGAGACAAACCCGAAAGCTACAGGCCGATTTCAATAGTTCCGATTCTATCTAAGGTAATTGAAATAGTAGTTTTTGAACAAATTTATGAGTTTCTTGAGAACAATAACCTTTTTTCTACTTCACAATTTGGTTTTCGAAGTGGTAGATCAACTTTAGATGCCATTGATACCTTAGTTTGTGATGTCATTGAAGCCTTTGAGTCAAGGGCCTTTGCTTGGGCCACTCTGTGTGACCTGAGCAAGGCTTTTGACTGTGTGAATCACCAGGATCTTTTGATGAAACTTCAACACTATGGCTTTGGAGATACCGTTCTTCAGTTTCTTAAATCTTATCTCAGTAATCGAAGACAGATTGTCTCTGTTAACGGTGAGATGTCAAATGAGATAATAGTGGATTGCGGAGTGCCTCAGGGGTCCGTACTTGGACCACTCATGTTCTTAATTTCTATTAATGATCTTCCAAGTAACATTTCAAAACCTACTAAATCTATTTTATATGCAGATGATACAACTTTCTTTTCAAAGAGCAGAACAATAATTGAATTAGAACAAATAACCCAAACTGCAATGAGTGATGCCTCAGCATGGTTTCAGTCAAATAATTTTCTTCTGAACAACAATAAAACTCAAAACATTCTTTTCAGTTTAAGACCCACGGATCACGTGTTTCATAATATACAACACAGTGTGAAATTCCTAGGTATGCACATTGATAACCAGCTCAGCTGGGAATCCCATGTAGATTATCTATCAACAAGATTATCTCGCGTTGTTTATCTAATTAGAAGACTGATCTCACTTGTTGACAGTATAGCTATGTAAGAATGTCTTATTTAGCCTTTTTTCAAAGTATTTATCGCTATGGCTTGATATTTTGGGGAAGCAGTTCAGGAATTCAGGATATTTTACTGATTCAGAAAAATATTGTTAGAATTATATGTAATGAACATCCTGATACTCATTGTAAACCTCTTTTTATTAAACTTGAATTCCAAACAGCTATTAATTTGTACATATATGATATCATGGCTTACAGCCTTAAAAAATTGCCCTTTCAAACCTTATGTAATGATATCCATAGACACAATACGAGAAACAATTTAAATATTAAAAGAAGTTTTTTCAGATTAAATTTGACTCTAAAAAGCCACATAGTGATGTCACAGGTAATATATAACAAACTCAGTAAAATTGTTCAATCATATCCAACACACTCAATGTTTTTAAAACAATTTTATAATTGGCTTTTGAAAAATCCCTTTTATTCCCTCTCAGAGTTTTTAGAGAAGAAGAAAATTGTATTTTAGCTTGTAAGCTTTATATTTTATGACCTTATGACTAGTTATATTCTTGACTGTTGCTAATACATGTATAATGTCAATGGCAAATAAAGATTTCTATTCTATTCTATTCTATTCTATTCTATTCTATTCTATTCTATTCTATTCTATTTAACCCACACAATTCTTTAAACTTTAATGTTGAAGTATGGCTATGACGTTTCTGTTTTATGACAAATTTTTGTCTTCCAATGATCAAGCTAAGTAATAAGCTATTAATCTTAGCCTACTGACATTTCTGCAAGTAATGTGGTGTCTACTCTTAAGAATTCCATTATAATGACCTCAACTTATTATTTACAGTAATTCAAATAGACCAGTGCATTGGCAGCTACAGCTATCTTATAGCTATTTTTTTTAATATTTCATTTTATTCGTTCAGTAATAATGTCAAGGACCTTGAAGTACCATACTAGTCCCCCAACATTATTTTCACCCCATCTTATCCTTTACCCTGACTGACATCTTCTACTCCTTTGGCGGTTGACATTACTGCAATGTCTTTTAAAAAGAGACTAATTTCTTTATTTTTAAAAACTCCTATCTATCCCTATATATTAGGTCTCCAATACAATATCTATACTATATGTAGCTATCTCCTATACACTTACATATTAGGCTTATAATAGGTCATAGTTGTTTCTCAGAAGTCAGCCCTACCGATCATCGCCAAGTTTTTAAGGTAAATGTTATGTCTCTCAGGAAAATATGTTATTATCGTCTAAATTCGGAAAATTTAGACAAAATTTACCTGCCTCAAATATTTTGTTCTTTCTTTCAAAGAATTGCAGCTTTTATAATGCACACTCTTCCAGTGCAATTAATTAAAGCTACCGGTACAATTAATTCTTCACTTCTGTAGCTTTTTGCTCAAACAAGATGTGACTGTGAGTAACAGTTAACAGCGTAGTTCCCTTAGTTAAAGTGCTACTGCTTAGTTAAATTGTTACTCTTTTTCTCAAAATTTGTCCACTGCTAGATAAAACTTTTATCACATAAAATGTTTTAGAGCTCTACCAATCTAGGGTTATTTGAATAAAGAATGTATAAAATGGATCACGGTTAAGATTTTGTATGTCCTTTGTATTTGGCTATAACTTAGTCTTTTAAGTAGACAAGACACCTTATTTGCAGAAAATCTTATTGCATTTTGAATAGACTTATGCGTTCGGTACGTACAGTTTTCCCAACCCCTGATTGTGTTGAATGAAAATGGATCAAAATTACTCAACACGTACTTTTTACTTAATTTGTAAAACTCAAGCAATGTTTAGAGTTAAAATCAACATACATTTTGACAAATCTCTTACAGCTTTTATTGTTTTAGGATGTTTTGCCTGTGGAATGGAGAATGGTTTTCGTGTATACAACTGTGACCCAGTAAGAGATAAAGAAAGACACGACTTTCCAGATGGAGGCTTGGGTTATGTTGAGATGCTTTTCCGTTGCAATTATCTGGGACTTGTCGGAGGTGGAAAGGTGCCAAAATATCCACCAAATGCAGGTTAGTATAACTTAGATATAACTTGTGGTTTTAGTTAGGTGCAACCTAGGCCTATATAATATAGGTAATATATAATACAATATAATATATATTCACATTAAAGCTTTATTCTTATTTTCATGGCCTCTGAATTGTCTGAATAAACTAATATAGGTTTAGTTTATCTGTTTGCTGTTGAAACGATCTACTTTTGTGTGTGCTAACTTTTCTAAAAGCACGAAACGGCTGTAGTTGCCATAGTACCACCTGAGGATCGTTTTGACAGCAAACAGGTAATCTGAACCTATATTAGTTTCTTTTAGGCATAGCCTACTCCGGTTTTTTACCCAATGTAACTAATAATGTTGCCCATTGTTAATCTCACTACCAAATTGTAACCAACCGGAACTTTATAAACTAAATTCAAAATCTTCTAGTACTGTCAATTTTTGGCATTTTATTAAGTTAAACTGTGAATATAACTATAATTCTGTTTTTAGCAAATTTCCCATATAGGGAATAAGCTATTACCATAGTACTCGTGGTAGACCTGGATCCGGGACCGATTTACTTTTTCGTTTTGAGGTCCCTAGAGGCCAAAAACACCATCCGTTCAAATTTATATAGAGCCTATATATATGAATGTATGTATATATTGCGAGTCCCATGCCTCTCTTAAAATAAGGTCTTTTAAAAGTTACACTCCCTTAGCTATTGTGGAGCTAGGTAAAAGACTGCTACAGGTGTGACTAAACGTGTAATAAAACAAATAAATTTAGAAAACAAAGAAGTACAAAGGGTGACGCCAAATAAGAACTTTGAAAAAACAAAGATTAACAAGAGTAAGAAAAGATTTACAACGGTAATTTGTAAGTAAAAAAAATTGAAAATTTAAAAGATTGAGTTAGTAACAAATTATGTGACTTTGATTGTTTTACATCTTTATAAATTTAGTTACATTTTTTTACATAGCCTAAGCCAATGGTCCCTGAAGCACACACACACTCCGATCTCCATACAGCCTGCGGTAATCTCCTCGATTTTTCCTCCCAGGTCCTCCAACTCCAAGACTCGTCACCCCTCCATCTTCTTCATTAGACCATCTCATTGGCTGATTACCCATAGGGTGTGTGGCTTATAGGTTATAGCTATTTCTCAGAAGTCAGCCCTACCGGTCATCGCCTAGCTCGTGTCAGCTGGAAAAGGAATTTGAAAATCAATGCTCATGCTACTGTTCAACTCTGTTCACACCAACTGGCCGACTAAGTGTAATGTGAACAAAGTGTCTCTGTAGATGATCACCGTGGGTACAGCCTGAACCCTGTACCGTACAGGGTTAATCCCCTTTCTTAAACCCCCCTGGTTAAAACGTTAACCTACCACCGGTTGACAATAAAAATGAGAAAACAACTGAAGGAGGTACGCGAAAACATCAATCGCGATGGTTGGAATCGAACGTATATCTTGATGTACGTTCCGACTCTTATTCCCCCCTTCCTGCGCCACGACGCGATTTTGAGGATCGGCACAGAAGTTGCTTTTTTTGCGACCCTTCCAGCGACACGGTAGAATGAGCTGGTGGTGTATAGCTTATAGTGACTCACGTCTTATTTCGCCCCTTCGAGTCTTCTTAAGTTAATTAATTGTTTCATCTATTTTAAATTTATACTACTAGTCTCTTTGAGGCGTTTGAGGTTTTGTGATGAGATTTATTTTAATATTAAGTACCTATGTGGATGAAATATGCTGAAATTATGAGCAGGGCCGTATTTAGAGTCTATGAGGCCCCCGGCGGCTCTTACCAGAGAAGCCCCTCTCTATATTCTGATTCTTCGAAGGTTAGAACTTAAGGGTTTAGAAATATGCGTGGTATTGCTTCAACTTGATGAATTGACTTTTTGTTTCTAACAATCTGATAAACATAAAGGCCTAGGAGACTAGCTAATAAATAAGCCTATTAATTTCTTGCGCGAGCGCTGAGACGTCATCTTAGTCTCCTCCGATCATGGCGGAACATGAACAACTCATGTGGCGGCGAAGAAATGGTGAACATCTTGCGCGATCGGTGAGTCATCTTTGTCTTCTCCGATCACGGTGAAATCATTAACGTGATGGCCGCGGAGAAATAGTTAGCATCTTGCGCGGGCGCACCTCACTTTTGGGATGGTTTTAATGTTGGGTTTTTTCAAACAATTGACTATTAAATCACTTTTTTATGTTGGAGTTAACGGATTTTTCTTTAATGATAATGTGGTTAGGTGAGTCATAGCAGTGAAATTCACAGGGACTTTTTAGGTCTGAAATGTCTGTATCATTTAATAAATAAAGTGCACACATTGATGACTTGGAATATTGTAAATTGTGTCTTGGGATCAAGCAAAGGTTAGAATTGCGTTTGTTGCAGAAATCATTGTTTTCGGTCTCTACGTTGCAAGTTGAAGTTTTTGTTTTAATTACTACAATTTTAGTCTCCGTTATTTGGCAAATTTTGCCATCCCACATTAGAGGAATAGGGTTATACTTATAAGTGTATGATTTGTATTGCAAATTACTTTTTTGTAAGGGAATTTTGATTTGTAAAATTATATTTTTGTTTTCATAGTGACATTTGCAAATAGGAATATTGTAGTAGGATTCAAGTTTCGTTACTGAATGGCAGTGGTTATTTACTTATTTTAATTTGAAGCCTCGCTAAATCTTGCTCAAAGTTAGAGGTGGTCAAATAGATTTGGGGGTTTTGTTGTTTTGGCAGTCTTGTTCTATTTTATAAAGTTGGTTATGATACAAATTTAGGTAAATGTATAGCCAAGTTTCTTGTGTGTACTTAGCTAGTTTAAAATCAAAATGTTCAGAAGTTTCATTTAAGTTTGATTTAAAATTTCTGTAATGATTTTGAAATTTTTCATGGAGCTTTGATAGCTCTTTGTGGATATTTGAAGAGAAATTGTTTAATTTGGTTTCGGCTGTTGTAAAATCTCTGGTGTTCATCTTTCACAAAATCTAACAGAGAATTTAGTTTGTCATTAACTTATACTTCATTTTCCGCAAGATCATGATGATTTGTCATGGTAGCTACATTACAACACCATCCTAAACCTCTTCCAACAAATTTGGGCGTTCTGTATTCATGATGGGTAGGACTATTTTGTTTACCTTCTGTGAAGGCTGTTGTGTTTTAAAAGAGTTTGTTTAATAGGTTCTCTGAATTTTTATTGTTCCTAGTGATGGTGTGGGATGACCTCAAGAAGCAGCCTGTGATATCGCTAGAATTCAGTTCGCGCGTGCTGGGAGTAAGATTGAGACGAGATCGTATCGTCGTCGTCCTTGAAGGTGTTATCAAAGTCTACACGTTTATCCAGGAACCAAAACCACTCCATGTGTTTGAGACCCACCCTAACCCTAGAGGTATGTCAACTGAAAAAACTATTTCTTTGAGTTTTCTGTTTTACTCTAGATCAGTAGGTAAATAAAATGAATCTAAACTTTTAATTTTATCCTTAAATTTACCTAAATCTTGTTGTATTGGTAGGCCTGTGCGTCCTGTGTCCCAACAGTAACAACTCGCTGCTGGCATTCCCCGGCCGCAAGAGTGGCTACATACAATTAATACACCTGGCTGAGGCAGAGCGGCCGCCCCTGGACATAGCTGCTCATACGTCACCACTCACCTGCCTGGCTCTCAATCTGCAAGGCACACGGATAGCCTCCGCCAGTGAGAAAGTATGCAAAGTTGTATATGTTCAGTTAGTTTAATTCATTTTTAACTTTACAAACTTATTTTTACGTTAAAAAGTTACCAAATAGTTTGCAAAATTGTTGAAGAAACAAAATGGGCTACCGAAAATCTTCTCACCCCTATCTCAGGTCCATATTATTAGAAGGGGTAACAATATCTTTTATGTGACAAGTTAAACCAGCAATACACAAAGTCTAAAAAACCTAGCAAATTTTTGTGTTAATTCAATCTTAAAAAGCTATCCAAAACTTCCTTTGTTTTGTTTGTATTATATCAGTTTGGTACAAAAAATAGTAAACATAACCATTGACTATCCAACACAAGTAGACTTCTCATCCAATTCTAAACTTTGAAGCCCTTTTTCGTGTTTAGTTCATGTTGATGACACTGATCCCTGGTATCGATGAAATTTTATTCATATTATTTTAGGGTTAATTTCATGATTTATTTATCCTTTACTGGTTGGTTATATAATTAGGGGACCAGTTATCGTTTTTGATAGATTGTTTCTCAGTAGCTGGTGCTACCTTGTGTGAACTTTGGATTATTTTAGCAATTTCTTAACATCATTTAGCTGTTTAAATTTCAAAAGCATACAAAAATATTCTATGGTTCACTACAAAACAGGATTTTTTTAGCAGGCTTACATGATTCAGAAAGAATTCAAACTGGCCCTAGGTAAAGAGATTATTTCAACTCCCTTCCTTCATTGAAAATGCTGTCAGTGACAGTAAAATATTCTAATGTTTGAAGTAATGTAGGCTAATGCAAAGTTTTGTGTTTCTTAATGCCAGTTAGGACTCTTTCGCATACTCGTAAGCCTGCTATCCTCACAAACTACTCTAAAAACCTAGGCCCCTGTGCTCTATCTATTCTTTCTATCTGGCCACTATTATAGTTATTATTTTGTTCATCTGTTGTAAGACTCATGTTAATTTTTGTCTTCTAGTGAGTACCCTTGACGAAGATTGCTCACAATGTCGTGTTTTCAGGGGACGTTGATCCGCGTGTTTGACACTGTGAAGGGTCACATGTTGTATGAGTTGAGGAGAGGAGCCAACACAGCTCAGATATACTGGTGAGCTACTAGACAATATTGACTTATTAGTGGCCTAATCAAATACAAAATATCTTCATCAATTCACTGACTTTGCTGTCTGAGCTTAGTTTAGGTACTGTATAATTTACTCAGTATCATTTTATGGGCTCTCTGTTTCAGACATCATTTTTACTGTATTTTTTATTACATTTATTTGTGAACGAGCGAACATAATGTTCTGTTTAAAGTAAGTTTTTTAAGTATTTTCTACAGAATTCAAGGATAATATTTAGTTGAATTAATTATATTTTGCTGTGTGTTGAGCGGTTGCTGTAAAAAAAAAACATTTTTTTTTTGTTAAAGGGTGAATTACTTAACTGTCAATAATATTTCATCATCGTAAAACAAAATCATTTACAGTACTGCCAAATTGTCCTGTCTGTTTTAGGGTGGCCGAGGGCCTGGTTTTGAGCCAGCCAGATTTATGTTATTTTTGAGAAAAATAGATTTAGCCTAATAGATTTTGATTAATAACTATTGTCTTCTGTGAGTGTTTAAAAATCTTACATAAGATTTCAAGTCTATTAACTTGTTTGCCTTACTGTTTGACACATTTTAGTTCTCCTCAATGTTGCATTTAAAAACAGACATACCCAATTCAACAAAATTAAGAACAGCGTTAAAAAAATTGATAGTGTATTCAGTACTTCATCACTTTCATACTCTTATACTTCAACTAAATTTTAATGATTCACTCAATGCAGTATTATAGTTTAAAGCCTCAGGGGTTTTTGTGTAATAACAGTGAAAAACCATCTTAAAACAGATAATTTCTCTTGGGTCATATAATCTTATGTAGCTTCCATGAGAAAATGTTTCTAGGGTACTGTGACCTTGGCTTAAACATAACATCTATTAATATTCCCCAAAGCAGAATGGTTCCTACGTGTCTGCAACGGCCTGTGAAAACCTCAAAATGTGTCCGCAAGCGCTAAAACTAAAAAGCTAAATAATTACTTATATACCGGTATATATATATATATATATATATATATATATTCACTCTTTAGGGCTACTAGTAATATAGTTAAATAAAATAAGTAAATTTCAATAACTTGTATAGCCTACTTTTAAAACAAAAAACTAAAAAACTATTAAGGGGTAGGCATAATCAGGTTATTTAAATTTACTTTTTTTTAAATACGTATATATATACTGTACACATACCTTAACAAGTGTTAACAAGGTCTTCAGAAGTAAAACTTTAAATGTACTATAGTTTCTTTATATAAACACACTAGGGATGGACGGGATTGAAATTTTAGTTCGGGACGGGATTTTTATTTCCTTCCCGATTTTCGGGACGGGATGGGACAGGATTTTTTTCTGTGCATAAAAAAAGTACTGTATTGCAGTTACCAAAAAAGACATACGAAATCAATTTTTACCATTTGTGGCACTGATCTATAAAAACCAAAAAATGGGTAACAATTTACAGGTAGCCTACCTATAGAAACTTGTGACTCGCGGGTCACGGGGTGATCGTCTGTAGAACTCACGGTCACGGCGTGATCGTCGTCATGACTCGCGGTCACGGCGCGATCGTCGTCATGACTCGCGGTCACGGCGCGATCGTCGGTATGACTCCGCGGTCACGGGGTTATCGTCGGTATGACTCCACGGTCACGGCGCGATCGTCGGTATGACTCCGCGGTCACGGGGTTATCGTCGGTATGACCACGGTCACGGCGCGATCGTCGGTATGACTCCGCGGTCACGGGGTTATCGTCGGTATGACTCCACGGTCACGGTGCGATCGTCGTCATGACTTGCGGTCACGGCGCGATCGTCGGTATGACTCGCGGTCACGGCTCGATCGTCAGCATGACTCCGCCATCACGGCATGATCGTCAGTATGACTCCGCGCTCACGGCGCGATCATCGGTAGGACTCTGCGGTCACGGCGCGATCGTCGGTAGGACTCCGCGGTCATGGCGCGATCGTCGGTATGACTCGCGGTCACGGCGCGATCGTCGGTAGGACTCCGCGGTCACGTCGTGATCGTCGGTATGACTCGCCATCATGGCATGACCGTCAGTATGACTCCGCGGTAACGGCGCGATCGTCGGTAGGACTCCGCGGTCACGGCGCGATCGTCGGTATGACTCGCGGTCACGGCGTGATCGTCGGTATGACTCGTGGTCACAGCGTGATCGTCGGTAGGACTTCGCGGTCACGGCGCGATCGTCGTTATGACTCCGCGGTCACGGCGTGACTGTCGGTATGACTCCGCGGTCACAGCCCGATTGTCGTTATGACTCGCGTTCACAGTGTGATCGTCGGTCCAATAATCGCGGCCACGGCGCGATCGTCGTTATGACTCCGTAAATGTGTCCGCAGGCCCGTGTTTCTCGGCGTTTCGTGTCCACGACAATGTCGCAGCGTCGCTCGTTGTTCTGCTTTGGGGTTAATATTAATATTTGAGCTGATTATACAGCAGTGGCGGCTGGTGACCATTTATTTCCGGGAGGTTCACAAGCCTTGTGGAAGGGAAAATGATGACGTGGAGGGGTTAGTATGGGTTATAAAGATGACTTTTCTGAATTAAAATTATTATTCAGAACTTTCTAAAATAATAGTACACAATTTTGCTGTTTTAAGAACTATAAATGAACACCATAATTATTCTAAAACATGAATACTGCTGGTTACTTTTCAACATTTCATAGCCCTAACACTTTATTTTAAACAGACAACTACTGACACTGACTGAAGTAGTGTAGTGAGTGACTCAGTGAACTAGTGAAGTGAAGTGACAGATCAACAAGTGACTAATACATTTCACGTGTGCATCTACCAGCCAATGAGAGCGCTCAGAGAGCTGCTTCTAAGGCAGCTTCCCATAAGCTTTGCAGGGATTGAAGCGATCTCCCCTCCACCGGCACGAAATTGAACCGTCCATGTGTATGGCAAGGCAGGAGCTGCGCAGCCGGCAGCTCAGCTCCGAGTGTTTAAGCTTACTGCCGCCCTCAGATTGCAGACGCTACAGTTACGCCGACGTATCTTGTTTTGGTGTTTCTTGTTAAAACTTACTAATTAATATACCATACTGAGTATAAACAGGTGTTATCATTGTTGTTTGTGTTCTATTTCATTGGGGGTTTACATGCTCATATGCTCCTATGGACGAGTCGCCACTGTTATACAGGTTACAATTTATTGGTATTGATAATTTAAAGTCTCACATTGCTGTGTATTTTCCAGTATTAACTTCAACCATGATTCAACAAGACTCTGTGTGTCCAGTGATCATGGGACAGTTCATGTTTTTTCTGTTGACGATCAAAACCAGAAGCTTAATAAACAATCTAGGTAAGTTTGATGATTTGTGAGTTATATAATTTTAAGGCACCGATAAGATGTCACAGAACGTGATTTGACTTGATAGGAGTGTAGATTTTTACATTGTTTTCAGCTTTTATGACAATACCCATTGTCGCATATGGGTGGGAACGAGCTAGAAAAGTGGTGGAAGAAGTAAAGAACACGGTGCTTGATTTGATTTGTCTAAAATAAACTCGCTTGCTTATCCAAGATTGCAATATTGGAGCTTGTTGGAGATCTTAATTTAAGGACAAGCATCATACTTGTTTTGTAAAGACCGATGAAACAAGGAGCCACTAAATGATTGGGGATTGCAATCAAAAAATTAGGGCTGCCCTAAAATTACTAATATGTTTGGAGCTGTACCTATTAAAACTAATTAATTCTATTTCATTTACAAATTTCAATGTTCTGACACCTAATTATGGCAAGGTCGGGGTGAGGTCAAATAAAATGGAACATATAAAACACTGTAAAAATGACAATACATAATTTTTAATACATGTTAACTTTAAAACGATAAAGGTTTAATAATTATGTAAACATAACTAAACAATGCCAGATTTTTAAGCTATCACCATAAATTAAAATACAAATAAAAAAGTAAAATCACCTTTGAAACAGTTAATTATGAGATAGCGATACACACAGACTCAGCCGTGGGTCTTTGTACTTTATTTGAAGAGTGGTAAAGAGCCGTACCGCTAACTATGGTATATTTAAAACATTAATTTTTTATTTATTTATAAAAGTATTTTTTATTTTTTCATAGCACGTATTTAACACATCATCCAACCAAAATAACGGTGATAAAAGATAAATCCGTGGCGATAAATCTGTGGCCTATTTCTCTGTACTAGCATGAAAAGAACAAAATATGTGTTGTGTGCAATCCCTAATTAAACTCACTAATGCCGTCAACTTTCACCCAAGCCGAACACGGTTTATTTAAGGTGGGCCTCTCTCTCTGGCTAAGGAAGCTTACATTTGCACACCAACAAGAATCACCCACGTACTTAGAAAGATCTCAGAGCTACTCTCAAGCTAGATCATGTCATGTAAGTCAGTGTAATGTTTTAGTCAACTTAGCTCCTGTATTCAATTTTACTTATCTGTGTTTCAGCCTTGCGTCAGCTACATTTTTACCCAAGTACTTTGCCAGTCGCTGGAGCTTCTGTAAGTTCCAAGTGCCCGGTGGTCCACAGTGTATATGCGCCTTCGGAGCCGAAAATAACTCTGTTATAGGTAACCACATCATTATTTTTCATGATATGTTGTAATTTCTTAAATTTTCAGAGTCTTCATGTGGATTTTTTCAAGTTCAAATATATTTATTCATAGTATTACATATGATTTTTTCGGCAAAGTCCAATTGATTCGAAAAAGTATCAACAAAATTTACAGTAGGTATATTAATTTTTTTTAAAGTACAAAACAATTATGATTACTAGTTCTAAGGTGGTTTGTGGCTGCCTGGCACTTATATTAAAACAGAGTATTTGGCAGCAAGACTTAACTCTGAATACATAAAATGAACAAGTAGGAATGAAAATGCCCTATATGGTGTGGTTAATCAGCATGCCAGGTCGCCAGACCTTATGTCCACTGGACTATTTTGTGTGGCTACGTGGATTACTTTGGTCTACTCATCTTTAGTGGACAATAATCAGGAAATTCACAACCGAATAATGAAAAAATATGTGCTAGTCAGAGGAACGTATTCTTTAAAGTTACTGTGGTGCCACGTGCAAACAACCTTGGCCTCACAACAACCTGTATCTGGGAAAATGGAAGATATTTTGAAAAAAAAACTCAAGTAATTGGCATCAAGTAAAAGGCTGCTTTTTTTAAACGTTAAGGAACAGTATTGAAGTTACTGTATTTAGGTTTTGTTTAGTATTGTGTGTTTTACAATTGACTATTAGTTTGTGTGTAAATAGCTAAAAATAAGTATTTTTGAGGTGTTCAAAATTATTTTAGAAATGAAAGATCACTTGGCTGTTTTATTTTCCATTTGCATGAGTTTAAGCACTGGTACACTTTACTTTGTTTAGTTTTGGGTTTTCGGTGAACATATTGATAACATTTAAAGTTAAGTATCTACATTATTTTAGTAGAAGCATTTCCTTATGCTTAAAAAAAAAATCTTAGGTTAAATGTACCATGTAATTTACACCTTATACAATCAATATTCAATGTATTTCAAAATAAAAACGCTAGTTTATTATTGTATTACAAAACATAACATAATGTGGATGTTAATTCTAATAGATCATTAATATTCTTTATTCTTATAATAAATCTCACAAGGATTCTAAAAGTTACAATTATTATGTCAAAGTGAAACTACTGTGAGTGTTATTTCTTGCAACATTGTTATTTCTCCCTTAAGATTTTGTTTACATTTTTTCATATATTTTTATAGTCGTCTGTGCAGACGGAAACTACTTCAAGTTCCTCTTCAACAACAAAGGGGAATGTTTCAAGGAAAAATCCTGCAATTTCCTAGAAATGACTGACTAACGTTAGTAACGTTGATTGCTGATTGCACCCTTTGTAAATGTTCCCACCTGTGAAGCATGTCACATTTTCCTAAAATTGTCTTATTGAGAAAAGACGATTTGAAAAACAATTTTTCTTTGAATCAAGTTTGGTATTTAAAAGTCTTTGTCGCTTGATATCCTGAAAACGATTAATTCTTTCAACATTTTGTCAAAGACCTATACTTTGAAAAAAATTACAGAAGTAATTGATGTTATTACATCAAAATTATGTTACTTTAGAACCTCAATACACAATATAGAACGTTTGTATATTGTACTGAATTTGAAATTACATACATTACATTAATTACTGTAAGTTACCTAATATCATATTATTGTGAAGTAGGTAATCACTTGCAACGCTGAACCGCTCTACCACATTATTGGCATGTGGTGACAAATCGGGAGACGAAACACAAAACATACATACGCGCACCTGCCACCTGCTCTTAAAAGATGTTATCGCTCCTATTCTGCAATTATTGAATTATTAGTATTATTATTTTTGTATTCTGTTATTGTTGATTTGTTGTTTTTAGGACCTTTTGCTGTCTAAAATTCACCAATAATAACTCTAATAGCCCAATTTAAATAGTCTCCATGTTCCAGCATTTTCCTAAATTCGGCCAACCTGCCGCCTGTTTAAGCCTGATATTAAGGTTCTACTGTAATAAATTTTGTACAACAGTTACTTTAAAAAATATTCATATCTCAATTTGAATTTATAATTTTCTTGAAAGAGAATGTTTTCTGCTACACTTCATTGAGCAGGCTAAAGTTGTTTGCGGGCATAGCAATAGCAATGTAATACAGACATACTTGTTTAGGCGAATGTTTAAAATAATTTTTCTTCACTTGTGTGAACGACAAAAAACGTACATTTCACAAACTTTTTTACTATCGCATGAATATAACTTTTTACTTTTCATTAGGCTACACATTGAAACGTTGTGTTATGAATGAAGCATAAAAGTAGTCAACATTCAAATTGTTTTAAGGGAGAAAATTCAGGATGCGAAGCTGAAAAAGACTTAAAAAAGACTTAACTTGTAAAATTTGTCTTAAAGTTATTAGATATTTTTAAAATTTTACTTTGTCAAGCAAATGTAGGTCAAAATTTTATGAAACATTAAAAAAAGTTAAATTTCTTTTATTGTAATGTAAATATTTAAAATTAAAATGATGTATAAAGACTGAAAATAAGGTACATTTTCCTTGATTTATTGTCCTGCTTCAGAGGGATCTGTTTGTGTCTTAATCTAAGTCATTAAATTAAGTTTCTATTTCTTGAAAATAATAAGATAATTTAAGTTAATCAAATTTGTATTTAGGCCTTTAAAAATAATACGACTATTTTTATCACGGTCTAAACATTATTGTAGGATTAATTAGGTATTGGCAAAAATGATAGTGTGACTTTGGTTTTGGTTTGGTTGCTGTAAAATCATGTCCAGTTATAATGCCGTAATATAAAAGAATCAAGTTTTTTTAAGCACAAATCAGTAAAGTCTGATATACATATCAATATAAATAGATCAAAATGAATTTCTGCAATATGTTCAAAATAGTAAGAATAGTTGGATTTATTCAATGGCAATTCCAAGTGCAGTTACTTTCATCACCTTTTAAGTCCTCATCAACGATAACATTGGCAATCATAAGTATGCCACTTATTGTAAAACTATTCTATGTTCCGTGAGGTGAGGGTTTATGACTTTATAACTGATCCAAAAAAATGTGATTTATATAAAGTAACCTCTGATATGAGTGTCATTTCTGTTATTTAATATGAATCAAAGCTATGTTTGTATTGTAGTTTTATCATTCAAAAATAATAATAACTTATTTATGTTTTCCTTTATGTGTAAACATATGAGACGGTACAACCTATTTTATTGGGTAATAATTGAAATATTTAACATAAATTAAGAAAATAGACCTAAGTGAAATTCAAGCCAATGCAGAGCAATGCAATGTTGTAAAAAGTATTTGTTAAGTTTTGTTATTCTATCAGTTTGATGTTTTACTCAAATTAAATTAGTGTTTATTAGGTTCTATGGTGTTATGTGACACATTTTATATAATTTTCTTTTGAAATTAGTGAATATGTATGAGTAAAATAATACAATTACTGCAATGAACTGGATGTATATATTCCAACCTAAACACTTCAGTGAAACATACTTACATACTTGAGGCTAGTTCAAATATTTGTTCTTTGGTTATCAGCGATTGCAACAAAAATATAATTATTTGAGATTTTACACAACTTTGTAATCTCATCACTAAACTTCAGTGGAAGTATAAGAAACATAAACTTGTTACAGTATGTTTACCACTGCAATGTTATATTTTTTTGTAATAGCAGGGCAATTAATAGCCATGACAATAATCAACTCTATTGATAAGCTTAAAGACATTTAAATAAAATTATACTGAATATTCCTACATCAATCGTTTATTGATCATTGGATCTAATCTGTCATAGAATCTCTATGTTGTTAGTCAACTTGAACTAATACTAATATATTTCAACTTTATAAAATGTGTAATCCACTCCTGGTACAATAAAATCCCTTTTAAGTACACCCTGTTCAATTGAAACTCAGATTAACTGAAATCATCACAAAAATTTCAAATCAATTGGTAAATGAGCCAGGCAACGGGAACTGTCGGGAGAGAGTACAGTAGTTTGTCAGGATTGGCCAATGGAATGTAATGGAGCAGACAATGACATGGATCTCATACTGTGATATAGATAAAGTTCAGAAAACAACTCTCGATTATTTTAACAAATAGATTTTTGTATACACTAACACTTACAGTTGTGGAATTTAAGACAACATCACAAAAAGCATAAGATAAAAATTACTGTTGTGTCTTTGAATAGACAAAGCCTTTGTATTCCTACGTTTGAATAACCGACAAAATATGTTCAATCACAGTATAATGTATAATCACAGCCATCTTTTTCAATGCTATTGACATGTCATATTGTTGCTAAAGTTCTTCAAATATAAATCAAAATAATATTATTATGCACTGGCAGAATAATTTCTAAAATGATGTAAAAGTGAAATATTGAAATCTTATCATTGTAATAACATTTAGTAATGACATAAATGAAAAGATACTTTTATTTTATACGTCGTTCATTCAAATAACTAATAACAAGAGAAAGACTTAAAAACCTAGATATTGAGCTGATTTTGAGATTCGGTAATTTGATTATCCATACAAAACTGCTGAACTCACTAAGAATAACTTTTTTACCAATTCTACTTAATATCGTGATGATTTATTTATATTTATTCACCTGAAATATTATCAACACTCACAATTTTATGACACCGTTGCTTATTAATAATATGCATGTATTCTCCTCTCAGTTAAATAAGTTAATAAAATCAAATTTTTGTCCAGATTTGTTATAGAATTCTTAAATTATGTGTAAATAATTTTTACTATAAATGTGATAAAACAACTACATCAGTTGACTAAATTATCTTTCAATGACAAAAGTTATGGTGCTATGAAATATTATACATGTTCTCTGTACTGTATTGTATGGTAAAAATTATTTCAAGAATTTTTTGTTTGATAAAATTGTGATTATATTTTATTTTTCTATTTTATACGTTTTTAATATAAGTTTGTTTGTATGATAACTATTTGCATTACATTTCTACTGTTCATATAAGTACATGAGCCTACTTGCAGTAAAATGGAAAGTAATTTTTGATCCAACTTAAAAGTCAAACAGTTATATAAGAAAGCAGTCTTTAAATTAACATATTCCATTTTGCTAAACTGTTAAAATATAAACTATCGTATATGGCTCATTGTCTTAATATTCTATGTCAATTTTAATTGAGTGTACAAAAAAAGTTTTTCTTGAACATTTGTTAATAATCAGCGTTCTCTTTACTATATTATACTTATTTTATTGACGAATGGCAGCTAAGAACTAGTTTTCTTTTACTCAATATTGAAATCTCTGAAAGATTTTGTGCCCGTCCCAAAACACACACTCATGTAGGCTCGTGAGTTGTACAGCTATTTGTAATTATTTTTATTTTATGCATTGTAAATTTGTTCTGTTGTTATTTGAGTGAAAACTGTGTACAAAGTAAAATATAATATTCCACTTTTGAAGCAGGGTGTCATCTTAGAAAAGTAGAATTATCAATGTTATTGGGTTATTTAATTTTTATTGTTGAAATACATTGTTTAGAAACAACACATTGTTTTCATTCGGAACCCCTTGTCTAAATTAATACATTTTTATTTTAGATAGTTGCTACTGGTATTATTTTAAAACCATTAGAAAATATTTCAATCAAAAATATAGACTCCACTTTGCATTAACTTTCATACAAAATCCAGAAATGGAAACTAAATCTACGCAATTATGTAGTTTTAAAACTATAGAACCTTTTTCCTTTCCCAATTGAAATCTATGCATTTAAATTTATGAAGATTACAATGTGTAGAAAATAATTTAGTAACAGACTGAACTTTTATCAGTTATACAGCCAGTTAGGACTCTAAATGCAGAGGCTAAAACCTATGTGACAACTTATGCACATAATTTCTTTATTTTGCATATACTGCAATGCTGCTTTTATAATTGTAACAATAACCAATAATATTTGATTAGATTATCCTAAATTTGGCCAGAAAATTTAATGCCACTTGATAACAAGCCACCAAGTTATTCATAGCGTGTCGTACATATTTTCTTGAGAGTCATGGTCTATCAAAGTTCACTTGCTAAATTGTATAGGGATCTCTGGAGTAAAATAATACTCAAATTGTCTCATAATACGTTTCATTTTGTTTATTTATATATATTTTTGTAAGTACATGTGCTTCAAGCTGTTGAATAAGTAGCTCTTCCTCGTAAAATATATTGATCCTCTCCAAAAAAATACAACCTTCTTCACAACACATTTCCTAAAAATACATCGGTATATCACATCTTAAGGTGAAAACACCGTAAGTTTTATCTGTTAAATAAAATAACTTGTACTATAACATTTGCTGTTTACCAAATCAACACATTTTTTTTAATCCTACGATTTAGCATGTAGTTCTAGGACAGTTTTTTTTTGTAGTGTAGGAAGCTCTAATCAATTATGTTATACATTTTTTTTTAATAAACAAATTAATACCATACCACCCTCCTCAGCAAAGGCATAAGTAAACTTTAAAACTTAAATGACAGACAGTTTTAAATTTATTAACTACAAATAGAGGTCGGGTTTTGTAAATTATTGAGATTGACTTAAATAAAATAATATAAGGTTACGTACCTTTTGTCCTTCAGTCTTTAAATATAGTCTTAAGTATGCACTTAAGGATGACTAGCTTCAGGTCAAGGACCCATTTTCAATTTGGATTTTTTAATGGGGGACACGGTGGAACTCAATACATGGAACTTTAGGCAACCTGTGTTGCTTTGCCCCACGTTTAAATGTTGCCAACCTACTGTTATTAAATGTTTTTGTGTATAACTGTGAACTTTATGAGTCGACGTGTATTTATGTATTGACAAAGACTTCTGTCGGATTCATAGACCAACTAGTTTGATGTGGATTTTAAAAAGGGTCTGTGACCCAAAAACTAGTCATTCTTAGACTATATTTAAGGACTAAAGACGGACAACAGGTATTTAACCTATTATATTATTCGTACAATCAGTCTTAAAACAACTGATTCACAACACTGTTCAAAATAAATTCATTGTAAGATGGATGTTTCTTATCTTGATTGGGTAAAAAAGTCATTTTCAAGACAATTTACTCAAGTTTTACTTCAATGTTGATGTTCTCTCTCCCTTATTTGTTTCATCCAGGGTTTTATTTTGTATTTTTTGTTATTTGTATTCCCATCTAAATAGCATGAGATTTTTTTTTTACTTTGAGCATGTGTATACTATGCCAACCGAGAAGGGTTTTAAATTCTTAATTTGTTTACAACAAATAAGAAAATAGGGCCGTGAAAGATTACAAATTGTTTTAGCTTGCTGTCAAAATTAACAATCTCGTAATTTGTCTGCACTCCTAAAATCATCACAACATACTTTCAACTTAACAAAAACCATCACTTAACATCATGCCTTAGATATGTATAGAGTAAATCAGTGGCATAAAATATATCTTTTGTTACATAGAGTAAAAAATAAACTATTCACATATACAAGACACACTTTATAGAATAACAAAATGCTAGATAGATAAGGCTAACTCAACTCACTCATTGGTAAATTAGGGGATAGTTTGGTTCTGGCAGCCATCTTCATTGAACATTTTGTTCTTAGTTTGGTCTGTTATATCATTCCTCCTAATCTTTGCTGCATGAAGCCATCTTAAACTTTATTCCTGATGGAGTCATCCAATGGGTAGTAAACGGCTAATAGATGATTTTGATGCTTAAATTAATGTTATTTTATATTTAGATAAAAAAAATTATCTTATCTTTGGTTCTACTACTTCTTATTTATTTGTTATTTTAAATTTGCTGTAACATCAAGCTAAAAACACAAAATTATAGCAAAAAATTTTACAAACTCTAGTGCTGCGTATCAGCAATGCAGAATTGCATGGTGTATCAATAAATTAGTTTTTCATTGTGTTTGTTTACAATTAAAAAGAGGAAAAGTATAAACCGTTGATCAATTCAACTACTGTATACTAACGCTAGTTTATGGATACATAATTATTTATTCTTTTTAAGAGCAGCCTTCAAAAACTATAATGATTTTATTTCAGCCCCCGTTTTTCCTCTGATACCATTCTTCTCTAGAATGCAATTATTAACAAATAATTGTCTTGTTGTTTAAAATTCAACAGTTTAAAATCTGGATTTGCATTTTAATATTACAAGAACTGCTGGCATTTTCGTTTTGAAAATTTATATATACCAGTATAAATTAAGCTTCTGGGGTTTTAGTAACCACTTTGATCCAAAAGGGTCAAGAACCTCATGGAAAGGTGTGCAGGTAGCCAATCTCTTGTTAGAATAGACAGCTATGTTAAATTAATTTGGAAATATTAAAAAGTTAACTTTTTAAAACTTAAGATGGCTCCTGTAATATTAAAAGTAACCTAAAAGTATCAAAATATTTGTTTTTAGGAGGGATTGAATGCTGAACAATCTTTGATTGTTTGTTGGTTTTGATGTATTTAAATATTATCCTTAGATAGTACATTGTTAACAATACAAAGATTTGTAAAATTTGAAAAGTATGAATTTTTAATGTATTGTTCGGCCGCTTAGAAAGCGACCTCCTCCAGCATTGGTTTAGCATTAGCGCGCAGGTCGTTTTTTAAGTGGCCAAACTATAGTAGGGCCTATATACTTATCTCGGTTAACAACCCTTCCATACAAATACTAGTCAAATTCTCAATATTTTCCCCTCAGGGATGTATACACTCGAAACTTATTGTCATTAATTTAGATTATGTATCCCTCAAGGGGTCACAAAACACATAAAATGTCAAGGTGCCGTGTATATATTTAGTAAAATTTATAGATAATGCAATTGCCTAAGCAACTAACATTACAAGTTAGTTGTATTATAACCCCTACTTTTATTTAAAATATTTTAATATTTAAATAGGCCTATAAATTTTATCAGTAACATCGTTAAGTGAAGAGTTTACAAGCATTATGCAACAAGTTAAATTTATCCCATGATAACTTTTATTTATTGTGTTCAATTCTTGTTTAGCATCACAAAATACTATCCATATTTTACAAAACATCATAATAATTGACTCAATGGATACTATTTTTCACTGCTCAAAAACATCTGTGTATTCCTGAAATCATTAAGACAAAGATGCCACCTGAGAGGAAAAAGACAGAGATGATTTTACGCACAACCGTTAGTGCCTTTGTAGAAGCTTAACTGTCAAAGGTACATCATAATATCAACAATATATCACACCGTATTGTATAGGCCTGCATCTATACAACGCAAAACAATCACCCCTGAATTTTTCTCCACCAGTGCTTAAAAAAAGCATAAAACCACAATGACAAATGATTGTGCATTTAGACACGTGATTGTTCTTAGAGTAATTCTATTTCTAAAACTATTTATTTTAAAATATTCAATGTCTGATAGTTTACTACTTTTCCGTGCGGTTAGGCACTATGTGCGTTCGGTCTACCTATGTGACAACTATGTTGCGAATCGGATTGAGTGAAACATTTCAATTGTGTTTAAGAAGTTGATATTTCCTAATTAAGTGTTGCAAACCTGCTCTGTGTTTCATAATGCCGTTTTAAACAGTATTCTTATGATACAAGTTGTGTCACGTGTTTTTTCACCTCATAAAGCCAGATTTCCCTGGGCGTGGGAGCAGAAAAGTGATTACAATGGCGATTCTCTCCGCATCTAGGAAAACAGAACTATCACATTTTCAAGACAAGAAGAGAGTGGACTTGACGTTCCGCGCTCCACTTCCCAGTTTAAGGCTGATCAGAATAGATCAAAATGTTATCCTGTACTCTTAGTTATCAAAATACTCCTATCATCAACTAGTTCATTAGATCTCGTATTGCCATCTTCCACCCAAACTCTGATATCAACCAACACTAAAACATTTCGCTCAACACGACTCATATCTGTAAGTACTTTGTATGCTGTATTTTAGTTTCTTCCAAATTCTTCTACTGCTGGCTTTATTTTTGCAAATTGAATGAATCTTTCTATACTCTAATTCTAATGTTATATCTAATTTCTGTTTACTATTCTAAGATGAATCGATAATTTAAGCCACAGACTTCATTTGACACAAACATTTTACTGTAATTTACAATGTTTTGTAAGTAAAATGGAAACCTGTGATATAAAATGTCCTGTTAAAAATTTAGTTTTCTAGGTTGTGTTTTTAAATTCCGGCTTATGTTTGAATGGTAAATATATTCAAACTATTTCCTTTTAAATTTTTAAATACCTACTTTTTTGGTACTTTTTTAGTTGCTGTACAAAAAAAAAAATTTCTCAGCAATTTGTTGTGTCAAAGTCATGTGCTTTCATTAAACTAATTATTTCTTGCTTGGAATTGCTTGAAGTCTTTCACCATAAAAATCACAGAGTGTTTAGGCTAATTTTTACTATGAAAAACTAACCTTTTAATGTTGCATTATAAATACAGTGATAAAAGCTTGTTTAGCATTTAGGGTGTAGAGGATGTATGAGTAAGATAACAGGAATCATTATGTCCATAGTAACAAATTGTTGTGATTTAAAGAGTTTTTTTTTTTTATGCTATTGTAATAATAATTTACTGATTGACCTTTTTATAAGCACCATCTTTCATTTTTAGTTTTGCAGTAAATTTATTTAAATTTCAGTATCTATAAAAAATTAAAGACTTAAACAACATGGATTGAGTAAAGATATTTTATGAGTAAAAATAAATATTGTCAATGACAATGTAATCTTCCTGATTCAAAAAATTAATATTGACTTTGTTTTACCTTTGACTGCAAGTCTGCTACAGAAAAGTATTCAAAATCGATGGTTTTAGTGAATCATCAACAGCAAATAAATAGACTTTTACAACTTGCCCCTCCCCTCCCCTATTAAGGACTACATGGCCATAAACAATAAAAGTTTATATTAATTACCAAGGAAGACTGATAATTGTACACTTTGATCTTAATTATTATTATTACAGTAGACCCCCTCTTAAGCGACCTCGCAAGATTACCCCCCCTCACCCGTAAAATATTACAGTTTGTTTTAACCGACCTTGTTTTGAGAGTACGGTTTAACCACTGTTTTCTAGGAATCTCAGAATTTCCGCTCCCACGCTTGGTAATGGGAACAATACACTAAACTCGACAGGATGTTGCTAAGAATTTGTTATTTTGTATTTATGGTAAATAATCATCTTGTCTCTTAACGAAATGGTTGCTCATATCTTTAATTTCGACAATAAGTTCCTTACTGTATTACCATATATTTTGAAAACATCACTTTATATTACTAAAGGTATTAATTTTTATTGATTCTTGCCTAGGACTATGATTTATTCCACTGAAAGTACTTGTCTTTACCATGTGTAGGGTTTATTTGTGTCTTTTATCGTCAATCCTTAAGAAGAAAAGGAGGTTAGCGTAGTTTATTTTGTAAATAATACACGCACAACTTCAGAATAATGATAATATAATTCCAAATATTAGCATTTAATTTTTTTTAAGTTTTTAGGGATTGCCAGTTTTAACCGACCTTTTGAGTTACACGACTTAGGTCCCGGTCCCGCTAGGGATTGTTAAGAGGTGGTCTACTGTAATAAGTTTAGTTTAGTTTATCACAGGTTTAATCAATTAAAAATGTGCTTGAAGCACTAATATCCCAAAACATTAGTTATTTTTAAATAAATCAATAACTTAAACTTAATTAAACCTACATGTTTAGATCACTATATATTTTTAACTTAATTAAAGTAACAGATTTCTTTAAACAACATGATTTTTTCCACATTGAAACAGTTTACATATATGTTTATTACACCATTTATTACAATCTTAATCTTGGTTTAATATCCTCCATTTTCACTCTACTTTTAAATAATGTCAAATAATTCATCAATGGTTTGATAAAGTACAGGACAAACAAAATTTCAAATTTTTTAAAAATATTAATATTCATCATACATTAAAATAATTACTTCAATATGATTATGTACTCTTAATTATTTACTGGTGTCATTTATTAATGGGACTGTTTTAGCGAGGTTTCATTTAGAAATGTTCATGCTTTATGTACTTAATTTATTTTGATTTTGACAAACAACAAGAGTAGACTACGTGAAGGATGATTTGATACTGTATTGCCAAATTACTCTAGAATTATGTAGGAGTTACAAAAAACTGCTAGATTTGTGGCAGGTCTACTCCAGTAAAAGTGATATGTTTATGAATATGATTCATTATGAAATATTATTGCTTAAAACGTATTGCATATTAAAAGTGAACCATGAAAAATCAGTGGTTCTTATCAAGAAATCCAAATTTCACTTTAAGGTACCACCACCAAATTAGCTAAAGGTCCTGTATATAATTGTTGAAAAAAATAACAAATACAATTACTGTTGCATAATACCATTAAGATTTGATTATAGCACTTTTGTAGTAAAAATGTGTAATTTTATGTATAAGTTATAATATGATGATATGATGAGGTTGGAATAACCAAAGTCACTCCAAAATAACTCCATACAAGAGGATTTACCTAATTTTAGCAATTTTCCCCATTGGGAAGTAGCTATTACCGTAGGTGGCCATGGTAAGACCTAGGCCCGGGACCAATATACTTTTTTCATTTTGATGTCCCCAGAGGCTAAAAACACCATTCGTTCAAATTTATATATATATATATATATATATTTAAAAACATTAGTACCCTTTAAACTAATTTTAATTATCAACGACTTCTTTCTACACTAAGGTCATAGTCATGTTGACATTTTTTAACAAAAATACAGAATATTGTAAAATGTAGTTTGCTTGTTTATGGATATTTTTTGATCAAACTTGGCAAATTTATTTACTGTATACTAAGCTATTTATATTTGACTAAAAAACACACTTTATTAGTTTTCCTTGTAGCAGCAAACCTAGGTACTTGTTAAAACTAATGTTATTTAAATAGATTTAATTGAAAATCAATTCCGACAAATGGAAATTCGCTTAGTCGGCAGGTTTGCTGCGGCGGTTTTTTTTTTATAGATGTAGAGTGAAAATAGGAATGACAGTATTTTACAGTAATCAGCAAGCAAATATGGAGGTCGGGTATTTAGGAAAAGTATTATATCATTATTTAGACTGACCAGTTAACTCATTAAAAGGGGACTTTCAGGACAATCGTTCAGCCGTTAGAGAAACTTAAAGGTTGAAGTAAGATGCTCAGAAAGATCTTTAGGGGTATAGGGGCCTGGGGTGTTTTGGTAATATTCATAAGGAGTTAGATAAATGTACAGAGGAAGTTAGACACTGTCAGGGAAGTGAAGGTAGCCCAGTTTGAGGGTGTGATGAGATGTACTGCAAGTGACTCTATCAAACTCGCAGAGCTCTCTGTAGTGGGAATAGACAACCAGCCACAGGTAGAATCCCAGCGCAAGATGTAGACTGCCCACTACCTGCAAAAATTACAGGGTTACCAACTTTCAAAACTTATCATCAAAAGTCAACAGATACCCTGTGCGGTACCGGTACCTGAGAATTAAAAAAGAAACTTGAAGCAACAATAAAGCTGTTTTCTTTAAAAAAACATAAAAAGTTTAGGATGGCGATACTTGGCATGGGTGGCATAGTCTTTACTTTACTTTTACATTTCATTGAAATGGCGACCATACGGTACGGTATTTTAAGCCAAGTATGAATGGAGATGAGTGTAGATTGAGTGGCGCAATCTTGTAGATTTGTTAGCCGACACATATTCCTTAGACTGTTAATTAATCCTTGGGCTGTTAATTAATAGCGCATACAGCTAACGGCAACTAAGGGACCTACAGTTTATAATGGAATCCTAACGACATTTTTGCCTTGGTATTAACGAATTGGTCTAATTATCAGGATAGTACTGCGGATAGTCGTAGTACTTCACTAGTGCAGAGGGGAATCTACACCAGGGAGTATCACATCCACAGTGCATGCCAATAAATATCCACAATCTGTGACCTCCTAGTAGCTGGATTACAGGACTACGCCACTGTACCAGTCAACTATAATATAACTTCAACTCGGAATTATGGTCAGTTCACCAAATTTAGGCCGTTTAAGGAAGGTTTCCTGGGTTCCCTCGCCACTTCTTTTAGCTTATATCAGCTATCGGCTGTTGTATCAAATAACACACCTCTTTTAGGGTGAGGTTAAGGGGATGGCTTGCTTCCCGTCAAACCCTCTAAATTTAGTGAGCGGAGGAGTAGTACTGTACTTACCAGTATGATGAAGGCCCTCGTACCATGAGCCAAGAACATGGAGACCAGCATAGCTGTGCAGCAGAATACAAGGCCCAGCAGAACTACGCTGATCCATGGAACCAGTAGTTGTCTGACGTGCTGTGGGAATAAGGATAGCTGGATAACTACCGGTACCATACATAATTGCATGTGAAGGGGTCATTTCTCCGCTTGCTAGACGAAGAGTGTAAGTATTCAATATGATAAGTCTATGTACTTACTCCCCTTCGTCTTGCAAGCAACAATTTATAACTCTTGCTCAGTCAAATGTTAACTTTAAACTCTTAAAGATATAGTATAACCAACATTGCATTTACAGTAACATTTACACATTTTTTTAGATTTTACAACAAAACAATGTGAAAAAACATAAATTGGTCAAGTACACAAATGTTTTAAATCTTTGACTATTGATACAACTTCAGTATACAATAGTCAATGGTTAAATGAAACATTTTGTACCTATTTTTTTAAATTTCCGGGGTCATCCTCCAGACCCCCCTTATAAAAAAGTTAGCTGGATGTCCATGTGTGCTGTAAATATTATGCCTTATTATCCTTGACATTTATTTACTACTAGCAGTTACCTGGCGCGCGTTGCTGCGCTAACAAAATACATGTATGTGTGAAAAGCATGTTTTTTCTACATTTAAGCCGACGATAGTCAGGGATTGCCCTAGTGCCTTATAATGGTGATTGCGAAAGCAAGACACTAAGGAAATTGTAGTTGCTTAAATTCAGAGGGTAATTCGGATGGTAGGTTCTACCTTTGAACTTTCGCCCCACTACTCTGGTATTAAATTTTATAACAACCTGCCTGATTGCATTAAGTCTGCATCTTCCCTCAGGTCATTTAAAAAAAAGTTAATCTAAGTTTTTATGTAACAAGTGTTGCTATAAGCTCAATGACTTTTTCCGATGAGTGTTGTACGGCTTATTTATTTATATTATTTTTATGTTGGTTTTCTTAGGAATTGACACTATTCATGTATATTTTGTACATAATGAATAAAGGATGTTTTGATTTGATTTGATTTGATTTGATTTGATGAAATCATCAGTATTCTTGGGATTAAGACTATTCCTCCCTTAAACCTACCACTGATAATTTTTGCTTTAATCAATTTTGACGTCATTTTTTAATCGTTAGTCTGGTAACGTTGCACAGCTTTGGTGGATTTAAGTTTTGCATTATTATTGGAGTTCTTTCTTTTAATTACAGTAATGTGGTGGGTTTAATGACAAATTGAGAGGCATTTGAAAACCCGAGATAGCACACACGATTATTATTCAGTTAATAATTTATGTTAGATTGTGTGGGTATAAAACGAAAGATAAAAATATGAAGGCATTGTCATCCCTTTTATTGTTCATAATACTTTGATAAAGGTTTTGATGTTTTTAATATTTAACATTGGAGAATTTAAACGTTGTTGAGTGCACAGGTGTGCTGCGATTGGGGTTAAATACATTTGGACTTATTCAAAAGTAAAATAGTTTTCTGTGCTGCACTCTGCTTTTAAATTATATTTATTTGTAAACATTGTAGATCAAAACGTCTGACATTGGCCCACTGGCCCTCAACTAAAAAACCCTCTGAGGGAGCCCTTTTAACAGATCTGCACCAAACTACACTCGAACCATCCTTGAAAGATGCTTAATAATGCCTGAAAGTTTCATTACAATCTGTCGAGCGGTTTCGGAGTCCATAACGTATATACACATATATATACATACATACATAGTTCCTCTTTTATAGATATAGATAGTGTACACAGAATTAAATTTATTTGGCAACAAAAAAATAGTGTATTTACCATTATAGCTCCATAGAGCAATAAAATGCAGGAGAACAAGAGAACTGTAGTCATGGCTACTCCAGTGTAGAGAGTGATGATAACCACTGCAACAAATAACATATAAAAATACATAAAATTTTAACAGCTCTGCTGTGTATAACCTGTTTTGAAGCACACTATCGGCTTGATAGCACAGGGAAAGTTGTGATTGTTCTGTTTTGATTGCAATTAATATTTTCTTTTTATTTCAGAGGAATGTAGGCCTATATGTGGCTGTAATAATTTTCTACTTTATAGCATAAAACTCATTGTCATTTTGTTATATTTGTCTTTAAAGTTGTTTGTATGTACAATTAATCATAACATTTTTATTATCAATTCCAGGAAATATTGTATGGAGATTAATAGTATTTACATTATATAATACAGTACATTAATTAAGCATAGCCAATTTCCTTGTGAACGAATTTGTATTTTAATCCGGGACAAATCTAATATTTCCCTCTGTTAAAACTTCTTTTTTGATACACGATTTTAAAACTGCTTCGTATTTCTTTCTATTAATAACAACATTATGTTTATGTTATAAAACAAACTAAAACAATCTTTTAGGACAAAGTATCTTACACATTTTGTTTTAAGTACCAAATTTTAAAACTTGTTTACATATTGAGGAGGCCTTCTTTAAACTACACCCAGCAAAGTTAAGAACATTGAAAAATGTTTAAAAGCTTGAGAAAACTTTTTTAACCATAAAAGCAGCACAATTGTATTAAAGGTAAGTAAAGTATAATTTTTTTTCACATTATCACTCATAAACATTATGTTGGGAGACATACCAATCGCAAGATGTTGCGCTTTATGGAGCCGTATGTCATTTTGGTTGAATGAGTTGATCATTACTTCCGAGCCAAATAATCCACTGTCCTCTGATGAGAGGACAATTCCCTCTCGCTGAGCCGAGTCTTCTATGTCAGCTTCTAGCATTGTAGCCATTTCCTGTGCATGAGCGCTACCCAGCAGCAGCAGGAACAGTCCAATGGCAGAGAGCAGCTGTGGAATTAATATTGAAGCTTGAAGTTATAAAACGTCCATCAAAAACTTTAAAAACTATCATTTGAGTCCAAATTAGTGTAGTTTTTCTACCGCAAGAAAAACACTATCGCTTTAAACAAAACATCATTTTACTTTGTTAAACCTATAAAAGTTAGTTTTACTATAAATTAGGTGCCTAAACATAAAGAAATCGTACTTTAAAATAAATGTGTCCTGATTGTTCAAACCCCAACAATTTCACTGTTGCTGAGTCCAAGCCCGCGGTTTGCATGTGACATGCTATGGGCCGAGAGATATTTTCCCTCATTGTTCCAGAGGAGTTTTTCTCTTGCACTCTCAAACAAACATAAAACCTCTTCCGCCCCTAAAGGATTGGATGTTAGATGATATATATATACAATTCCATTTATCATTTTAATTTAATTTCTTAAATCATTGCCAGTACAGTAAAGGGTAAATTATTGGTTGACTGTCACTTTGCCAAAACATTCATCAAGAATTGTAATTGTAAATTTCAAATTCCCAAGTGCAAGGCATCAAGTGAAAAGCAAATCTAGATTGTTGTCTTTTCATTCGTAAACATATAAATAATGATTTTTTGTTGGCATTCAAAATAAAACGAGTTTTGTTGTTTGGTCATATAATCCATCCCCAGGGTAGGATCTGTGGTATTATAGTGGTGCATGAAGGCGTTCACAGTATACCTTTTCCAAGAATCCTACATTTTAGCAAATTTGCCTATAGGGAAGTAGCTATAAAAGCCACCTACAATATTATCATTATATGTGTCACATTATGTTTTTGTATTAACGCATAAAACCTAGACTTAGGACTGATATATTTATATGTATGTGTGTGTGTGTGCTTGTGAGCGTGTTATCTTGAGTACCTAATTTTGGTCTGATTTTGATCAAATTTGGCTTGATGGTGTAGGGTGGGATAAACTTGATGATTTCTCTAACCAGCAAGATTGGGTGATGGGAACAAGGTGTTATGGTTTTTTCAAAAATAGTTTTTTTTTTTTAATTTGTACTATAGTTGGTCTTTAATAGTACAGTAGTCAGTATTAAAATAAATAAAGAGTACAAATTTGAAATTCCTACCAGCTGGACAACAGCAATCAGCATTGTGCCTTGTCGAAGACTGAAGATGAAGAAGCACCTCTGAATGGGCAAAGGCATTGTGACTCATAGACAGCTAAATCTGGAGAAAAATATCCAACACTTTGTAATTGAAAAATTTATTAAACCCCTTTGACAAATTTATAATATGTTTTCTGCTACAACATTAGCCAAATCAAATTTCTAGATCTGGTGTTTACAGTTTCAATTGTATTAAGAGTATGTTTTATCTATGGTAATATACTGTACCATACTTAAAATAATTTTCACTGTCCTTTCTTTCAGATGTAGATGTACATGATTATTAGTAACTAGCAGTCAAACCTGTGCTTCGCAACGGGAAGAAAATGCTAAAGAGAATAATTATTTTCCTTAGATTTTTTGTATGTGGATAAACTTTTAGTGATCCACTAAAAGTATTAACGGGCTACTCAGTTTTCAAAACATTATTTTTGGGGAAATAAACCATACAAACACAATAAATTTTTGTAAACAAATAGGAAAAAAGAAAGTCAATAAGTTAATGAATTATGCACTTAATAAATAAAACGTCTTATTCCCACAGTATCAAAACTGATTTATTAAATTAAAAATATAAACATAACTCTGTAAAAATCCTACTTTGACAGTTCTCATTTTGTATCACAGCTTTTTGTTGCTGATTTTGGTTCAAATTAGCTGTTGTCATAAATTTAACAATAATAGTGCTGCACCCTGTTGGTAAAACTTATAACTTTTTTTGAACCTCACATAATCAAATTGTTTAGTTGAAATAGCTGTTAAGATTCTTTAATTCCATTTAAATATGAGTACTCATAAGGTTAACATGGGAAATTCCAGAGCCACTGGGGCGGAGCCGTTAGGACGGATCTGCATCAAACTTCACACAAACCATCCTTGAATAAAGCTTAATAAAGCCTGAAAGTTGCATTACATACCCTATGGACTCCGAAACCGCTCGACAGATTGTAATGCAACTTTCAGGCTTTCAACATACATACTTCCTCTTTTATAGATATAGATTTTGTGTAGATATACCTACTCAAATAAAGAGTTCATACAGTAAAAAACACAAAATGAAATCTTTAATCGAAGAAATTATCTAAATTCTTGTACCTGAGCACTATCCCAACAATTTAAAAATATTTATTACTTTTCATTTTTAATACCTACTATTTTAAATTAATTGTATATACACACACTTAAAATACATGTATTCATAAACATAATTATGTAATAAACTCTAGAGTTGTCAGTTTTGCAATGTGTGTAACTTTAAAGTGTTTAGAAAATATATTAAGCAATTTCCAATTATATATATTTTTGTTTTCCTTCAGATTAAAAAATAGTGTTTGAGTTTATCAGGAGTGGGCCATCTGCTTGTACCATGCTAACACATTATTTTTAGTACAGTACATTCATTGCTGAAATAATAGGCATTTATTTTGGAAAAAGTTTTGTTTTGAAATGGTACTACACAAGGTTATTGCTTGAATAACTTATTAAATCTATGGTCATGGGTTAGACAAGTACCTAGCTTTTATTGCACTTTAAAATTACAAAAAAAACCTTTCGTTAATAATTCTAACTCAATCAAATAATGTTTTATCAAGTATCATGAGGTAAAAAATTAAGGTAACTTTAAATATAAAATTCAACAACAAATGAAGTAGGAATATTTCCTTACAAGTTTCAGTTTGTTTGAATAAGCAACCAATTTACATTTTATTGACAAGCCAGGCTGCTTCAATAATTTTGAATGGGCAGGTCCTGGCAGTGGTATGAATGAAATTCGTAATATACTCACCAAAATATCACAGAAAATACACAAGTATAGGTTAAAATATTGAAAATGTAGCGAAACTAATCTTATTTATAGGAAAATATCAGTAGAAAATACATCAAGTATGCTATATTTTCAAACTGTGTGTGCTTGTTACATTTGCTTTGGGGTTTTACAACGTCACTAGCCAAGCAATCAATACATTGTATACCAGCAGAAACATTGTATCTGTAGCGCTGCTCTCTTTCAAAATAAACACGTTCCAAATGGACCGTACTTAGTTGCGTTGTATATAATTAGACAAAATACTAAATGGATTTGTGTTTAAATCATAGTATCAATTAATATTTTTGTAGTCAATACTAAATGGAATATAGATAGCTTCGTGATAAAATTCAAGCGGTAATCCCTGACCATTGTGAGTGCAATGGGTTTAAGATAATTTTCTATCAATTAATTTTGTTTTGCTTCAAACTATCTATGTTTTTTCTTAAATGGCTTTATTATTTATATGGTGCGAAATTTGATGCAAAATTTTATGTGTTTATTATAAATGATAAAAACACTAATTTTATATTATTTGTTACTATTCGTTTTTTTTTTTTCAGAAAGCCCTTTATTTATGAACGATGAACGAATGTTTTAGTTAATTAACATTATAAATCAAAATCACTGGGACGGTGGCGTCGTCGCTCGTCGTACGGCTGTCTATAACTCCAGGCCGCGACCTTGAAGTGGCAACGTCTCAAGTAGGGTTGTAACAGCTGTTCCGCTTGGAAGCAGCTAATGGTATTTGTGTATTTACGAAAGTTTGGTTACTGGACTATGAAAATATTTACTTCGATTCAAATGTACAGATATAGATTTTCGATTCATATTGTATTGGTTTCCAATTCTGCATATATTTTATTTTCAATATTTTAATAAATTTATGTTCATAAATTTAAATCAATAAATGCGAATTAATGAGCTGATGTCACCTGTCTGACATGTTATCTTATATGGGACGTCTGACAAACAACCCTACTTGCGAAGTTGCCAATTCTTACCAGGCCGCGGCCTTATACTTATACTTTTCTATGAAATGGAGTTAAAGGTGGCCGTGCCTGTAATCCAGCTACCTACTTACTTTTTTTTTTATTTTTTATAGGAGGTCACGAATCGTGGATATTTATAGGCAAGCAATGTGGATGCGATGCTCCCTGGTGCGGGTTAACGTCCGCCCTAGTGAGTACCACGACTATCCGCAGTACTATCCTGATAATTAGAGCAATTCGTTGATACAAGGGAAAAAGTGGCTTGGATTCCACTATAAACTGTAGGTCCCTTAGTTACCATTAATTTTCTATTAATAATTAACTGCTGTGTCTAAGGAACGTGTCTATTGAAGAGTTCCTGGAACAACCTGTGATAAGCCTGTAACTTCAAGCCTACATCTAATTCTGTTAATTATTTCTATATAGTCTATTTTTGTTTTCTTCAATTTTGTTAATTATTATTATTCATTTGTTAATTGTTTATTCTATTGTGATTGTTAATCCTGTACGGTATTTGAAAGGAATTTGTGATTATTTAGACAATGAACATTGGCATTTTATGTTCTGCTCCACTGACAATGTCAATGCATATATAAATGTCCATGATAATAAATGATTGATTTATGATTTTTTATGATGATTTGATTTGTCGGCCTTAGTCACTAACAAGACTACAAGATCGCGCCACTTGTCACTTGTCCCACACTCATCCTTCACTCATATTTGGGTTAAATACGCACATAGTGGCGACCCTATCTTAAAATTGATAAAAAATTATTTATAATTTAAAAGTGTAATGTGTAAAGTGTACTGGTATGATATTGTAAGACTAAATATAATTGTATTTCTTGAGCCAAAGGTTTTAGAAACTTCTTGTTTGGGGTCACATTTTCATTGATACTGTAAATAATATTATTTTGGTAAGGGTTAAATCAAATACTCTTTATTATAGTGCTTGTATTTTAACATAGTTAATTGTGTGATCTATTCGGCACTGACCATCCCAAAATTTCGCGCTCAAATTTCTAAGATAGTCTAGTCTGAGTCTGTGAAAGATGTTGTGTTTCAGAAGACCATGTTAAATTTAGTGTAAAATGTACGTACACGATATTGTAAATGATTTCTACAAAAAGATTATAGGCAAGGTAAGGGCTAGAAGTTTCACTAATACTATTTTCATTAGATTGATTAAATCCGGGAAATTAACTAGGCCTACTCAAATTCTGGCCGACCTACTTTTAGGTTAATCTGTTTACTATTTAGGCCAATGTTGCATTATCTGCCAATTCTGCATTGTTTAAGATTCTCTAGGTCATTATCAACCTTAGATAATGTCGAAAGATGTAAACAGGAAGCTTAATTAGGATCAACCTGGGTTTTTAACTTATTTTTAATGTGTGTTCAGGTAGCCTTTAAAACGGATTATTGTTCTGTCTGAACTTGACAGTTTTTATTTTTAATGTAATTAGCAGGCTTATTTATTGTTATTCTTTCTTTTGTCATTACCAATTTTAGGTTCTGAAAATGTCGTGAAGTGTTGGTTTTCCAGACTGCATTACCTATATAAAAACTTAATAAGCCTATTGATACTGCACTTATTTTTTTATCCAGATTTTACTACCTACCAGATCTGTACTTAAGTTTTGTTGCCTAGTTGCTTACTCTTACTCCTTAATTCTTGCTCTTGCTCCTCTTCTCCATAACTTAGTCTCAAATAAGTTACCAGGGAAATCGTCACTATTTAATTATTTTCAAAATCTTGTAACTTATATATAATTTATTTTTATACCGTAAGTCATTTTTTGCATGTTTTCCTCGTCTTGTACTGTGTTGTTTTAGGTTACCTAGTTGAGTCTTTTTGTTCTAGTTGCCAATCTTTAAGTGAGTTATTTTACTGTTTACTTACTTGTTTTTGATTCTTTATCATTGTCATACAAAGTCTCGTCTATCTTCATGTATGACATGTATAAGCCTGAAATGTAACATTTTGTCATCTTTGTATCCAAATGTAAAATGGAGTTTTCCCTCAATAAGTTAAATAAATAAATAAAATATGAAGGTATTAAGTCCTAAATTATTTACTTTTGAAATTTATTCTAGGCCTATCATCTAAGTTTAGGATTAAACTTAATTCAGTTGTTCTCCATAGAGGCCTAGTGCCATATGTATCGTTAATTCTACAAATAGTAGAGATTTATTGCCTCTCAGTTTTTGATTGCTTAAGCTATATTTCATTACCAGAGCTAAATTAGCTCTACACAAACGGGAACTGTCACTTGTACTTTTATTTTATATTTAATTTACCTATTTTTAAATTTCAAATTTTGAGAAAAATCTTTTGAACATTTTACTGCTAAATATATTTAAATTTGGTATTATTAACTTAATGTCATCTAGTTTTGAAGTAACTTTAAGCTAAATTAGGCTTCTTAGGCCTATATCCACAAGACACTAGGCCTATGATCCAATTAAGTTACAACTAGACCTATATAACTTAAGTCCTTTTATTTATTTTGATGCTTAATAATTTTGTTTTCAGAAAGTATTAGTTTTTGCTAACTGTGACATTGATGCTGCTTGTTCCTGCAAAATCTTGCAATGGCTTTTCCAATGCGACAGTATTGTTTACTCGTTAGTTCCGGTTCAAGGTATCCAAGATATGATTACAGCTTATGAAGAACATGCATCAGAAGTAAGTATTTTTTGCATCGTTGTTACTAATATTTGAAGTTGGATCTGGCTGACCTCAGCATCTAAATCCAATACATCCACAAACAGCTTAACAAAAAAGTCCTTAAGAGAACAAATTACCAAGCCATTTGTTTTTTTTTTCTAGGTTTTGTTCATGTCCTATGTTTTCAAGATTGTAGTTTACACATTAGCTGTTTTAACAAATTATTTGACATCATCTAATTACGATGATGTCATTTTTATATTAGCTATGGTAAAAAAAGTGGAGCTATGTTATCTTCATTGTCTGAAGCTGTTGTTTGATCTTTTAAACGCCTTTCCACCAAATCCCTTGCCAACCATGTAAACTGAACTAGGCCCTACTGCAATATTGTGTAGGGCTACGTCATGCATGTGTAAGATTTTTATGAGACTACTTTCTATAAAATGGAAAATTCTGCTTTGCTAAATAAAAAATTTATTTTAATAATTTCATGTTTTCAAGCGAGGTTATATTTTGTGTACTTTTGTTGGTAGGCCTATACTGTAGAATATTCTGTTATCCAACCTTCCTGGGCAATATTAAGGCACCTACGTGATTTCTGGAATAAAATTCCCAACTATCCATTCGGCCTACTATTTTTTTTTTATCCCTGGACCAAAAACACAATGTCCATTATACCTGGTCTTGTAGTCACGGTGCCATCGTCAACATGTCTCGCGGTCACGGTATCATCGTCAACATATCTTGCAGACAGCGTCATCTTGAACATTTCCTGCGATCACGACACAACTTTCAACATGCACTCAAGGGTGATCCTCAACACATTCCGCGGTCACAGCGCCAGCTCAAAGATCTCCCGCGATCACTGCACCATAGTTAAATGTCTCACAGTCATGAAACCATCGCATCATTAGCCTATCTCTAAATTTTATGAAAAATTCCTATACACTTTCATCATCTTGGCTATATCACTTGGCCTATTCCAAAGTAATTTAGAGATTTTGAATTTTGATTGCTTTATTATTTTTGTAACTGATATATTTGTGTTTAGGTGAAATATGTGATCCTTGTGAACTGCGGAGGAACTCTTGATATTGTAGAGATACTGCAACCGGAGCCAGACGTAATATTTTACATTGTCGACAATCATCGCCCGACCGACGTTTGCAACATTTATAACAATGAACAGGTTTGTTACAAAGCTTCTCTGACAAAAAATGTTACCGCCAACAATAAGTCTTAAGTTTAGTCTATAGACCACTAATATAAAATAGTCTAGTTGTGTAATAATCTGGCAAATTATCACTGGGTAATATGAATAAAACAAAACAAACATCAATCGTTTGGTAAATTAGCCAGATGATGATACTCTTAACTCTTCCCCCTGCCTGCATGGAACCACTTAAAATATACTCATAATCCACATCATCCGATTTCTCCTCTAGGGTACTGCCGATCTAGTCCGGTTAAACCAATGTGCTGGTAAAAATTGTCCGGTTAAGAGATGTCATATCCGTCGAGTGTAGTCCGGTTAAACCGATGTCCGGTTAAAAGGTGTCCGGATAAGAGGGAGTCTACTGTAGTACATGTACCAAAAAACTAGATGCATCACTTTTGGTTATCGATCTTTTGTGAAATGGGATTCATTACATCTGTTGAAGAAATTTGTAATCATCGTCGATTCACATGGCTCACCTAACCAATTCTATCCGTTTTACAAACCTAGCTTCTTTCGTCTTGTTTTGTGGGGGTGTTTTATGCAAAATGTATAAAATTTTGCGATTTCTTTCCAAACCATTTTGTAGAGCTTAAAAAAACAAATAATTTAGTATATTGAAGCGTTATTGTGCGCTTAATAACCTAATGGAAATGGTTACAGAAAAAATTCCAAAAAATAGTAAACTAACTTCATGTTATTCTTCTCATGTTATTCTTATGGAGTATAAGTACACTATTGTAGTTTGCTTGTTTATGAACATATTTTGATCAAATTTGGAAAATGCATTCATAGGCCATCTTACTAAACTATTAACATTTGAAAAAAAAAAACTTTTTTTACCCTCCCTGTTTCAGCAAACCTAAGTACTCGTTAAACTAATTATATTTAAATGGGAATAAATGTGATATTTTTAAGGAGACATTTTAGTGTAAATCCAATCAGGCAAATGGAAATTTTGCTTAGTCTGCAGGTTAGCTGCGACGGGAGTATTTTCATTTGAATTGTTCATGATGCGATGAGGGCTTGTAATCGTCCTGAGTTGACCCAATGCTTTGATGATTACTATGTTAATGACTACTATCGACAAGTAAACAGATTTTATACTATTTACAATGGCAAAGCTGCCTCTTGACCTTGTAACAAATTGAGTCCAAACTGCAACTAAGGCTGTAGCTGCTAAAGGGCCGAAATCGAGATGGGCTCTTATAGAAGAGATTCACTTTTTCGCTTCCTTATGTCTTCTAGTATAATCTTTGATCACTTGGAATTGTATATTTCAGTTTGTTTGGTTGGTATGACTCTGAAAGCCAGCTGGTGTCACTAGGCCCTTTTAGCATGGACAAGTGTCAACGCTGACAGCAGCCAAACATAACCTAACATAGGTAAACCTTTTGTGTAAAACTTTAGGACGGGCCCTTTGAGAGGAGAATCATTATTTTGCTTCCTTGTGTCTTCTAGATAATTCTTTGATAATTTGGAATGGTGTATCTTATTTATTTTTTATTCATATGACTCTTAAAGTCAGTTGGTGTCACCTGGCCCTTTAAGCATACACTGCCAATGCATACAGCCAAACATAACCTCTAAACTGTTACAGTGATTATCTCTAAACGTCAGTTTTCAAGATAGGCCCGTTTAGCAGCTACAGCCTCAATTACACTATAAAGTAAGTTTTTTGCCTGAGCTTGTAACTTTGATGAAAACAGTTAGCTGTTTAGATTGTATGCCTTTGTGTAATTTCATACTGTGTATTATTGTGTGCAATTCAATTAGACTTTCTCAAATTTGTGTTCAGTTTCTGGTACCTAATTGATTTGTTTAATTTGACAGATATACATTGTGCCTAAACCAGGCGATGAAGAGACCATCCCAGACTTTGACGATATTTTCGGCAATGACGATACAGTGAGTAAAAAGACTTTATCTTATCTTATCGTATCTAAAAGGGGCAGGTCGAGACCTTAAAGCACTTCATCCGAAATTAAATTATTGCGCACCCCAGACAATTGTTTTCTTGTTGACCTTACAAGTTAAGGCGCCCAATGAATGCCTGTAGCTTCCCAATTAGTTCATCCTCAGGAAGATATCTACCTCTAGCCATATTTCCAAGAGTTATCAGTCTAGCGTCAGAGAGCTCGTTACAATCAAAGAGTAAGTGATCAGCTGTCTCTTCTGACCTATCACAGTACCTACAGATCGGTTCACCATCATATAAGCCCATCCGTTGTAAATGTTTCCTGAATCTCCCATGACCAGTTATCAGTTCAACAGTTAATTTAGTTCTTCGTCTGTCTAGTCTCAAGAGGTCAGAGGCAACCTTTTTGGAAGCCCTAAACAGAGCAAGCTTGCTGACCCTAAGAAGGGGAACATCGACCCAGCGCTTGCGATGCTTTTCCCTGGCCCATGACGCAATCGCAGAACATGCACTGTTTCGTGAGATGCCACAGAAGGGTTGTGGGCCTATCATTGCTGTCACAGAGGCAGTATTTGCCAATCTATCTGCAGCTTCATTACCTTTTATGCCTGAGTGTCCTGGCACCCAGCAAAGCGTAAGGTCATTTCTCCTACCCAACTCAGACACAGAAGCAAGACAGTCCCACACAAGCCTGGAGTTGAATTCGTAAGAGTTTAGTGCTTTTAAGGTTGCTTGACTATCAGTATAGATATTGATTGTTTTGTCTCTGATATCTTTGTTAAGATGTTCTCGAGCACAAACCAAGATGGCAGTGACCTCCGCTTGAAAAACAGTACACCCCCATGGGAAGACAAATGCCAGTGCCTCCATTTATCCAATGCGCACCTGCTCCAGTGCCCCCATTTATGATCTTAGAACCATCAGTGTAGCATTCTAAATCACCTGTGGGTATGGGTCCTTTTCCGCCAGACCAATCCTTCCTATCTGTTATAAGTACTTTGAAAGGCTTTCCAAAGGAGTATTTTTTGGACATGTGATCTGAAGGCAAGTCCAATTCATCATTATGTACCACCTGAACAATTTTGGAGTGCCCTATATTGTTTCCTGAGGTTATCCATAAGTTTTCGCATCTAAGGCGTTGGGCTGTTTTTCTTGCTACCACCTTGATGTAAATGTCGATAGGTAGCATATCAAGCAGACAATCTAGAGCCGCTCCAAGACAGCTGCTTACTGCCCCAGTTATCATTATAAGAGCAAGCCTCTGAACTCCTGCAAAAGCTTTGACAGCTGTAGTAGATTCCATCTTTGGCCACCACACAAGCGAACCATATGTCGGACAACAGATACATACAGCCAGTGCAAAAGTCTAGGCTGTAACCCCCATGTTCCACTTACCATCCGCCTGCATGCCATAAGGGACCACTTACCACGTTCAATAACTTTTTGAAGATGTGGTCCCCAGTGAAGTGATCTGTCCAAAATTACACCTAGATACTTCACGTGATTCTGCAGCTCTATCACAGTGCCCTGCAGTTTTAGTGGGCCGATCCCATCCAGTTTCCTCCTTCTTGTGAAGGGTACCATTACAACTTTCCTGGGATTTATAGAGAGCCCAACTTCCTGGCACCAACGGTCCACTACCCTTAAAGCTCTATTCATAAGGTCAGTTATGGTTCTGTGGAACTTTCCAACCACAAGGATTGCAACATCATCAGCGTAACCTAAGGCGAAAACCCCACTTTCATTGAGGGTCCTTATAAGGTCGTCTGCTACCAAATTCCAAAGGAGGGGAGAAAGAACCCCACCCTGGGGACAACCTCGAGTAGTTCTTGCCTCGATCGTGTCATTATGGAGTTAGAGCCTGACCTTCCTACTGTGAAGCAAGGATTCAATCCATCTACATATAATACCGTGAAAACCTCTTGCTCTCACCGCATTAAGAATCGCTGGGGTGCCAGTGTTATCAAAAGCACCCTGAATATCAAGAAAGGCACCCAGGGCCACTTCACTGCTCTCTAGAGCCTTCTCAATCTTGCTTACAAGTTGGTGCAACGCGGTCTACGCATGCTGATTGTTATGAATAGGATGTGTCCTGAGAGCTGTATCCATCATATATCTTGAGACCAACTTTTCTAGGATCTTAAGGAAGAAAGAAGATAGAGAAATGGGTCTAAATGACTTAGGATCAGTGTAACTATCCCTCCCTGGTTTTGGAATAAATGCAATACGAGAATTACACCACCCTGAGGGAATGTGTCCTAAGGCTAAGCTGGCTCTGAAAAGTTTACAGAGTGGGTGTATAATTGTGTCAAGACCTTCCTGCAAACAAACAGGTCTTACCTCATCAGGACCCGGCGATTTGAAGGGTCGTAATAGGCCAACAGCCCATCTTACCTTGCTGAAGGTGACTATGCGGCAAGCAGTGCTCCACATAGAATGAGTGGCACGACGGCCCAGATTTGGCCGCTCTAGACTCACCTCCTCCTGCTGCACTTCAGAAACAATACAACCAGGGAAATGAGTTTTTACCATAACCTTTAGTATTTCGGTAGGTTCAAAAGCCATTACACCCTCCGGTCCCTCAACGGCACCAAGAGTAACATGCCTGTCTCCTGTCTCTAACAAGAACCTTATGTATTCTAGAAGTATCCTTGATACTTTCTAAATTTCCACAAAAATTATTCCATTAATGCCTTTTGGCCTTTCGTACTGCATGGTTATATTCTGTGAGAACAGTATGGTATGTATTCCAATTGTTAGTTTTCTTAGCTCGCCTTAAGTGGGCCCTAACTCTCCTCCTAAGAAAGCAAGTTCGGGACCCCAACAGCTAGCCCTATTGCTCTTGCCCTTGCGCAAAGGACAATTATCCTCAAAGGATGTAACTATGCTCCTAGTTAGACGATCTGCCGCCTCATCAAGCGCATCAACTGTGTTTATAAGAGATGTGTTCAGATTTGAGGCAATCCTGCCCCGAAGATCAGCTCTGAAGGATGCCCAGTCGGTTTTACCTGGGCTCCTGAACAAGCGAACCTCGCCGCAGAAATTCCCCAACCTGAAGACAATGTGCCTATGATCAGACAGGGATGGCTCAAGGGACACTGACCAGTCAATAATCCTGTCAGCCATACCCGCTGAACACAGGGTAAGATCAATTACTGATTGGCCTATTCTGCTTAAAAAAGTTGGTTCTGAGCCTACGTTTGCAACAAGTAGGCCGCAAGAAGCTAGGTAGGTACTCTAGAAGTGACCTACCTCGGTTGTTAGTGTCCATGCATCCCCAGGCCGTATTATGGGCATTGGAGTCGCAGCTTATCACGAGTTCGGATCCAGACTCATGTGCGAGGTCGACCAATCTTCTGACCTCGGCCGATGGGAACAATCCATCGTTGCCCTGTGGCATATAAACAGAGGCCAGCAGCAGTTTTATGTTAGATTTAGTACATACAGTCTTAATTACTGTTACGTCCCTCGAACAAAGCTCTAGAACTGGATTACATTTTAGCCCCTCTTTAACCCAAATGCAAGTTCTAGGGTGTGGTACAGACGCAGAAATGATGCTACCCTTAATAGTACCCATCCCCGCAATTCTTAAATTATTGACCCAGGGTTCCTGAATCAAGGCAAAATCTAAGGACTGCTTAACCGTGCTCAGACAGAACACAGCCGTGGCAGCCTTACTGTGTTGTAGGTTCACTTGAAGGACCTGGGTCATCAGAGGGAGCACCAGAGATAACTCTGAGCTGCAGTTTCCCCAGGCCCAGCCAGGTAGATAAGCCAGCCACAATCTTTCAGAACCTGCGCATTCATTTCATCAATAGCAAGAACAAGAATCTAATGATCATCCTTCTTCTTTCCACCAATGACGCGCCAGTCCTTTGTCGTGACACCAGGATTTTGCCGCTCAATCTGAACAAACACTTTAGAGGCTTCAACCTTGGCCAGGCGCCTGTCAGTGCGGAGGAGCACTTTAGTCGTGCGCAACAGATCCTTGTAGTCTGCTACAATGACCTCCATACTCCCCTCACTTCCCAGCGCTAGCTTCGGTGCCACCCTCTTTAGCCAGTCAGTTGTTTCAGAATTACCACAAGTTACAACAAGAGCACCCTTCTCATGGTAATTTTTTTCAAACTGATGCGGAATATTGGCGCCATCATCACCAAACACCAACTCCATCAGTTTGTCCTGCAACAAGTCACATTCCTCAACAGAGAATCTCGCGTCAGGTTAGGCCACTGGAGCTACTGCCAACTTGTGACCCACAAGCTGGTCTCTGTAGCTGACCATTCCTGCAACGGATCCATCTGCTGATCGATTAGATTTTTTATTTCTCTTAGGAGGAGGATTTTGAGAAGACCCTGGGTTACTATCGGGTCCGGTTCTACGCATCGGTGATACGCCAGAACCTTCCCCAGGAGAACTCAAGGACTCTTGCTTCCTCTTTCTCCACTGTCTGTTAGGGATCTCAGTCTGTTTCCTTTCTCTAACAGACATATTATACTCAGTTCTGGTCTTAACTGTAAAAACGGTTTTAGAGTCGGACGATGCGTCCGCCAGAGACGGAGAATCGCCAGCGTTGCTGGTGTCTAGTGACTTGTTCAGGTCCGCATCTAACCTATGACAAAGCTCAAGAACATCAGTTGATGAATTGGGTGGAGTTCTAGCTAGCAGGGAACTTCTCGAGAAGATCTCTGGCGTGTCTAAGGTCTCCCCAGGTTCCGTCTCCATTGCGGTGTTCTGCACAGTAACATCATTGGGCGCGTTCTGGGAACATGTACCGGTGCACCGGTGCAGATTAACCGGTGACTTACTCACCGGTGCTGCCCCGGGGCAAGAGTCTTGGTATCCCAGAACGGTTAGTCACCGGTTTACGGTACACATCGGATTATAATTTACACATTCACCTACTATTTGCTTTATAATGTTTAAATCAAACAAACAGACTTGCCCTCACGAAATAAATTATTTTAAAATTATTATTTATTACGTATAACACTCTCATTGAACAAATTTTCACTCATTACGCAACATAACCTATAAAACTAATGAACATTATTCGATGGACCCGCCATCTTGCCGTAGCTGCAAGCTGTTGTCAAAGAAACTGACCAATCAGAGGCCGCCGGTGTATTATGCACCATACAATTTCTTCGGTGCATAAATCTTGCACCGGTGGAGGAAAAAGAGGAAATAGCTGTCTGCTAAGTTAACTCACCGGTCTCCCAGAACGACACATTTTTTGCACCGGTGCGGCACCGATGCACCGGTACATGTTCCCAGAACGCGCTCATTGTTAAAGGTAAGCTGATTGTTGCCCTCCCCAGAATCCATGGGCTTGCCCTCCAAAAAGGAGGAGTTGGATTCCCCGCTTCAGCAGGTACCCACCTGGGGTAATGTTTCCGTTTGTTTACTTTCAGCCATTGCTATAACAAGAAAAGCAAAAAGTTAGCAGTTTAGCAGCCGAACCATGACCCACTCACTACGCCTGCTAATGTCCAAGACTGGACTCTTTCGCGGTTGGACCCCTCATCGTCTCCAGCTCAGTCTTGTCACAGCTGCACACATACCTGTAACAGTTGGCGGTTGCATTAGCTAGGCCTTGGCCGGATGGGTGAATGTCACCTCCGCCCAAGGCCAGTACTAGAGCAGCCGCTCCCTACCCTAGGGCTGTCTAGTCACGACACAGCCAGCGCTAGATCCGCTGCCTTCAGCGAGTGCAGAGGCACCCCTTGCAGGCTGTGCATAGCACAGTACGACTTTGCAGGACAAAGTCGACTAACAGCGTTCTTAAAGGAGGAGCTGTCATAGACAGCCCCCCCTCCCTGAGGAGCTTACGCTTACCTCTCGCCCCCCCCCCCCAAAAAAAAGACTTTAATATTTAACGATTTGATTATATCAGAGTAAATAATAGGCCTCTATAATGTTCAATAAGACTCAATGAACTCTTAAACACAAGATTGTCTGTTTAAATTAGCACACTAATCTTCTCGCCAGCTCTATTTCCATTCTAATTTTTACTTTCTTCAGTTCTCTTGCAAGAATTACATTAACCAGCCTCGTTCATTTAATATTCCATACCGGTACCCCCTTAATCCAGTTTTTATTTCAAAGTTTGAAAGATTCATTATATTTTAATTTTGTATCACATATAGATTAGCTAGTATTAATTTGTTTTATTGAAATTTCAAAACTTACCATTTTACATCCGTTAAAGAGTACAGAGAAGAAATGCAAAAATGTTGGTTATCAAATCAAAACCTTAATTTCATTGATTGTATCTATTCTTGAATGGTAGGACGAAGAGGTTAACAGTGAGGAAGAAGAAGTTGACAGTGAGACAGAGGGTGAGTCTAGAGGGGCAAAGCGACAACGACTGAACGAGGCTTCTATTTTGAGACAAAGAGAGCGACGACTGTGGGAGGAAAAACGGAACAGAATCATGTTTGACTACACACAGTTCACTTACTACGGCCGATCGGTTAGTGGATTATTTTGTTTTATAAACATAGATATTAAGATTTTTTTTTTTAATAGGTAGGCTAATTTTTATTTAGGTCAGCGTTTTCTATAATTGGCATTTCATCAAATGAAATAATTGATGTAAACAGACAATATATAACTGTACATGGTGTGGATTAAATGTGCCTAATGTCTTCATAAGCTTTCCAACCATATGCTACACTATTGAGGTTTAGATATTCTTTTGTTTTTTTGTTTTTATTTTTGTGTTTGTTTTAGTGGTTTGAATACCAGAAAACAGGGAACTTTTTTACTGTTCTGTTCAAGCTGAAACAAAAATACTACTTTTGCTTAATACATGCCGACTTTCTATGTTTTAAATGCTAAAGACACCATGTTTTGTAGTCTTCAAACCACTAAAGCGTACATAAGCAGACACACAGCTCAATGGTGTAGCATATGGTTAGAAAGCTTATAAAATGGCACAGTTTTTATTTACTATATATTGACACTTTCTTGTATACAGGTTGTGAACAAATACAATAGAGCAATGTTTTTTTAATTTTTATCAAACATCTTAATTTTCATCTTTGAATCTATTTACAATGGAGTTTTTACAACTGATCCTCCGTAATTTTCTATTATTCTTATTCAAAATTTAATGTAGAACACGAAAATGACATTATCTACTCAAATCCATTTTCAGGTAATTGAGAAATAGCTGTATTAAGTTTAAAAACATAGTTATTTTTGAAAAACATAAAATAATTTTTTGGTAAGCTAATTTTTATTCTTGGAACCTTTTATATGCATCATCACACTTCATTTACTTTGTACTTACACCAACAATTTTTTGTCACTGAGTACCAATCACCCTGTATTAATATGTAATATATGTGTCCGTTAGTGCTATATCTCGAGCAAAAATCATCCGATTTTGATGAAATTTGGTACAAACGATAAACCTACGTTTATTCGAACGAGTTCGCAAACCAGCATGATCGGACTATGGGAACAGGGGTCTATGGGGGGTTTTATGGGATAAAAATTGGGTTTTCCCATTTTTGATCCTAAAAACAAATAATTTAGTATATTGAAGCGTTATTATGCGCCAAATAGTTACGGAGAAAATTCCAAAAACCAAAAAATTTGCTTAGTCTGCAGGTTTGCTGCGACGGGGTATATTATTTATTTGACGCTATTCATTGTATAAAAACTTGTACTGTAAATGAACAAAGAGAAATCAAATCTGATGATGTCCATACGGCCGTGGAATATAAACAGAATTTTGTCGCAATCACGCTAGACGATGATAATGTCCACATGCTTGTGGAAGATATTTGTGGTTTTGCCACGATCGCAGGAGTCGTTGATAATGTTTCTGTGACCGTGGGAGACGAAGATGGCAATTCTGTTGATTTTCAGGATTTTGCCACGACAGATAGTCAGGGCCGGTTCTAGGAATTTTTCGGAGTTAAGCGAACTCCCGAATCAGCGCCAATTAGAATCCCCCCCACCACCCCAACCTCAACCTATGACCATTACTTAACTCTATTTGTGAATTTTTTCCCAAAGATTTTGGGAAGAACTTTTTTATAAGTTTAAGTTAGAAGAATACTTGCAATAAAAGACTGTTTATTATTCCCAGGAATTTAACATTTTTACACTTTTACTCATCGTATAAACTTTAGCAAAACCAATGCTACACTAAAAAAACAGGCCGTAATGCTTGTCAAGCATGACGTCACGATAGAAGACGGCAATGATATAATGTTTGCAGTTTGTGATCAGCTGCTTGTTTTGATCTTTCCTTGGAAAATAAATAAATAAATACCTACGTCATTGCCGTCTTCTATCGTGACGTCATGCTTGACAAGCATCACGGCCTAAGTTAACAATTTATTTCTAAATGTGAAAACAATTTTTACGCCACACTACACTATTTTGACGAACTAAGGATTTAGTCCAGAAAACAGCTGTTTGCCGCCAGCTTAATCAAATGGGGGTTTCATTGCGTACTACTGTACTGTAATGGGTTTTACGCCACACTACATTATTTTGATTAACTTCCCACGCAAGGATTTAGTCCAGAAAACGGTTACCTCCCGCTATCTCCGCGTCCCGCCATCTCCGTGTACCGCTATCTCCGAATTTCAGAGTGACCCCTATAATCCTCGGTTACTTCCTGCGTTAAGACTTTCCGTCCAAACCTAACCTAACTTAACTTAACCTAACCTAACCTAACCTAACCTAACCTGACCTAACCTAACCCACGGGTTAAATTTTCATAAAATCTTCCATCCACGGGGCTTCGCAGCCGTGGATGCAATGACAGCTAACAACGCAGGCAGTGACTGGATTATAAGGGTCACTCAAGAATTCGGAGATGGCGGGAGAGATTTGGGTTCGGAGATAGCGGAACGCGGAGATAGTGGGAGCACACGCAGAAAACAGCTGTTTGCCGCCAGCTTATTAAAATGGGGGTTCATTGCGTAACTGTTCTGCAATGAGGTTTACCGGACACCAATCAGCTGATTATACTGTATTTGCGTGGCAATGATTGGTTATAAACAAAAACATAACCTCTCTTAGAGGTTATGATTAGTGATTTTTAGTCCTTTAGATGGTGGAAATATTATAAGGATTTGTACGGATTTAGTAGTATGGCGTAAAATATCGTACGTCACTCGTCCAAAATGTGTTTACCGGACTTGTATGGTAATCCCGTAAAATAGCGTTCGTACCACGGACCGAAATGGTTTTGCAGCTCTCGATCGATTTAAGTTCTCGACTTCGTCTCGAACTTAAAAACTATCTCGAGCCGGCAAGACCTAATTTTCGGCCCTAGGTACGAAATATACTATTACAGGATAACTTTGATACAATATATAAGTTAAAGCCTATTACAATGAAAGCAGGTGGCAAAATCTTTAATTGCAGAGTTGGTATCAATCTGGTTCAGAACATCAGAATGTGGTTCAGAACATGAGTCATGAAATGAAACCCACAGGCGCCGCGCTGTTAGTACGCTGCCGACTGCCGACTGCCGAGCCGAGCGTCAGCTCACTACAAATCGAAACTACAAATGGCATTTAAAGGCCTGTTCACACCGGTGTAGCTAGACGTCTGCAGACGTATTCGGTGTATTAAAGCTACGCGCGCACTACGGCGGCACGGCACGGACGGGCGGTACGGCACGGACGGCATTTTTAAGAGGGGGTGCGCGCACTAGGGCAGCACGGCACGGACGGACGGGACGGGACATCCGCACATCCGCAATTTAGGACAGTTGGCAGTCTGCGAGCTAAAAATTGTGAGTAAAGATGGATGTAGATAAAGTGGTGATAGTAGGTTTATTTTAGCAGAGGAAGAGGAGACAAGAAGGCGCAAGCAAAGATTTTAGATACACCACATAAACAGGAAAAGACTAAGTTTTGGAGAGTTCCACACCTTGTTTCCTGATCTTGTAGAAGGATTTTGTGTAAAACTTACCTGATTGTTTCATAATAGATCATATTTCTGCCCATATATTGTCACGCCGGACGTTATTAAAATATTCCGGATGTCGCATGTTGTACAGTTTCGGGTATTTCTCAACGAGAAAAATCAACTTACTAATCTATGTTTACAACATACGAAAACACTGCTACTTTGACAGAGATCAGTTGAGAATGGCGGATGTCCCGTGCCGCCCGCCCGGTCGATGTGCAGTGCTCCCGGTCGGTACGGGCGTCACGGCAGCTCGGAAATGTCCTGGAGTTCTGCCTCCCGGACTTTTTAACAAACGGCGGAAGCTGCCGAACGTCCGTTGCCGGCCGTACCGCCGTAGTGGGCGCACTCATATGACATTCAATGTTATTAACTTTTAAAAATTGCCGTGCCGCCCGCCCGTCCGTGCCGTGCCGCCGTAGTGCGCGCGCAGCTTAATACGTCGCCAGTGCACTGTTCACACCGCAGCTACGTCTGACGGCTACGTAGCCGGTGAGCCGGCTGTAGTTTGTTTATTTTATTATATTATTTCATATTTGTTTATAGCCTACTTGTTAATTTATTGTTTATTTTTATTAGTGTTTCATGAATTTCAGTTAAGATCGCCACGGTTCAATTGCAGCTTTTATTAGTACCCTGTAAAGTATGTTGATTAATGTGTTAATGTTGACAAAAATATTTCACTCTAATTTTTAGGCCGTATAGCCTATAGTAGACTATAAGATTTTCACTATATTATAATATAAAAAAATTACCAGAAAACATGCAATAATTTTGCTCATCCATAAGGATTACATAATAAAATAGTCTATGGTGTAAGTAAAAAGACGTAGTAGGCCTATGTCTAGAAATAATTCATTATTGTTTCATAAATATCAGCCCACTATATGAACCACAATAAACCATATTAGGAGAGAGACATTGTTTTTGATAAGGAGATTTGCAAGCATAAACAAAAAAAAAAAAATAGTGGACGCTAGGTACTCTTATGATGAAGTATTATTATATTGATCATATAAAGTTGGCTTAAGATTGTTATGTTATAGTCTAATTTGAATGTGATAGATTAACGCGATTTAATGATTTTAGCGAATTTCCCATATAGGGAATAAGCTATTACCGTAGTACTCATGGTAAGACCTGGACGCGGGACCGATTTTTTTTTCGTTTTGAGGTCCCTAGAGGCCAAAAACACCATCCGTTCAAATTCATATATATATATATATATATATATATTTATATATTTATATATATATATATATATATATATATATATATATATATATATATATATATATGTGTGTCCGTCAGCACGATAACTCGAGCAAAAATGATCCGATTTTGATGAAATTTGGTACAAACGTGTAAACGTACGTTTATTCGAACGAGTTCGCGATCCAGCATGATCGGACCATGGGAACGGGGGTTTACGGGGGGTTTTATGGGGTAAAAATAGGTTTTTCCCATTTTTGACCCAAAAAACATAAAATTTTTTCCAAACCATTTTGTAGAGCTTAAAAAAACAAATAATTTAGTATATTGAAGCGTTATTATGCGCCTAATGGTTACGGAGAAAATACCAAAAAATTGTACATTTAAAATTCCAATGTTATTCTTATGAAGAATAAGTAAACTGTTGTAGTTTGCTTGTTTGTGAACATATTTTGATCAAATTTGGAAAATGTTTTTATTTCTTACTAACTATTCACATTTAAAAAAAAAAAAAAACAGTTTTACCCTCCCTGATGCAGCAAACCTAAGTACTTGTTAAACTAATTCTATTTAAATCAAGAATAAATGTTATATTTTTAAGTAGACATTTCAGTGTAAATCCAATCGGTCAAATGGAAATTCGCTTAGTCTGCAGGTTTGCTGCGGCGGGGGTATTTTAAATTATAATGAATTTTTGTGTTATAGTCCAACATTTACCACTTATAAATTAATTATGAGGTTGAGGGAGGGTGGCGGTGACAGCCCGGTGTGCTAGTGCGCATGCGCGTATTCGGCGATGCGAGCTACGCGTAGCTAGCTGGCGTAGCGGCAGCTCCGTAGCTTCCGTAGCTCACGTATTAATACGCCGGTGTGAACACTCCCTATGAATTACATTAGGAGCTACGTCAGCTACGTATTTCGAAAAAGTATTAATACGTCTGGCTACGCCGGTGTGAACAGTCCTTAAGACCTTGAGTTGTAGTGCTGTACAAATATGCGCATTTTTCATATGTTGTTGGTACAAACAGAATAAATGCCTTTATTGTGGTGCTTTGAATACTTTAACTCTGAGCGAAAATAAACAAAATTACGTTGTTCACTAAAAAAATTGTTCCGTTGGCGCCACGGCGCCAATTTTTCGTGGCGCCATATGCGGCCGCGTAGTTCGCGTATGGGTTAAACCGGCCCTGCAGATAGTGATGTTGTGTCCGAGATTGGGGAAGGTATTCACGACAGCAGATGTTCACACTATTACCTCTAGTTTGATTTGATAAAAAATATCAGGCTGGCACACTTAGTTATGATAAAATTGTATTTTCGTTGTTAGATCTTCATTTACCTTTGATATGGTAGTTATTTACTGTGTTGAGAAGGGTTTAAACCCAAATTGGCCTCTTAGAATTTGTCATTGCTGCATTTTCTTTTGACATAAAGACAGGGGTAGTATAACCTAGGACCAAATTATTTAGAAAATTTGTAAAACTTTAAAAATGGTAACACGAACCGAGAATTGATACATTTTGGTATCGACACATCACTAATTGTTGAAAAAGCTAGTTGTGTAAAATCTGGAATTAGTCTTGAATAGTCTGGAATTTTGGAAATAAACTAGATGTAAAAAAGCCATTTCGAGCTCCAAAACCTTAGTAGCTCGGCTAAAAATCAAAATCCCTTGGCAATATACAAGGTAATTTTACCCTTTTTTTTGTCAAATCCCAGTTGTCAGAGGTTACTCCACAATGGAATTTAAGCTAAAGTAAAAATTCTTAAAGTGTAGGATTACATTACAATAGACTAATGAATCAGAAAACCAGAAAATATTTTAAGTTAAATGCATGCTAGTTTTAGTTACAGCTCTAGTACTTCAACCTTTATGGTGTATATTGATATGAAGTTGTTAAACGTCTAAAACGCTTGCTAATGCTTTCTTTTTATTTCAGAGTGCAATCTTAATGTATGAACTTGCGTGGAAACTCTCCAAGGACAATGTTGATGTTTTATGGTAAGTTTCAATATCTTGTGATTTTTAAATTAGGCCTACCGGTATTAGGTTCAATTATTATCTTCTTTTACACATTTTTTGTTGGACTGGTATAAACTTTCTACATGATATACTCCTTAGTGTTATTGAGGGAAAATACTTATTCCCCCTGATAGCAGAGTGAGATTTTAGGTGTTAGTTTGTCAAAGTTACTGATAGGTTTATTTTGGCTGTTAACTCAAAATTACCTTCCAGCTTTTCAAGTTAATATACTCTTAAAAAAATAGTGAAAATATCCAAAGACATATAAATAGTCTAGATAGCCTATTTTTGCTCTTTGATTTTTTTGCCCTTTTTCTTAGGTGGGGCATTGTTGGAGTGACTTCTCAGCTGGTGTTGCGACAGGTGACTGTCGAGCGGTACCAGTCCGAGATCGAGCGCATCACTCTGCACATCGGCCGCCTCTGTCCCCCCATTACCACCACTGATGATGACCAATCGAGTGTCCACTCCAGAAGTGAGACCTGCAGCAACTACACCACTGCTACAAGGGTCACTGGGGATAAAGAGTATCCTTTTTCTATAGTTGCTTTCAAAAATTATATTTTGACTGACATGGTGCAAATTGTTCAAGTCTGTTGCAAGAATAAATAGCTTGCAAAAACATGTAATTCACTTGTAAGTTGGAATAATATCTAGAATAATTTGTAACTGCTTTTTAAAATTGGAAACATGAATGTTGTGCATTAAAAAAAAAAACTTTCTATGACAGCTTTTATTAGTTATTGTTATTAATCTACCAAAATCAATGACTGCTAAATGCTGAGTGAAACCTCCAAGACGCTCTTCTGACAAGAAAACTGAAGTATCAATCACAAAGTTTCCAGCTAACTACAGTAGAACCCCTATCCGACCTAGTGTCCGACCGTCTACTTGTTTAGTTGTTTCCTGTCTGGGGTATTAACGCCGAGTGCGATCGGTTAGCCAAAAGGATTGCGGATGTTGTGGTAGTCGCGGCAGACCATCACCACTGTCGCCGATATCAGAAGTTGCTACAGTCGCGGGAGATGATTACAGAAGTCGAAGAGACTACAAGATACGCTCACGGGTGTTGCTGCCAATGCGGGAGAAGTGGTCTAATGAAGTGGCGGAGACTGTAAGTTACGCTCGTGGGAGACGATTATCGAAGCTGTGGAGACTGCAGGTTATGCTCCTCCCGATATCCGACCTATTGGCTGTTCCGACCATGGCCCGGCCCTGTCATGGTCGAATATGATGGGTTCTACTGTTAGTCTATCATGAAATTGTGTTAAACAAATAATGTTCCTTTATTCAAAATTCAGCTAAAATCTGGAATTTTTATCATTAAAATGTTGGAAAAAAATGTCAATGATTATTAGTTGAGGATTGTTTATGAACTAAAAGTACTTGTAACCTTTTGAAACAGACCTTGTGGTACCTTTAGTTGGATATTTTGACTACATAACTAAACATTCCATTCTCATTTTAAAGTTGTTGCCTGTTTTATAATGAAAGTTAATGTTAAATTAATTTATCTGCTGACAAGAGTGTGCAGATGTTAAAATGCCACTGGTTCCTACTTCTTTTAAAGAATCCATAATTTTTCCTTTGCATGAAAAAGGGGATATAAATTCAGTTGAGAATTACAGAGGTTTGTCTTTTATAAATTGCGTTGCAAAAATATTCACCAGCCTTCTTAATAATCGTCTGCAAAAATTTATTTGGGAAAATCAAATACTAACGGATTTTCAAGCAGGATTTAGAAAAGGATACTCAACTATTGATAATATTTTTAATCTAACTTGTATGATTAAATTAAGATTGGCTCAAAAAAGAGAAATATTATACGCGTTTTTTGTTGATTTTAGCTCAGCGTTTGACACTATTGATCGAAAGGCCATTGTTGTTTAAATTGTCTAACCTGGGAATATCAACTCGTATGCTCAACAATCTGAAAAGCTATTACAGTGAAACCAGTACAAGTGTGTGGTTTGGAGATGGCATCACAACCAGTTTTAACACCAATACGTAGGTTTAAGACAGGGATGTATTCTCTCACCTACTTTATTCAGCCTATTCGTAAACGACCTACCAGAAGCGGTGGGGGGAGGTTGTAGTTTTGGAGGAACTAGGGTTAACATGCTTTTATATGCGGATGACATTATTCTCCTCTCTCCAACAAGAACTGGGCTTCAATACATGATAAGAAACCTGGAGACCTACTGCAATATGTGGAATCTCATTGTAAATTTAAAAAAAATAAAAAAATAATAAAGATAAATGGTTGTATAAAGGTGATAAAATTGAAGTAGTTAACACATACAAGTATCTAGGAATAACTCTTTCAAGTTCTTGTTCTTGGAATAAGTATTTAACGGAAAAATGTAGGATGGGTAAATTTGCTATCAGTTCAATTTGGAATAAACTTATAATGAACGATAAAGTACCGCTGAGCTCAAAGATTGTTTGTTTTGAATCGGTCGTGCGGGCTGTCATATGTTATGGAGCTCAGGTATGGGGATACATTGAAAGCGATATAGTTGAATCAGTGCAAAAAATGTTTATTAAAAAATTATTGAAGTTGCCGTGCAACACTCCAAACTATTTACTATATTTAGAAACTGGATTCGAGAAATGATTTTTCTATACCTTAAATACACAAATAAATTATATTTTCACATAACAGGTTGTCCAGTATATTAGCGAAACAGGTTCTGGCTAAACGTATTTTTTGGTGCAGAGAATGGGAACGATTGGGACAAATTTGCCACATTGATATTCATTTTGATGTTGTTGAGACAGACAGGCTGAGAACAGATTTACAATCAGTGATGGAGGTTTTGCGGGAGAAGTGGAGGGGGAGTGCATCGGCAGAGCTCGTACCTCTGTATTCCATAAACAATTATCAATGCTTGACCTTGGCCCGGAACTGGGCGATAAGAGTCCGCTTTTCACCAAAGATCGTGATATAATTTCATGGGCAATAAAGGCTAGGGGAGAATTAATTGACCTTAATTATAAACCTTGTATTGATAAAAATCATAATTGTTCTTTGTGTAATTTAAATGAATACGAGACAGTTTACCATTTTGTGTCAGTTTGTCCTATTTTAAAGCAATTAAGAAAGTAATATTTTGGGGAAAATGTCCTAAATGAAATTGAGTATTTTGAATACCTTAATGGGAGGAATTGGCATGTCTTGGTTGATTATTTGAAAAGAGCCTGGCAGTATAGATGGGTCTTTATTAAAGAATTTAATTTTTCAACTTAATATAATATAGAAATACCCCTGTTTTCTTTTTGTTTTGTTTGTTTAGAAAAAAAAAAACTTAGTGTAGTAAACTTCAGTTTACCTTTTGAAGCTCGTTTAGACATCAGTCATAGTTTGTTTTGTTTTGTTTTGTTAAATGGGGCAATATTATCTATATATTAATTAAGGAGAGGTTATTTATTTTCTTATTTATTTTACATTATATTTATATACATATTTTGTTTCTCTTTAAAAAAGTATATAAAGAAGGTTTAATTTAGTGTAAGTTTTAAAATTAAGTGCCAACCGAACAGACGGTTATTTAACCATTGTTTGATAAAGTGTAATTTTTTACCTGTGTTTTTTATTGGTAACGTGTTAAAACCCAATCCAATCTTAAATCTCAAACCCCCAAAACTTTGGAAATGTCTTGGTTTGGAGAACAGAACTTGAAACTGAAACTGCCATAATTTTTGTTGGATACCTACTAATAATGAGCACTAAATAAATGTTTGAATTTATTTATTTATTTACTCATGGTATGTCATTATCAGGAGTTAAAGTTTTTCAGCGTTTGTAGTTAATCAAAATATACCTGGATATTTTCTGTTTCAATTCAAGTTTATAAGTCCCATATTTATGTCAAGTTCATATAGGATCAGTAGTCCAATTTATTTAAGCTTTCATTACTTCTTATAAACATTTTATATGTATTTTTTAATCTTAAATGGACCAGTAAAAAAAGTTCATTAGAGTTTAGGTTTTAAGATTCAGGCTTTTGTTTTGATTTCATATTTGACTGTTTTCAATGGTAGATATTTCCTTGACTGAGTGTAGTTTGTCACTGACCCTCTACCGTCACTGGACTGTAGAACAATCTCTGAGGCATTCCCTGGAGACAGCAACCAGACTGAGGTTGTGGACCATCCGAGGAGAGAAGAGACTACAACAGCTGCTGGCGGAGATGGGGTGAGTAGAGCCACACATCCAATAACCCACAGGACAATACCCCAATACAATTTTGCGTAAACTCCCTTAAAAAACATTTTGTACATATTTTTTTCACATTTTCTCAGAAGAGGGTCCTTTTTTATTGGAAGGGGGGTCCTTTTGCCTTCCAAACCATTAACCCAGGGCCCGCACCCCAGGTGGAGCCAAGAGGCCTGTATTTTCGACGAAGTAACCATCAGAACAGCTTCTTAAGGTCCTTAAAAATCCTCCAAAAAGCCCTGATTTTTTTTACAGGTGGCATAGACATCTTGTCTATTCTTAAAAAATGTATGTAAACAATTTGAAGAGGTTTTATCCATCATTCTTTAAAACATAACAATTTTCCATCAATGTTGCTGCAATTTTTTTACTCCTATGTTGGCTTGTATGTCAATAGATTGCCGTTGGTAGAGAGCCGACAGTTGTTCTCTGCGATGGACCTCTCGCTCCGTCGTCAATTCCACACCATGATGGACAAGATGGCCGAGTCCCATCAGCTGGACGTCGTCTTCTCCTCCTTCACACTGCATCACGGCTGTCGGCGGAGGTACCAGGCGATGGACTTTGTCTTTGCAATGTTGGCGCTGTTCAACCCCACCGTACGTATCTAGTCAAATCTCTTTAATATCTTATCTTATACTAGAGGTTAAGCTCCACTGGCTCACGTAACTGTAATTACAATATTGTGGTCTTCAACAACTGTGTGAAATTCGCTTAGTCTGCAGGTTTGCTGCGGCGGGGTATTTAATAATTGGCATATGTTATTGAATACCTATTATTAAATATTTGAAGATATTTTGAGTTAGATGAGCAGGGTTGCCACCCGTCCCGATTCTGTCGCGACAGTCCTGATTTTGGTTCCTTAGGCCCGTATTTAAGCCAAGTCAATCCGGAGGGAGGGACGGGGGCCATGTCCAAATTTTTTCCTAACCTAAGGTGGCAACCCTACAGCTGATTTCCCCTCCCTGAGAATATTTGTTTGTAATTGAGTTATTGTATTTGTAAACTCATTGTTCTGTTCTACTGAGTTAAACCAAAAATGGCGACTCTGTATTTGTTCATTTTAATGATCAAACCTAATTCATTGTAATACACTCTTTATTAGTTCCTTATTAATAAACTTGGATTGTAAAGGAATCCTTCAGATTTGTCATTTGTCTTTTTATATATTTTAATAACTTAGGCCTAACTTAATCCAATAGATACTTAATAGTAACTTAAAGGTACAAACCTGAATAGAGAATCCTTTATACTTTATTAGTCCAAATTCCAAAGGCACTACCATTAACAATTTTGTTTACACTTAAGTGCAGTTTACCAATTCGGTAGTGATAGATATTATTTTCACAACATATGCTAGAATAATAAGTAGTCTACCATAACAAAATACACATTGTTTTCTTTTATACCCTTCATCTTTGAGGGTTAAAATGTAGCAGAGGGGGTAAGGGCATAGGATTGGTATAGCTTGCTTTAGAACACCTGAATAGGAAAGAGTCCAGTCTGTAAAAAAATCACAAAAACGTTAAAAACTTTTCTATAAATCTTGTTTTTGGCTTTCCCATTCAGATAAACCGGCAATATCAACAACAGTTATGGATGAGGATTCCTTTCAACTTTTTTGTCAACAGTTTTCAGAGGATGAATTCAAAATCTATTTTTATTTAATCTTGGACCCTAACTCCAACAATTGGAATCATTGTACACAAGAGCAGATAAATATAATACTTACTTACTTACTTGAATACTTGAAGGCTTTGTCTCTGACCGGGATTCCGGATAGACTGCGTCAAATTTAATTTAAAAACTGAACTGAGATGGCGGCGAGTTAAAAAAGTGGCACGTCATCTAATTCTTTGAATGAGTAGATAGGCCTATTTTGAAGTTTTTCCTTCACTGAGTTTTTAAACCCAGCCACATCCATACTTCTGACTTCTTCAGGCAGACTATTGAAGAGTTTAATTGCGGTCACTGGGAAGCTATTCAGGGATTTGGACAGTCTGCATTGAGGGGTGTCGAGGTTTCTAGCGTTCCTGGTGTTATACTGATGTATATCCTGTCTTCTTTCATACATAGAGATGTTCTGGCGTACGTGTATCAGACAGTTGAGGACTTATTGTCCGTAAACAGTCAGGATGCCGAGACGTTGAAAGATAGGCCTATGAGTAAAATCTTTGCCTGTTATTTCAGTAGAGGTTATCACTCTCAACGCCTCCTTTTGGAGTATCATACGGGAGCGTGACCCCAGAGGAGTATACCTTACAAGATATGGCTGTGGAACAGAGAGTAGTAAACAGTAACAAGGTACTGCTCAGTGACCACATGACGTAGCTTTCTGGAGGAAGATCACTCTAGACAATTTGGTGCAGATCTGGGCTATATGGTGATCCCAGTTCAATTTCTGGTCAAGCCAGAAACCAAGCAGTTTTACTGGTTGATTCTCTTCAGCAGCAATTTGTCTCCCAAGAGTGCAGATCAGGAGTTGGGTCTTGTTTTTGTTTAATTTTAATTTGTTTGAAGCGAACCACTCCATTGTTGTCTCCAGCAATGCACTTGCCTCCCTCTTCACCCGTTCAACACATCTACCTTCCGTCACCAATGTTGTGTCATCAGCAAATAATAATGCCTGCCCGTCTATTCCTAGGTCATTGATTAATATCAGGAAAAGAAGAGGCCCTAGGACAGAGCCCTGAGGAACACCATAGGACATCAGAGGGAAATGCAACAAATTGACACTGTTAATTATGCGTTTTGTTTTATTTAGGAAAAAGAGATTAAGTACATCGACTGTTTTCAAGATGCTGTAGCATGTCTATCGAGGTATGTTGAATATAAATATAATTTTACTACAAAAATTTAAATTAATGAAAAAAAAGGTGCAATAGCTTAGATTAACTTAATAAATTGTATTGTTATTTTAAAACAAGAATCCTTTTACAATGGTGCTTGTAGGGATACTTTCAAGTTTGTCAAATTAAGAAGGCCATTGATTTACATATTTAATTGTAGTATTTGAATCAACATTTCTTCAAACTAATTTTAATGTGACCTTAAACAAAGTATTATTCTCAATTATGAAACTAGTGCCTGGCTTTGTTTATACCATCACTCACTATTAGTCAATACTAGCATGATCTAATTGGCATTCTTTAGAATTCAAGAAAACAATAGAAAACCTTGGTAAAATAATGTTAGTTAATCTGACTACACAATAAAATTAGTTGATTTTCATTGAATATTTAAATTACACAGTATACAGACATTGACAGGTACCTACAGTATTTCAGGGTTCAATCACATTACATTTCAATAGCATCCAAGTCAAAGCACAAGAGTGTAGCATTCATTTCAGTTTAGGGGTCTGCGGTACAGAAAATTTAAGGTCGGTACGGTTCGGTACGGTACAATATTTTGTACCTCGGTTCTCAGTACAAAATCGGTACGGTACGCGGCTACCCGTATTTTTGCAGTTTTCTTCTCAGAACTGTACTTAAACCATTATTTTTCATTTTAATACAAAAACATTGACATTACTATGAAAATGGATAGTATCCTACCTTCATGGTTTAACTACTAACAATTACTGTACCACACATTATTAAAACCTTTTACTCCTACGAGGATTGTGTCAAGAAAAATCTTAGTTAAGATAAAGGCTTTACCTATTTTACTCTGAGATACTTTGAATAGCCATGATAAAGTGGTTTTAAAATCAGGACGAGAATGTTAAAGAATAAACATGTTTGAAGCATTAATTGACAAGATAATTTCACACAACTGGTAAATTATTTCCAACCAACACAATGTCTAGTTGTTTTTTAAACTTTTAAAAACATATTAAAGCATTCAGTACAAAAACAGTGTAGTTGCCAGCTGTTCACATTAAACAGATGACAATGAAAAACCGGATTTTATGATGAAGTAATGGCAAAGAGCATCTTTTTTATCAGCTTGAAAACTAATTATAAGATGGATACATCTCTTGCAAAGTTTTTTTCTTAAACTAAAATTTGGATTACCACAGAGTAATATTATTGTCTTTTCAGTTACAAAGTTAACATCCACACATATCAATCATTAGTTTATCTCATACTCAATCCAATTTTCTTAGTATATTTTAAAGATCTTCCAAAGAGTCAAAAGACCAAGGCCTAGACCTAATTATTTAGGATAGCCTATATAAATTGAGTAGGTTACAATGAGGGTAGCAAAACCACTATCATACTTCTAGTTCATAAGATTTAGATTGCTTAAAGTACCTTCAACACACAAAAAAATATAGGAAACAAAAAACATTTAAACCTTAACAGCTACATCCAACAATATAAGACAAGATACAGATCATGCAATGCCATAATTTAAGACCGAGCAGGCTTGCATAAAGGAAAAAAAATCATGCGTGGTTTCATCAATAGAAAGATAAAATACCCATAACAAATATCTTAACTTATAAAATAAGATTGTAGATTAGTTACAAGTTTAATATGAAGCCATAAACAGTTTTATGGCAGTAGGCAATGGCCAGCGGCAAATTGAATATTCACGAAAATACTGACTGAATTAGAGATAAAATTTACAGTCATCATAAAACTATTAAGTGATCAAACTCAACAGTTCTTAGAAGTACTTGAATACAAAAATTATTGTTGTGATAAAATGTTAATGGATTTGGGACTGCTAATGGGTATTTTATTGCATCATCACCCTAGTAATAAATTATGAAGATCGTAAACAAACATCTGATAAGACTTTTATGTGCTCAGAACCAACTATGACTCCAGTATTAAATGATAAGTAATTTATTATTATAATAGGTTGATGACGGTAATTAAGCTTGTACTTTTTCGGTGCAGACCCCTATTTCAGTTTGTTCATTGACTCCAAAGTCCATAATCCGAATCCAAATGGTAACTTGATGAAAACCAGAGATATAGTACTCTATAAAGTTTGGAAGTTTGCATAACCTACAAAAGAAATATTGATTATACTTTTGTGGTAGACTGTGCTTGATTTATACAATTTGAGGTATCAAAACTGAAATAGAGCATGCTTTTCTAACATCCTTATTATTACAACTGTGCTATGATATAAAAAAGGTAGTTAAACAAAATATAGTTCCACTTTGTTCTCCCTGGATTCAAACCCTGCCAGTAGACCAGAAACATGTTTCTCAATATCTATCAAAACATACCTAATAACATAGTGTGGTGATGTTCTGCAGGCAACACAGAACAGTTCTAGAAGAAGGTATAGAGCGAGCCAAGAAACTGCTGACAATCCTGTATAGACAGACTCACAACGCTCTAGACATGAAACAGATCATATCTGCTGGGCCGTTCCTCTACATGGTTATACAGGAGGTGAAGTAAAACCCTTTTTAACTGTACTCCATTAAACCAAACTTACTGACTTTAAAATTTAAAAAAAAATCAATCAATTGGAAAATTAGCCAGGCAACAATAATTGTTTACTTTAATACTTTTCGATGAAATGGCGACCATACAAAGTAGGTATTTTAAGCCAAGTAGGAATGGAGATGAGTGTAGGATGAGTGGGGCAATCTATGCTGGGTGTGGTAGTTTGCTCGGCTTGGCCAATGGAATGTAATGGATCAGATTGATGGTGTAGTGGGGCTCTGCTTTTTACTTAGATCCTCTAATACATTGTAATAACACATAAGCTGTGTCTAACATGTCCATCTTATTCTTTTAAGCTTTATAAATCATAATAAATTGCTACATAATGTTAAAATGTAATTCAATATTTCACATAAAATAGTAACAAAAATAATTTAATCATAACTGTATTTCTGAATATTATTCAGAATAGCAGTTTTTTTTCTATCAAGTTGGCATTTTCCCAGATGTGCAGCTAAATCTTTACACATAAGAATAAGAATCTTTATTACCCTTTAAACATTTTACATTGCAATAGGGGTTGTCGTTTGCTACATAATAAATTGATACATACTGTCGGGTCAAAAAGTATGGATACTCGAGTTTGAGCTTTTATTGCAACGTAACGAGTAGACGTAGAAAAATACAAGTTACATCATAATTTTACGAATTTATTTCTGCGTTTATGTGTGTTGGTTCCAAATTTGTTATGCAGTTTCAACTCAGCCTTTCAGCGGGTTGAATGAAAAAAGTACAGGTTTTTCGGCGCTTTACCAACGGGCGACTTTAACATTTTATAACAAAAAAACTACTGATCATATCATCATGAATTTTTTATAAGTTTTAGAATTTTTCGTGAATAAAAAAAAAAATCTGTTATGGTTTTTGTAAAGGCATTTTATTTCCACGACAGGACAAGTTAGAAACTCCGATGAAAGCTTAAATTAAAGCTCTTAAAAAGATACAAATGAAAAGTTAAGTTACACATTAGCTAAGTGGTGTTTAATAATTAAAATGGACATATAATCAAAGCTGATCTGGAACGTAATAGTGCATGAAGTTTGTACCGCTATAGATCTGCAGGCAGGGAGTTCTCCCTGCCCGGGACCGGTTTTCGGCAGCCCGGACGTTCGAGCGATGAATCATACATACCCCGCGAGGTTATCTGCCTATGAACCACCCTTACTCATACCACTGAGTCATACTTAAATACCTACATTCCATCCCTACAATGTTATTATTGTGGGTTGAACATATTTTCCTCAGTCTGTCTGTGTTGTTCGTTGTAGTCAAGATGCCCGTTTGTCAGAAGTTGAAATCACTATGATTTTAAGGGCGATATGTTTTGTTTTAAAAAACAAAGGTTTCAGGTGTAATGTCAAGTGATACCCAGTTTATCAAAAGGTTTCGGAGTGCGTTGGGAAGTCGATTGCAACAGTGAAGATATGGTTAGGGGTAGGTATATTGTAGTGATGAGGTCCGGCGGTTTGGTCCGTGCTGCCAACACCGGTCCCGGGCAGGGAGAACTCCCTGCCTGCGGATCGATAGCGGTATCGATCGATGGCGGTATCAATGGCCTACCGGGACCGTCTGTGTCGTGTGCGTGTGATAGGCATATCAATGTCAATTAAATGTTTACTTTCCGTAATTAAATGTTCGTATTCGTGTATTTATTGTGTGTGTGTGACATCGATGTCTTCGTTTTTGTAACCCTGACGATGCCGTATTTACGGCGAAACATGTAGGTTGTTAACCTCAAACAACTTTTGGATTACTTGACGAGGTATTGTACCATTATTATAGTCAAATAAGGGCACTAATGCTTTATCAACAGACAAACATGGAAACATACCAAATAAAAGACAGAATTGAGTTGGGAAATTTACTTCGCTAACCAAAGCAATGTATGGATGAACTTAGTTTTTCCCTTCTGTTTAGTGGCATCGAATTGTATTATATCGTATTATCTTATCGTGCAGTGATTAGGACGTTAGTAATGGAAATTTGTGTTTGCTTTTTCCCAAAGATGACCCAAAATGGTTGTGGGGTGAAATTATAATAAAAAGAGGAAAAAGTCGAGGTTTTGGTTTAAAAGAGTATAATTTATTAACAGAAAAATGAATACGTGATGTTATGAGCGGTGATTCGAGACGAATGAATGCAACAATGTAAATTAACATATGGTCATGTGATGGGAATTACAGATGGATTGTTAAAAACAAAGACATATAAAATTAATACAAAAAACAAAGGCAACTTGACTGAACATACCGCCCCCTTTGAACCAACAAGGTTCAATAAAAGAGAAATTGAAAAAATATAAAATTTTTATGAGAATTGACCAGAGTGGGTTGAAAAATTATTTAAAGAATGCAGCTTAATGGTTTGAAGACACTTTGAATGATGGTCTTGAATGAAGATCAGCTGGCCTGTAGCTATGAGGAGCTGGTGTGTTTTAGCAAACAGGGTCTACATATTGAGGTTTTCGTTCTTGAGGTTCCACTTGAAACAACGCTGATGAGGGGTCTTAAAATATTCTTGGCTCCAACGGCAGCATAGGTGTTGGGTGATGTTTTGAGGTAAATTATTATCAATAAGAGGTGAGATCTTTATTGGGTCAGGAACAGTTGTCAGAGAAGAGTTGATAAGAAAATGGCTAGGAGTTACAGCTGTCAGTTTCAAAGGTTTTGAGTTTGCTATTGCTTCTTTTTGTTCTTCGTTGGAGTGATTTCTGTTATCAGCCATAGGCTTAGTAGGCTTCAAGAAATGTAGGAGTGTGTGATGAAGTTTCAAACAGGTCTTACAAGTATTAGTAGACTTGCAGCGTTTAACAAAGTGATTACCAAGGCAATTTGTGCAGCGTTTTAAGTCGCTTACAACTTTAAGCCTTTCTTGAGGGATTTTACTATTAAAGACAGGGCAACTGTTTTTTTTTTATTTTTATGGCAGCAAAAACATTTCAAATCATTTGAAGTACATATCAAAGCCATAGGAGGATGTTGAAACTGAAATGATTCATCAATTTGACGTGGAACTTGGTGAGGGTTGGATATTTGGAGAGGAGCTACTTGTGGAGCGTGACAGAGAGAGGCATCTTCGCTGTTGTTACAAAAGTCTTTAAGAAATTTAATTATTTCACTTGCTTGAGGAAAATCAGAAGAATTTATGCGTTTTTATTCGAAAACTTGACAGAGGTTGGAGTTCGTTTTTCGTAAGATCAACATACTTAGTAGGTAGTTGTCTTCCATGACATTATAGTCAAGAACACTAAGAGCTTGTTTATTTTCATTGAACTCATTTAAAAATGATCTGAGGTTTTTGATAGATTTGTCAGTTATATTGGGCAAATCGACAATTTTACTGAGGTGGACAGAGATTAGCCTACGCTTCGAGTGGTATCTTTCCCGTAAAGCATTATAGGCTACTGTATAGTTGCCAGACGAGATCGGTAGGGATTTGATCAAGTGTAAGGCTTCGCCTTCAAGTGAACTTATCAAGTACTGGTGTTTTTCAACAAGGGATAAGCTACTATTGTTGTGGATAGTAGTATCAAAAAGGTTAATGTAGGATATTCATGTTTTAGTGTCACCATTGAAGGACTTCAGTTCTAGCTTAGGTAATTTTACAATGCTAGTAGTAGGCCTAGAGGGGTTTGATGTTACTGAGTTATTTGACAAGTGTTCATCATTAAAGTTCTGAATTAAAAGAGAAATTTCAGTTTGAATGTTAATTGAGAGTTCTGATATGTCGTTCTGGAGCTTTAAAATAGCTTCTTCATTGTCAGAAAAAACGTTAGTTTCGTCATCCACATCCAGAAGCTTATCAAGGTTAGCTTCAAAATTGGCAGAAATAGTTTTAGCTTCGAGCAAATAAAGGTTAAGTTTAGCGGTTAATGGGGTGGTTCTTTTCAAAGAATGTAACAAGATCAATAAAAATTTGGCTAGAGGTTGTGGCCTCACAGAAGCTGAGTTTAAACAATACTTAAAAATGGTCAGAGACGTTATTCCTCTTAGAAGCCTTCATGGGAGATCCAGGGACGGGAACCAGTGCAGGCATTGTCCTGTATCTGAGAAATTTATTCTTGAAACTCTTGCCCACGTCCTTGGAAAGTGCCCATTTAGTAGTCTTCTACGAAATACCCGCCACCATACCATCAGAAAAATCATAGCTGATCAATTCAGAAAGAAAAGTTATGAGGTCTATGAAGAGGTCACGGCTATAGAAGAAGAGGGCTCTGTGAGGCGGAGTGACATCATTGTTATAGACAAGGAGAAAGATTTCGGTCTCATTATAGACCCAACAGTTCGTCTTGAGACAAATCAATATCAGCCACAGGAAGTCCATGAAGAAAAAGTAAATATTTATAAGAAAACTATCCCCTATTATTCGGAGAAATACAAAATATCAAAATTTGAAGTATATGGACTACTCATTGGATCAAGAGGAACAATTCCTCAACAAGTTGAGAAATTTTGGAAGAAATTCAATTTGGAAAATCAAGTGCTATATTTAATATCTTTAACAGCCATAAAATTTTCTATTAATATTATAAGAAACCACCTATATAACAATAATCATAATTAGGTTTAAACAAACTTGCAAAATTTAATGTAATATTATTCTTTGTTCTACAGCAGACTACAATGTGTAGTAAGATTTCAATTTTTAAAATAAATTTGAATTTATATATATATATTTCTGATGGACATGATTGAATATAGTCACTGATCGTATTTAATTTATTTAATTGCAATTTGCATCTATTAGAAAATGTGGAAAATCTCATTTTGGAAGTTAGGCCTAGATCGTTCAATGAGTTAAGTAAGTAGTCGAGATATTGTAAATGGATAGAGTAATTTGAGGATAAGGACGACTGAGGGATAAAATCAGGGTTTCTTTATTATTTCAGTGTTGATATTGATAACTTACGATGAGATGCGGTGTGTTGTCTTCATTGTCTTCGAAGAAGTACAAACATAACCTTACTTTTCTTTTCCTTCATGACGTTTGAAGCTGAAGTTGTTGTAGATGAAATGAAGTGTCGAAGTGATGAAGGCGATGAATGCGGAGCGGAACTAGCAGAACGATGACGATGTTGAACACTTGGAATGAGAGGAGTGTGGACTGTATCGTGACGTAGACGAAAAGTTCAAAATGGCGATGCGGTATTGTCCTTGGCGGCTTCACGATGGATGAAATACGTTCAACCGAGACATTGAAATGAACTTGAGAAACTTGAGTCGCACTAATGTTCGTAGATATAATCCGGCTCGAAGGACCAAAAAATGTGGGGTTAAATTATAATAAAAAGAGGAAAAATCGATAGGTTTTGGTTTAAAAGAGTATAATTTATTAAGAGAAAAATAAATACGTGATGTTATGAGCGGTGATTCGAGACGAATGAATGCAACAATGTAAATTAACATATGGTCATGTGATGGGAATTACAGATGGATTGTTAAAAACAAATACATATAAAATTAATACAAAAAACAAAGGCAACTTGACTGAACAATGGTATTGAAATGACTTTATATAGTATATGAAGAACTATATGGTACTTCTAAAGTCTATTTCAAGAAATAGTTGAGGTATTGTACAATACACCCAGGCTACGAACTACTGATATGTAAACAACGTAAAGCGTTACAAGCAATTCACTGTGGCTGCTTAAAAAATGTTTGACTCAAACGTGTTAAAATATCCATAGCATAAACTAACATGTAGAACCCAGATGGAATATTTTACGATAAAATATTCTCAGGTAATTATCAGATACTAGTAAACACGTTGCTTGAAATCGAGCAATTGCAAAGAAGTAAAGTAGTTATTAAAAACAAATAAAAGTCATCATAATTTCCGATGAGTTTAAAAGACTTTGAATTGAAAAATAAATAACAGCAATTAAATTATACAGCTGATCAAAATGTAAACAATTATTTTCTTCATAAGGATAACATGTGAACTTAAACAGCGACTGGGGCAGAGCCCAAGGGACTTTTTTCAAAAATGTAAGGCCAGTTTGCAAATCTACGCGACACGCTCTTTCCAATGAGATGTCAATGGATAAAATCGGTTAAGAAATGGCGAAGGAGTTCAACCGACAAAGTTTCAGGTTGCGTGATAATTATATAGATGTAGTTAAACATTTCCCATTTCCATAAAACGCAAATCATTTACAGTAAGAAAATAAATTAATTTAATAGGACTGTAAGAAAGGTGCAACACCAATAATAACTAAGTTGTAAAATAGTGATGTGTTGGTACCGAAAAGTGATTCAATTTATGACTAAAAACGTTACTGATTAGTTAGTGCATGTAAAGACATGGATAATTTAAAAATTAATGTAAGTTAAAGTTAACGATTGATTACATGATCAGTTTCAAGTTTAACTTCATTACAGTAGACTCCCTCTAGTTCGGCTTCGGTTGGATCGGCCGCCGGATGGTCCGGCCCGGTCTCAGGGGGACAAGTCACATCGTCACGGGCGAATGACCTTCGACAGGATTCAACTTGAATGTTTAGTTTCCGGCCATAGAAGTGTCAGTCTAGTTGACGGGTGCTTCTATTCTAGAATTTTTGCATATTACCTGTGATAAACTATGTTACATAACCCGAAAAATACCAAGAACATTTTACATTGTTTTTCTTCAGTATAATATGTTGAAATGCACTGTATAATTAACTATTTCTGACCATTTTTATACGCAGTAGGTTTCCCCATTGTTGTTTATGAAACATCACGGTTTATTTAACAAAAATAAATGGAAGCAAAACAAAGAAAAAGCCACCATTAGCTTCAAGGTCAAGCTATCGCTTGCACTGACAATCGTCTGCTGTGCTGTGGGCTTGCTATGTCACAACAGTTTGTGATTGGGTGAATAGTAACCATAGCAACTTGTTGAATGTGTGTATGAAGAGAAACCAAAGAAAGAATATAAAGAACAAACAGAAAGAATAAGTGGTGTTTTAGTCATCCATTGTTATCTTTATCTTATTTTACGACTGTTGTTATTATCTTTAATATTCATTTTATACAGTATTAGGCGTTTTTATGGGTATGTAATATAAAATATTCATGTCATGTTGGATTAACCGTGGTTTTCAGTTATCCGTGGTCTCCCTCCCCCCTATTACCCCGAATAATTGAGGTTCTACTACATTCGGTTAGTCCGGCCATTTTGTAGTCCGGCCAGTAGTACGGTCCCTAGGTGGCCAAACTAGAGGGAGTCTACTGTATACTGAATTTCAGACAGGGACAAATCTTTAAAGAGAAATTTGTTTTGTAATATTGAGAATTTTATGTTATTTATATAGGAAATAAATCTGACAATTTTAATGCAATATTTTAAAGGAAATCTAGTCAGGTAAATGGAAATTTGCTTAGTCTGCAGGTTTGCTGCGGCTGGGGTATTTCCGTATACAACCAACTTGTAGTGTGCACGTTAAATTAGTTTAAACAATAATAATCTAATGGAACTGATGTTTAATCAAAGCAAGAAAGAAAAATAATAGTTCATATAATAATAGACCTTCTGGATAAGGACTGATTGCAGCATTAAATTATTCTTTATTCTTTTTTGTTAAAATGTATTTGTCATGTTTTTTTATTATCACTAAAGTTTATATGTAACCAATTGATTGATTTCAGGGTAGCCTAGATGCTTGCTACTACAGTGAGCCAACGTGTCTAGGCTTGCTTGCTCAAGTTGCACTGCGAGCCTATGTCCAGACATCTCGGAAGAAAGCAGCAGGTAATGTATATTATCTATGGTAATCCATGACTAAAGAGTCAGCAGGAGTCAATAATTTTGCATTGTTGTTGACCGTTAGATGCCATGCTTAACAGTGGTTGTCCGAGCGCCGATCAGCAAAAACATGTGTTCACGTTGAAGCATATTAATCATGCACTGTAAGCTTGATTACCAAGTAGAAAATTTTATATGCTTAATTATATTTTCCCTGTGAATTGCTTTTCAGATTTTTTAAAACTTTTGTGTTAAAGGTTGAAAAAAATCACAGTTTAAGTCGATATCTATATTTATGTAGTTTGACAAAATAATAACAATTAAAATTAAAAAGTAGATAACAAATCACATCTGCGGTTTCAATAGCTTTAAAATGAGATATTTTGCAACTTTTTATTTTAATAATAAACAATGCCGTAATATGCTTCTACCATTAACATTAGCGTTATGGGCATAAAATCCAAGATGGCCGGTCATGCCGACTCTTAATAGTAATAGTCAGTAATGTGAAGTAGTAAAAACAATTTATTCCATGGTAAAGTTTTGTCATTTGTAGCTCGTTTGGGCACTGTTGCTTAATTAACAGCCCTGAATGTCTAGGTAACACTATATCACAGGATTGTTGTGAGTGTAGCAGGCTTAACTGAAAGGGAAAGAGTCCAAACTGGCACAAGAAACCCAAACACTATAGACAAAACATTTGAATACTTATCTGTCACAGACATCATTTTCAACTAAGGCTTGTTCTTCATAACATGTAAGGGGAGAACCAGACAGTGAGATTTCTCAAATTACTAACAGGCAACAATAGTACTTAACGTTGGCTATAAGCTAAGAAAGCTCATCTTATGAAGCCTTATTGTGTAAACCTTGACTAATGGAGGGCCAAAGATGATTTGTCTTCACCATCGCAGGATATAAATATTATGATTTACAATCACAGGAGCTAATGATTGCAGATGGTTAAAATCTTTCTGCAATAGCAAGAAATGATCACAATAGTGCCACGATCACAAATTATATAGTCATGATGACATTATTATGAATACACACTACTCCTAACTAATCATTCTTAACACTGTTTTTCTTTTGGCAACCATACAAAACGTGCAATAAAACACTACAGAGTTTCAATTAGTGTGTAATGAAAAATAACTAATTTTTATTGTTTTTTTTTTATGAAATGGATCATGTCATAAATTTTGTATCAGTTACTAGTGATATTCAGCCTGTGATGGGTTTTTAGTTTTATCTGTACAATGTAATCTTGACACCGACAATTATCTGGATTGGTTTTTAGGTTTGCCGCTGATAGTGTCTGCACCGCTACATGGATCCCCGGGACATTGCATAGTCCTAGGTGTCCCACCTGTAGCTGAAGCTGTACCTCGCAAGTAAGTGTAGAACAATTTACTTGGAAAAAATTTGATATTCCTTTAATGATCAACTAAATGCGAGGGGCGTTTTTAGCATATAGCTCCATAGTTGTGTGTACGCTGCAACAAGGCAACGTGATGCTTACTACCATCATTGGTGAACAGAATGTCGCCATTTGCAGCTCTTTAGCTGACGTGTACGCTTTGCTATGTTTTACAATGATTTGTTTAATGATTGAATCTTCGCATGCAAGATAAGGTAAGTGATACGTTTTTTGAGGAGCCTCGTTGCGGCGTAGATACAGACTAGAAAACTATATACGCACAAACGGCCCTTACTTAAAAAACGACCCTCGTATATTAAGTTTAACATTTTTGATAAATAAAGTCACAATCTGATGCTTTAAATGTTGCTGCAAAATTATGGATGTTGAAGTCTTCCTGTCCCTTTTCAGAGTAATAATAAATTAACCATTCGCAACTTCAGAGTAAAGGATCTTTTGATGGTGAATTTCAACTGAAGCTTTTGAACCTATTTTAAATTCACCGCTATAGCTTTGTAAAGAAAGTTGTGAGGGTGAAATACTTTTAATGTTGAATGTTGAGATATCCGTACAAATTAGCATTATTTAATGAGCTATGTTTTGTAACAAATTCTGAATACTAACATTAAAAGTTTTTAACAAAACTGTTACTTTCATCATTTAACTGGTTTATTGATGATTTAAAATAACATCAACTGACACTGCTCGATATGAATACACCAGACCTTAAACCATCTATTAAGTGGTAAAAAGTTAGAGCACAAAAATATTATTATATAATGGCTAGAGGGCATATTTTATTAGCCAATTTCCCATATAGGGAATAAGCTATTTTAACCTTAAAGTAGCACAAACTTGTAAAATGTAATTCAAGAACTTATTTATGCAATGTAATTAAATAATTAAATTAAATATTTATTTATTTACTTAATTAAATATTTTCACCAACACTGCTGTATACATTTTCTAGAAAAACTACTGTTTCTACATCACTAGTGTAATAATAATTATTATCACAAAGGTTACAGGGCACATCAAGTATTAAGACCCATTTCATTTAATGTTTACACAACCAGAAGGATCAATATAACAAAATACTTTTCTATTAGAAATTCACAAATACAGTAATGGAAGATTTAGTTAAATTGTAGTAACATTGTTTAACGTTTATCCTTACTTCAATTTGTTTTAATCTTAAATCATACATATTTTTGCAGTTTTTTTGGAAAGGCGTTTGAGCAAGCTGCAGAGAAAACAAACTCGCAAGTTGAATTGGAATACTTTGATAGTTCTGGTAAGTTCAATTAAATATATGTAGTGGGGAAAACATATATGTTGCATCAATACCTTCATGCTTGCTTATTATTTTAAAAAGCCACACAAAGAAAAACGTTTTTCTTTTTACATAAATGATTCTATAACTTGTAAAGAAAAATTAAAAGTTTTGACTCATATATTTAAATATTGTATTTAAATATATTTACTCCTTGCAATGCTCTCAAAAGTGAATTCTTTACAAATCTTGGTTGCCCCTGGGTTGGAAGAACTTGGAAAGTAATAATATAAGACAGAGCTTGTGGCAGTGGAAGCTTGGTGTTAAAAATATTTTGAGTGGGCCCTGTAAAATAAAATTATCCCCAGAAGTCCTTATGGGACGTTCCTGGTACTGTTTGAGGTTCTTCCAGACTGAAATACCTTCAATATGAAGCTTAATAAATAATCTTAAACTACACTGAATTTAATCTGCTCACTACCACACTTTTAGTGTTTAGTGTTGCACTAAACACAAAAGGTGAATCTTTTGTAGTGGCCTATGGTTTGCTGGATTCTACCCTTATTATTTTGTTATACCAAACTTCTATTGAATAACTATTTTTGCTTATGACGAATTGCCAAGGTTATTGAGAACTAAAAAAGTGAGTAACGATTTGATTTATTCAACAATATTATTATGAAATAATACACTTCGTTTTTTGTTGTGACAACTACTTATCAAAATATTAGTGATTGTCTTTGGTCTACAAGGTTAAGTGATAGTGAATTATGAATTAGAGTGCAACAATCAATTTAAGCTTTACGTTTCAAGATGATGAGTGGACCTATTAAAAGGGAAGTTTTGGTGCGGTTACACACTGATCTCGAATATGTCAACAGAGGCGTGATATTTAAAAAAATATTTTGAGATGACCAGTACCAAGCAAATCCTGTTCGTTGGCCAACGAATTAAAAAAAAAACTAAGGTCGGGTCTCGTAGTCCAACTGATTAAACAAGGTTCTGTTTAATCGCAGTAGTATGTACTAGGATGTTACTTATTATTTTATAGCTAAGAAGGTAATTTGGCGGTTCATCTATTCACAAACTCTCACAACCTCCATTAACACCTCCGTATCTAGTCGAACCAGCTACCTGCTCCCACTTTTAATACTATTTAATTTCCCCAAAATAAAATTATGACTGTGGCACTCTTAAATAACCTTTGATTGAATATCTCAGCAAAATTGAACAAAGACTGTAGTGAATTTGTGAAAGTGTGATAATTTACAATTTACATACAATATAACTACAAAACCCTATAAAATCTCATTAATCCTATACGATTTGAGAATCACCGTATACTAAACAATGCAGATTGATTCATGAGAAATGGATATTAAAAATACTGATGAAAGCTAGAACCTGAGAACATGTGCTACTATTACAGGAAATGACAATCTAAAACAAGAAAATTTAACACATGTGCGAATCACTGAATTCTAATATTTAACAATAAATAACACAAATTACTTACAAATTTCGGACGTTTACAAAAACACAGACATAAATACAGGGATGGGGATGGGGAACTGTAACTAGACGGTTTTCCGAAAAACGCGATCGATTTGGTTTCGAAAGACGAACGTGAAATTTTCAATGGCGGTTCGTGCTGGTCGGTTTAAAGCAAACTTATACACTTGTTTCGCAAAAACTGATTATATTTTCCACTCGCGTTGCAATTATATCCCTTCGGGATACAGGCTAAATGATTTGAAGAAAATGAAAGATTTACCCGACCAACACCGCAAAATGAATTTAATTTACACGATACAAACTTTTTTCCGACTAGTCACAAGGAAGGCAAGGAATGAACTCCCACGACTGTGTCTCCGTGGCTAGGCCCCTACCCCTTCCACTCGTGTGGTTGCATTGTGGGTACCTATTTATTCATTTATTCATGTAAATTGTCACAAATTACACCATATACAGAGGAGTTTCCTCAATGGTAGATGACATGTCAAAAATATGATACAAAAATGTTAAAAACTAAATTAATGTAACTTAAACATAATGAGAAAACAAACTCTCCACATGAACCATTTTACAAACCACTATTACTATATAAAATGAAATCCTCTACTGAATAAAACATATGGCTCTTTAGATAGTTAACAAGTTTTCTTTTAAATGCTTTGGCAGAAGATTCATTGCGAATATGAGAAGGTAGTTTATTAAATAATCGGCTGCCTGTATAGAATGGTGTCTTTTCAAAAGCTGCTGTTCGATGTATCGGCAAAGAAAGATTACAATTACGTGTAGGATAGTTATGTGTAGATTTTAAAAGAGTGAATTTGTGAAAATTTTCTTTAACAAATAGAAGGGTATGTAGAATGAAAATGCAAGGTAAATGCAGAATATCTAGTTTCCTGAAAATTGGTTTGGATGATGCAGTATAGGGGGAATTTGTCATAGCACGGACAATGCTTTTCTGAATCTTAAATATTGCTGGAGAAGACTGTGAGTTGCCCCAAAATATCACTCCATATGTTAAGTTTGAATAGATATATGCATAGTAAACCATTTTCAAAATGTTTATCTCCAGGATTTTTGATAAGTTTAGAATTAGAAAATGACCTTTATGGAGAATTTTTGATAAAAAATTTACATGCTCATCCCACTTCAAAGAAGGATCAACGTGTAACCCTAAGAATTTATAACTATCTGCTGTCTGCAATAAGGGTTTGACATAAGAGTCATCAGAGTATTTTGAATTGGAGTAGTTGGAATGAAAATTAATAGCAAAAGTTTTATTTTTATTTAAAAGAAGGCCATTAGCTTTAAACCAAGAATTCATAGCAGATAAGTCATTTTCTAGCATTTTAAATAAATTAACCCGGATGGGGTGTTTACATAAAAGAGTAGTATCATCTGCATATGTTATTAATTTGGAGTTATGAACTGCATTTGGTAGGTCATTAGCAAAGACTAAGTAAAGGAATGGTCCCAGAATTGATCCTTGAGGGACACCAGCTTTAACAATGGAATAATTACTTTGAACAATATTATTTATTTTGACTGATTGTTTCCTATTATCCAGATAGGACTGAACCCAGAGAAATGCATTACCACTCACCCCATAGTGATTCAATTTTTTCATGAGCAAGTCATGGTCAACACAGTCGAAGGCCTTCGACAGATCACAGAACACTCCGACTGTGTACTGCGATCTATCAACAGCCTCCGAAATGCCCGAAACAAACTCATAAATTGCCTTAGTTGTATTTCTACCCTTCCTGAAACCAAACTGGTTTTCACAAAATATGTGATTGCTCTCAAAAAAATAAGATAATCGGTTTAAAGCTACCTTCTCAAATACTTTAGAGAAAGTAGGGAGGATGGATATAGGCCGATAATTGTCCAAAACTGAAGAATCCCCTTTTTTTAAAACAGGGTTAATAACACTATATTTAAGTATATCTGGGAATTTATGCTGGTCAAAAGATCTGTTAATAAGAATTGATAAAGGATAACAGAGTTTATCAGAACAAGCTTTGACTAAAAAAGATGGAATGCCATCCCAGCCAGCCGATTTTGAAGACTTAAGACTTTTTATGACATTAAAAATTTCAGATGAAGTTGTTTCCTTAAAATGAGACATATTTACTAATGGAGTATTCACATTCGCAAGGAAGGCTCTTACGTCATCTACATCTGTACTCAAGTTCAAATTATTACATGTATTTACAAAAAAATTGTTAAAAACTATTGCAATATCATGAGGCTTCTTATATGTAATGTTTCCATGATGAATAGATGTGATTGTTTTGTCTTTACTATTGCCTTGCTCAGCTTTAATTATATCCCATGCAGCCTTTGTTCTGTTATTTGATTTTTCTATAAAACTATTGTTGTAATTAAGTTTTAATGATCGAACACATTTTTTGAAAATTGCTTTGTATTCCTTAACATATGCTAGAAACTCTGGGTCTCTGTTGATTTTACTGAGTTTGTGCAGATATCTTTTTTTCTGACTCGACACCTGAATACCTTTAGTAACCCAGCCTTTAAGATTAAAGTTCCTAGCTTTCCTCGAGGTCTGAAATGGAAAAGAGTCATCAAAATAACTTATGAAAATTTCCAAAAACATTTTGTATGCAGTGTCAACTTGTAAACTACAATCAGTTAAAAAATGCCAATTCTGAGATGCCAGATGATTTTTAAATTTATGGATGTTTTCCTTGGAAAAATTTCTGTTCTTATGTTTCCTATTACCTAATGACCTTTTATTGCTAATTAAAATTTTACTTAAAGGAATACATAATAACTGAACCTCATGGTCTGATAGATCAGTGCTAATTACACTAGTGTAATAGTTATCGGAGCTGATAGTACAAAATATGTTATCAATACATGAATTAGTCCTACCAGTAATTCTAGTTGGAACATTCACACTAATATTAAGATTAAATGAGCTAAGAATTGATGTAAACTGTTTACTAACTGTATTACTCTCAAATAAGTTAATATTAAAGTCACCACAAATCACTATATGACATTTTGATGTTTTTGCATACAAAAACTTTAACATACATTGCAGTTTTGAAAAAAACATGTTATAATCCTTTTTCAATTTACTAGGAGCTCTATAAATACATATAACAACAATTTTAAACCCTAAGGTAAGTTCAACACTACAACATTCAAATATTGACTCTTGGCAAAATGTATCAAGATCAGCTCGCCTATTTGCCTCATAATTTCTGTTAACTAAGATACAGGAACCACCACGAGTTTTACAACTCCTTGAAAAGCTAGTTACAAGACTATATCCATAAATACGATTCAAGGCACTTTCATTAGATTCATTATACCAATGCTCAGTAATACATAACAGACTCGGCTTGCATGTTATGGTGTCTAAAAATAAGTTAAACTCATCGATTTTCCCAACTGAAACCAAACCCTGAATATTACAATGGTAAATTGTTAGATGTTCTGTTTTGGCGAATTTACAAGTTAAATCATTAAAAATATGTGAA